TTGACTAGGTGCAGCAGGTTGCTCTACTACACTCGGTTGTGGTTGACTAGGCGCAGCAGGTTGTTCAACAATACCTTGTTGTGGAACTGTTTGTGCACTAGGTTGTCTGACTTGTGTCACTGTGACTGCTGTTTCTTCTGCTACTTCTTCTTGTCCTATAACTGAACTGGTCTTAACGATGGTGCCTGCGGATGGTTGTGGTTGACTACGTGCAGCAGGTTGTTCTACTACACTCGGTTGTGGTTGACTAGGTGCAGCAGGTTGCTCTACTACACTGGGTTGTTGTTGACTGGGTGCAGCAGGTTGCTCTACCACACTCAGTTGTGGTCGACTAGGTGCAGCAGGTTGGTCTACTACACTCGTTTGCGGTTCAGTAGGTGCAGGATGACGTTCAAGGATACCTTGTTTTGGAACTGCCTGTGTGGTAGGTTGGCTGACTTGTGTCACTGTGACTGAGGGTGAAGGTGATAGTGCTACGGCGCCTAAGTCGGAATTCATGTGAAGAAGTATCTTTGTAGATGTGTTCTGTGTACTATCTGCGTAGCTCGCTTGCTTTTCGGTGGTGGTGAGGTCATTGGGTGAACTGGTTCGTGGCTCGTTTTGGTTATCTGTACCTTTTTGTTGTTTTGTTTGGTTGAGCGGTTGGATTACGTTAGTTAGATTTATAGGCGTTTCGTAGGAGATTTCTTCTTGCCCGGTAGCTGAGGATTGTAGGAAAATATTGGCATCGAGGGATGGAATAGTAGGGGTAGCTGTTGTAGATTGTATCGCTTGAGGAAGATTGGTACGCTGAATTTGACCGGGATGAATGGATTGTTCGGATAGAAGCGGATAGTCAGTAGAAATTGTGGGTTGCATAACTTGTTTTGCTTTTCGTTCTTGTAGTTCGGTTATTGATTGCTGTTGATTCGTGCGAGTTGATGTTTCGGGCATGGATTCTCCTGGTTCGGATGTGAAGGTTGAAGTAATTGTTGTTGTAGTGTATTGAGTGGTTTGCTGTCCACGTGGAAGTGGTACTTGAGCAAGATTAATGGATGCTTCATCGAACGTTGGTGTCTCGATAGCAAGGGATGGTTGTGCATGCTGTTGCTGTATTTGATGAAGACGAATTCCTACTTCGTGGGGTAATTCTTCTTGACTTAGTGCTGAAGCTGTTCGAAGTATAGTACCAACTGTCGGTAAAATGTCGATAGGTGCAATATATTGGACAGTGTCGGTGGCGCTCGGTCGATGAACTCGATCAAGATGTATCGCTGTTTCATCGAAGAGAGGAAGATCTGTAGTGATGCGAGGCTGCGAAATGGACGAAGCCATTTGTCTTACAGCTCCGGACTGTTGTTGCACCGAATGAATAGTAGGTGCACTAACAGATGTTTCAGCCGAATCGAACGCTAAACGTTGATATTGTTCGCTTCCGTAGGTTTGGGAAGCGAGGTCGGGCGTTAACGATGTTGTTCGAGAAATATTATCATCCGAAAAAAATTGTGACCATTGTGTAACATCGCTCAGGGATTGCGGAATGTCCGCGCGAGTAATTTCCTCGATAGTTTCAGTGATTGTCGAGGTGGTTGGTAACTGTAATGTTGTCTGATCATATCTCTTGAGAACAAATCGAATATTTAAGACAAGTGAAACTCAAATGCTGTGGAACTTACAGTCTGTTGTTGTTTGTTCAGCGTAACTGTCACATTCGTATCTTCGATTTCGATTTTGTCACCAGGTTGAAGCTGTAATCTTCGTTCATTTGATAATTCTTGTATAATCTATACGAACAACAACAATCCAATGAAAATCGAATGTACTAGAACCTTACAGGTAATTGTGCAAATAAATTCGGTTGTTGTGGAGTAAGTTCAGTAGAAAGAATAACATTTTCCGTCTCTCCACCAGGAATATGAACTTTAAGATGACTATCGTCATCAACATGCGGCTTCTTCAGTGGCGGTTCTTCAGGTACTTCTTGGTATTCTAAATTGATATTCGATAGAGGAGATGATTTACGTCATTATACATATAGTGTTCTCTCGTGCGACTTTACCTAGTTCGTCATCGCTTGAATCCTTATCGACAATAACATGTGTTTGTGTTTTTGCATTTCCATAGATATTTTCCACATGAAATGAGTATGTACCTTGTAAATCAGTGGTGATTGAATTAATTGTTAATGTTGAGGAATAATTTGTATTGATGATTGAACCATTGAGTATTGGTCCTGGCGTTGGATCGTTTAAATATTGTACATGCCATGTGCAATGGCATTGTACAGATGGAGAAAAGAATTCGACTTGAAGTTGTAGCTTCGTTCTTGGTTGGCATCGGTAAGTCGATAGAAGAGGTCGTGTGATTGTCGGTGGAATAAAACGATCAAGCGATGTAGCAGAAAACCATGCGTCATCGGCAGTTAATCCTTGTTGGCTTAATTGATCAGGTTGCTCCTCCTTTTCAGTAATAAAGCCTAAATGAGAAGAAAAAAAAATAGGACACATGTATTACAAATAGGTAGATGGTAACATTTTCCAAAAGAAAAAACCAAACATAATGGATAAACAATTGCTAATTCGCATTAAAAAGCAATTAATTAACAACAGATAAATCTATCAACTCACTATCAACAAAGAGATAAGCGCTCGATTCATCGCGAAATTTCCCGTGATCATAACTAATACAGATCGTATAAACTCCTTCGTCTTCTTGTTCACACTGCCGAACATCCATCCAGTAGAGATTTTCGCCTGGTATCGAACCACGGTGATATCGTGAGTGTTCGTCATGTGCCAACGGTTCATCATTCAAACGCCATTCAACGGTTAATAATGAACGATCAATTTGAACAGTCGATAACATTGAAATTAAACGTATTTTTGCTTCGAATCGTGCTGAGTCTCCATGACGTACGGTAATTGACTTTAATTCTTGTTCGAAGCCGAATAGAATCGGCTCGTTGCCTTGTAATTGACTTTCATCACCAACATGAACAAATTTCGGTACGCGTTCGTCATTGGATGCCATTCGAGTTGAAAAGCGACACTCCGGTGAATAAGCAAAGCAAATATCGAGACTGTATCGCTAAATATGATGTTGATGATGAATATAGAACGCAGCAAGAAACACGGAGAGAGAGATGGAGAAAAAAAAGAAAATGTTGTCTATTATCTTGCAATACCACAAATGTTGCTTGAAAAACAGACAGACAAACTTCGTGTTTACTTGGTCATTGGTAGGCAACTGTACAGATGATATAATCGCAGGAAGACAAATCAACAACGACGAGAATTTTGGAGAAAGAAACAGAATGATATCCTTCCGAGAAGTATTGCAGAGTCAGAAGTTGAAGAAAAGATTCTTTCTTTTTTCCTCTTCTTTTCCTTTTTTTTTTGTTAATGTTGATATCATATAGCTGCGAAGGATGATGTTGATGATGATGATGACGATGACCGATATGTACACGTACACATAGAAGGAAAGTAGGCGCGGAAACAAAGGAATCTGTATGCGAAGAAATTCCCTCTCCGAGAGAATAATAAGTGCAGATTTTGTTGATAGATATCAACATTTTATAAGTCAATAAGGGCAAATTTATATGAAAATACGAATTACTGACGAGATCTAATTTGTATAGTAACATTCAGGAGAAATTTCAATTGAAAGAATAGTAGTGTTAGCTTTCATGTCACAACAACAACATCATCCGGATGAAGGATAGATTTATGAAACTATACATTACCATGTCGGGATTGATCTGCCGTTGTCGTTAAATTTCCACGAGACAAATCAGCAATACGAGCGTCTAAATCTTCGACGAGACGACGAGATTCATCGTAGATAGCTTGATCCTGCGTCAATTGTAATTCACCAGCATCTTCAGGTTCACTCGGTGGACCAGATATATATGATGCCGAAGATCGATCACTGTCACCTTCATATTGATAATCTACACGAACAAACCAAAACTGCAATAAATAGAAAAGAAGAAATCACCTACGTATAACGTCAACTGTTGTACTTGTACTTTCACGTTCTCGATCATTCGTTGCTTCACATCGATACACTCCACTATCAGTGGGATACATATCATGAATCGTTAACGTTGATTTGCCAGTTAAAGCATCGAAATAAATTTGACGAGTGTGTTGTTGTTTCTCATTAATGATGACTTGCCGTTCATCTTTAAACCATCGAATATAGATCGGTCGTCGTCCATGAACAACACATGTTAATTGAATGCTATCGCCATCACGACATGTAATGGGTGTTGATGGCAATGGCTTAACAAAGTATAGACGTGTTGAAAGATCGTCTTCAGGCATTGGTGGTAATTGACGAACAAAAATACGAACATGACAGGTTGATTGAGCTTGACCATATCGATTCGAAATAATTAAACAATAAGTGCCTGAATCCGATGTAGTCGTCGGATCGATTATAATAAAGCAAATGCCTGTATCCGGATTGTAATGTCGTCGCGTACGGAATGCTGTTTCCGAAATCATACTTCCGTTGAGTGACCATTGAATTTGACATTGTGTACCAGCCATGATCTGGCACGAGAGTAGTAAACGTTCGCCTTCTTCGCATTCAAGATTCGATGGAAGTAATTGAAAGAACACTGGGGCCATGCCTGCCAATTCATTACCAGTTTCTGAACTACTACTAGTATCGATTGTTTTCGCTGATGTTTGAGTTGTTAGCAATGAATGCGAACGGAGAAGTTGTTGAAGATCACCTGCAGACAAACTACTTTCATCCGATGACGTCGATGTTAAACGTTCGGGTATTGGAGGAAGTAATCGGTCAGGTTCATACGGTGCATCCTGCTAAATAGAAGAAAGGCAATCGTTGAACATATTAAATCGAACGGGAGATTTACTCGAAGGATGGGGGGATCTTTTTTCGGTTCAGTTGCTGGTACACGTTGATCACCAAGAATGCGAAATGGTGATTCAACGGGACTGATTGATATTGGCAATTGACTTTGTATTATTTGACGACTAGCAGTTGATTCGTCCAATCGAAGACGTTTACGATCGATCGGTGGTGTCTGTTCTTGTCGATCTCCTTCCAATCGTTTTCGTATTTCGAAGATTGGATGAGGAGACACTTTCTGAATTCATATATACAGATAATGAGAAATGAGGTCAATCTTTTCCTTTCTTACTTCATCCGTTGTAGACCGAGGTGAGTCGACTTCATTGATAATAACATTACATGTTGACGAAACACGATAATGAGCATTCGATGCTTGACATTCATATGTACCTTCATGACGATGCTTCGTTGCTCGATCAACAGTTAATATCGGAATAAAATGTGCTGGTAAGGTGTCATACGACGTATAGAATAATCCATGATCAACATCCGTAGTTGTTAATTCCGTTGGGGTTTCAAACGATGATGACGGACTGTCATTGGATATCGAAATCAATTCACCGTTTCGATACCATTCGAATTTATCGATATGAAGTCCGGCGACACGACATGAAAGTTGTAATGGACTGTTTTCGTTGACGATCGTCGGATCAGTCAAAGGTCGATCGATACGGAGTTCATACCAATGAATTGGAAACATGCTTTCTTCTGTATTCGATTTTTGATGAGGAGTTACAAAGATCGCGCTGGATTCTTCTTCTTCTAGCAAAAAGAGAAAAATATGTATAATTCTTCCGCTCTCTCTCACACTCTCTCGATGTTTCTTCCTCCTCCTCCTCCCTCTTCTTCTAGTCGATTAGTTAATTAGTTATCAATCGGCAAATATGCTCAGTGCATTGTCGCGGAGAAAAATATTTGCTCTTCTTTTCTCGATTTTTGCAGAATCGTTTTTTGTTGTTCTTTCACAGCATGTTCTAATATACAATTTATGCGACGTTGCATGGATAACATACGGCTGCGTATATGGTCAGACCGTAACACGTTACCATTATCGTCGAAAAGAAGAAGAAGAAGAAGGGGAAGGGGAAGAAACGAGAAAGACGCCAAGAGGGCTGGTTGTTAACAATATGTATTAGCAATAAAGCATACGATGCCAGAAAAGTCTTCGCGAGGAAAAGAAGGACGAAGATAGAAAATGCAGAAATCAATGTACCACGAAGCACGCTTCTGTTAACGTTTTAGAAAAAAAAAGCCGATTGCTTCTGAATGTCATCGAGGTCGCAAAATCTATATAGACTTATTTATTAAACATAGATATATTTACCTTCTCCTGCGATACAGCCAGCCATATGTAATATTGGAATTTTTGTCCATGACTTATCATCTGAGAGAAAGAATGCTAAATATGAAAAGAAAGAAAAGAAAAGAAAAACCTTACGATTATCAATTTCCAATCGAAGTTGTAAAATTTCGGTCGCATCATCCAAACCTGTTGCTATACAACAATATGAACCTTCATCTGAGTAGAGTACTGAACGTATGTAGAGTGAACATTGACCTGTGGTCGGTTGGTAACGGTACCATAAACGGAAACCTTTCTGTTCAACTAATTCACCATTGGCGTACCAAGCGATCGATTTCACGTGTTGATGACGAACATAACATTCAAGAAGTACATTATCACCAGGACGACACGTATAAACCTCCGAGAGACGACTTAGAAAGAGTTCACCAGTATCGGTTTTAAGTTTTGCCATTACATCAATTTTACACAATAGTATACGCACTGATAAAGATGGATCGACTGACTATACTCTTGTGATCTAAGCGAGAGAGAGAGAGCAAGATAAAAAAAAGTGTGAATATAATAACGCTAACAACAACAACAACAGCAGATCGCAGCAAATGTCATTGTGTATACAATGGCGAAGAAAAAAATCACACGCTCGTATAGATCTCTCCAAAGCAATAATCACTTGTTGTCTAACATGATCGTATACATAGATGTATAGAGAAAGACAGAGAAATGAAGAGAGAGAAAAGAAAGCAGAGGAGATGATTGATATGTCAAGAGTTATCTAACAAGAAAGAAAGTGAACAGTCATTGTCTGTATGATCTCACACTATCAAATGCTTAATCGAGTCTAAGTGTGAATTCGTCCTTGGAATTGATGTCATCGCTCTCGTTCTGATTTGCTTGAAGAAAAAGCACAGTATCATTTTTCCGTTTTTCCCCCTCTCTCATCTTCTCCCTCTTTCTTATTCGTACGAACGCCAACGTCTAATGTTAAGCGGCAGGTGATTTGTCCCTTATGGATATATTTGATGGATAGATTGATTGCATGCGAGATATATTGGTAGAAAAAACGGTTTCGCACTAATATTTGCAATGAAGCTCTTCCTTGTCGTAATCATCATTCAATCATCGCACCGATAATACCAACAATTTCAATATTTATTTGAAAGCAAAACCAACGATAGACATATGTTCTTTTTTTTTCGAGAAAAAAAATGCGACAATTCTTACTCGACGAATAGGACCCACATCAATGATATTAACAGATCCTTTAGTAACTATAGCTTTTCTTTCAACTGTATAAAAAAAAACAAATATCGTCTCAATGGTAGAGATGACACTGAAATAAACAAATATCGGGTCGAAAGATACTTAACCTTCTTCTAGTCAATCTTAAAACCTACTCGAAATCTTTTCGTTCCGTCGTTTGTTTATATCGCTATCGTCCTAATGATAACACGATTCATTCCTTTGTCATAGAATACATTGTTTCTCGATGAGATCTATGCTTTCTATAACATCATTTACACTCACGTCTGATGGATAATCATCGGGTAATGTTATGATACTTGAGTCGTATTCATTTTTCCTTCGATTAAGTATACGAGAAACGTATCTATCATAATATCCGATGACGACTTGTCAGTCTTTTATATATCTAAATAACTGATGTTTCGTTGACACTACAAGACTAGAAAAGGAAGTTGCGTATCGTTAAATAGTTTCGAAGTCCTCTCAACTTATCCTTCAACAGAGAAAAATCCATCCTCGCTTCGTTTCGTCGTTGTCTTCAACTAATTTTCAATAGAGTCAACGTTTGACGAGTACACACAGAACGTTAGGCCGACGGACCTTCACTGATATTTACAGAATGCCTGAATATTTGTTATTCTAGCGTTTCTCGACAAAGATTAATTATTCCAGAATAGAGATAAAAACATCTAATATTACTAGCTTCAATTATATCCTTGATTTAGCACGGAAATCACGATTTTCTAAGATAATGCATCTGTCTAATCGACTGGAACGTTCGAAAAAACCTCTCTATCAATCGATGATCAGTAAGTATGACGAAAATTAGTCGTGTGTATCTTTAGACGGTGGATTTCCTCGAATCGCAGTGTCTGTTTGACATTTATCCGAAAGTTTATATCATATTTTGGCCAGATATTGAATAATAATTTGATTATTTTATCATTAAAACTCCAAATATCAGTCGAAACTAATAACAGGCCTTTGCCTTCTGTCTAATGACGCCAATCTATTCTGTACGTGTCGCGAGTCCTTACAACAGTTTCGAAGGTCAATATGACTCAATATTCTTTCCACTATCGCAAAAAAAAAAGAAACCGAGAAGATCTCCTTGACAAAACAATATACATTCGAGTTTGACGATTCGCTATTGTTAACTCTCCGAGTAGATTGAAATGTTAAGGTACAACAACTGTTCTTCAACTGACGTCTACCGAATTCACACGATCTGATAACTAGCATACAATCTCGCAATGATATGTTATTTACTCCCACTACTCTTCGAAGATAAACGATTCGTCGCCATAATTTATTGCTTGGCTTGTTGATGATCTTATTATGGATAAAGTATCGATCATTGAAGTAAGGAGCTGTTTACCATATTGTTTCTTTTGACAACATGCTTTGCTACGGATATTAGACAGAAATTTCAAACATGAAACATCGAACGATCTGGAAATCATTTACTCATCCTAATTTGAATCGTTCGCTTCAAATCAGAACTGTCAGGAATAATCAACCCTAGTCTATCAGAGAGATTTCTCTTATCATTATAGACATTCGTAGTAACACAAATGACATAAGTGCAGATGTTCGCCTAATTGTATTTTACACAGACATTGATGCCTAAGATAAAACTTGATCTTTACTTGAATAGGCATGTCCGAAATGTTCAGTTTACTTCAATAATAAATGACTAAAGTCAAGTAAAACATGAACTAAAATGTCTTTTTTTTCGTAAATAAAAACGTCACTTCTTCAGTTTCTTTTGCTTTTTCGTCACCAATCCTTGGAACACCCACACATAGGCACCGACAAGTGCACAGAAAGAGAATGAAAGAAAGAAAGGAAAAAACAATGACATAGATACAAACAGAAAGATATGAGAAAGAGAGAAGACTACAATTGCGATTGTATAGAAAGAAAAAGACGAGAGAGAGAGATGATCGACAGTTAACAACAACGAGCAACAAGAATATGTATATATATATGTAAAAAAGAAACCAACAACAACAACAACAAATACTACGATAAGATATCCACTTCAATATCTTCATCGCATTTGGTCAATTCGAGAACTTGATGATGTTGAGCGTTGAATAAACCTGATCGATGTTCTTTGGCTGCTTGTCGTTGTTCTTTGCGCTGACGTAATTTTAGCGCTTTTTCAATCCGTTGAGATAGAGGATCACTCTTATTCGACGACAAGGACGAATAACCATCACTTTCATCATTCAATGAGCCACCACCACCGATTAAATTAAATTTAATTATGTTTCGAATGCGTCGGTGTTTTTCATCATTCATACCAGAAAAGTCGAGAACGAATTCTGTTTGATGTGGTAGTAGTTGTGGACCATCCGGCTGAAGAATTCGAATGATTTCTAGTTGTTCTCGTCGTCCGAGTTGTTCGTTAATAATACGTGTCAGATCTTCGGTTGCTAACGTTTGTTCATAACTGGTCATTTTTGACCACAATTTTGTTGGTAATTGTTTTCCGTTGTTCGTCGTCCGATGTTTAGCTTGTGGCTTTGGTGACGAAGGAGCACTACGTTGCGGTGGAGGTATTTGTGATGGACTAGAAGGATTGGCAAATTGCTGGAATAATGAACGTGTATCGTCTAATTCGGAAAAGTAGTCATTCTCGAAGAAATCTGATAGATCGGATGTACCGATGAAATCCGCCTCGATTCCAAGAAATAAGTCGTCAACAACACTTGAATTGTTACAACCAGCTATGTCCATATAAAGATCATCGGAACAAACGGACATGGACTTTGATGATGTCAATTGATTGACTGATGATGGTACTGTATTCAATGTTGCAGTTAGATCTGGCTGAGAATTGCTTCGTGACATAGATGCAAGCATATCAGAATTGAGAAATTGTTGTATGGATGTTGGTCCATTGTTCAACGTCAATGGTGGCGGTGGTGGAGTTTGTAAGGTTGGAGGATGTGACCAGAAGATTGGTGATGATGATGATTGATACGCGTTGGTAAACGGTGTTGTTGAGTAGGAATTATTCCGCATACGAAACGAGGACGGATGGATAGTACTATTTCCATCTTTTGAATTACCTAACGACGATTGCATCATCTAAAAATAGAAGAATGACGATGTGAAAATTAATAGCGCACATTTATTTTACGTCATCTGATATGTTTCACGTGTTTTCACCTGATGATCATTCTCTCGTATGAAAAGGGGGAAAAATAAGAGAGATTATTTTCAAAACATCAAAACCTTGCCTCAAGATATAACCATACTTGATATTATTCAATTAATTCGAAACGTTTTTCTTCGAGATGAAAAGAAAACAAACTTACAAGTGTATTGTTACTTTTTCTTTAACAATGACGCGAAGGAAATTTCTTAGTTACCACAAATAAAATTCGTCTGGAGTGTTATCTTTTTTCTTTGAAATTAGAGACTCACGCATCATCAGTAATGAATTGACCTAGCGAGAAAAAGAAACTATAGCGAATACCAATATTCGACTAGCAAGTCAATAAGTTATGTCATTATTAATCACTAATCATATAAATAAATAATTTCAATTCAATCGTGTTTGTATAAGGAACGTTGAGAAAAGAAGTAATGAGATGTTCATGTCAAGAATTTCTCGTTTTTCTTTGTTCTATTTAAATATCAGAATAATATTAACGTCGACGAAAAGAAAAGGAAATTGCTGTCATGGAAAACAATAACGGAGAAAGATCGAGGAGATGAAAAATTCTTTTCTTCTTCTTCTTCTTCGTGTTTAATTGTTTGTTGTTTTTTGTTTTGGATTTTTTCATTGGTTCGCTCGAAGAACTTATCCTTTCATTATCCGAGCATAGGGCTCTGTTGACATAGATGTCGTATGTTGTCGCACGACAAATGAATCCAATTTTAGTTTCGGACGTCGTTTGTAATCATCGACACAACAAACGCTTGTTGGTAGTGAGTTTTTCTTGACTAATAGGATGACAAAAGTTAATTGTATTTACTCGACGTGTTATACGCATCCTACGCAAGTAGAAAAGAACACGTAGGTGGTATTACAAGTGGATTGAAGAGAATTAATCATGGATGTTCGACAGTTGTTGGAAATCTTTCACATCGGGTGGAGTAAAGGGATCGATCGTTCTTGTTCTCGTTTCGTAACTGGCCGAATTTCAATCCAGATGTAACTGATGATTTGTTGGACAGGCGAAGAAATCATTCATTGTCTATTTTCTTCGTGAAAAGAAAAAGATCCTTTGTTTAAAATATTCGACAGATAATTAAAATTAAGCCTTGACAATGAAAATGTGAATGTCTTATTGTGCCCCTACACATTAAATCTTCATGGTTAATGTGTGAAGTACGAAAGGTGTTCAAGGCGACTGACAACAATATTTGAAAAGAAAGGGCTTCGAAAAAGAAAAAGATTCGACATTTTGGAAACGAAAGTCAAAGATGATGGAAAGTTGCGCATTTTGATCAAGTGACGGAATTTGAATAAGCTCATAGATATGATTAACAAAACATATATTCAGATTATTGAAAGATTAATCCCTGGATTGAAATTTTGTTTGAAATGAACTGAGCCATATTGAATATTGAAGTGGTTTTACTTGGTGCAAAGCTTCTTTTAGCAAAATTTTCGTCTTGTACTATTGAAAGATATTCCCATTGAAAGAAAAACAATGTTTTACCTCTATTGTTACGAAATATCCGTGTAAACATTTCTATTACTGACATCTAATTAGCGGCAGACAATACAAAACTAGTCTCGAGTGATATTTTCTATTCAATGATTGATTTTATCAATATATATCAAGTTTCAAAGTCTGTCTGTCTTCAGTCTATAAATGAGGCAACGATTGTTTCATTGCATTTGTTGTTGATCGCAGTCGTTTTTGTTCGCCAGTTACTTCGTTTGGTTCATATCTGTTGCGGTATACGTGCGATTGTCTTTTTTTCGTAAGAGTGAGTACGTGATTCCAGTAGAGTTTGAAACCGAAATCGAACATACAAGGTTGTGTTCGTTATAGATACTGTTATACACGTTCGCTTGATTTATCTTCCTATTCTGTTCGTTTTTTAACAGCTTTTTTTCTTTCTTGTTCTTCTTTTTTTTGATGTTCAGTCACTTGTACCATCCGCTCATATTATCACAGGGGAGGATGTATTCTACCTATCGATCTGTCTCTTTCTTTTTCATATTCATATCTACATTTAGAACGTATGAACGCGGCTTGATTCGGAACGAAGACTCACATATACATATATACAAATTATTCTCAAACGATCACACGCGTACATATACCATTATTATATCTCTTCTCAATTAGACCTCATTAGGACAACTATAGTATACATTTAAATAATAGCAATCGACAGCCTGTTCAATCATACTGTACAAGTGAACACCGTATTCATTCAAATTGTAAAGGTACATTTATGACGAATTTGTTCCTTTCCAGAGAGAACGATTTCTTATAGTATCAAATTAAGTCATATGAGTTTCATTCGACAATTTCTTCTGCTCAAAGCAACTTACCGATTTGCTTCACTTTTTCAAAACGAGGAAAAAACGCACAGGAAGAAGGTCATCCACATGTATGATATGTACATATGTGTATGTATACGTATACACACACACACACGAGCTCGATACAAAAAAAACACACGTACGCGTATATATTTATATATACTTATAAGAAACATTGATCTTATTGAGGTGATGAGGTAGTCTCGACTGACTTTTACCCGTGCGTCGCCTTTCTTTGTCATTTATCATGTTGATAAAAAAAAGGCGAAATATCTTCAAAAGAAAATGTACGTATTACAAATTAAAATCGATCGCCCTATAAAAAGACAATGATTATGACAAATAGCTGGCTTTCATATCATTATTAGAACATTCTATGAGTGATATAGCTGTAGGGTATCGTTTCACGACATTGATGTCTACCGACAAAGAATATATAAAAAAAAAAAGAGGAGGGGAGAGAGAGAGGAGGAGGAAGAAGAAGGAACAAAGTATCATCATTTAGCGAAATGCACATCGAAAATCATTGAGAAAAGAGAACAAGGTCTTTGTTTCTAACTACCTTGATTGTCACTGTATGTGTATATGCACTAACATATGTCTTCTGCTATAAATTAGACTACCGTCAGTTTCTTTCTCTCTTTCTTCATGAACTATGACGACTGTCTTCAATATACTAGTTAGTTTATTGTTGAATAGTAAGTACAGTTATAGCAGCAACCTTGTCGAAAAGAGCATTGAAGAAATCAACGAAATTTCCTATGAGGAAATAGAATAAGATATAGAAGAGAAAAGTGGCTACTCTCCATCGATCTTTTCTCTTTCTCTCTTTCTTTCTCTTTTCATCTAAGTATCAAATTTTCGATTACATCATTTCTTTAAATTTTATATATACGTATGTATGAATTAGTGGTCAATCGGTAGGATACGAATGTACAATGAACTTAGTATACATTCTCTACTAGATATATGTGAATTCTCACCTTAGACTAATCTTATTCAAATAACTTTCTTTCTTCATCCAATGTCTATGGATGTCATTTCGCTTCTTCTCCCCTTCTTAATCATAAATGTGTGTGTGTGTGTGTGTATAGATATACAACACATATATACATATTCTTTCTTACATATGAGCGTCAGTGACATGTTGACATACGACTGTTAAACCAGGGTCAAACATAATCTTGTACATTCTAGTCTGTATTATATATCATATTTAGATAGTAAAATCTCATTCCTAATCACAATCGAATTAGAACAACGACGATGAGAATGACGACTGTTCTTAATACTTCGACTGCTGAAGTAACAGCACCAACCAGTTACGTCTCACGTTGGATAGCTCAAAGTCATAATGCTTATCAAAACAAAACCAATGAATTATTTTCACCATTATCATCGTCTTTATGTGATTTTCGAACACCAACAGCATCATGTCGAACTCTCCCGACAATATTTGCACCGATAAAGTCACCTGCCATGAGCAAACCACAAACAACTACATGGCAAGCACAGGCAAAATCGCGTTTAGATGCAAATACAAGCGCTCTATCAGATCCATCGATGTCAAATGTTCAACCAGATAATAATGTTCTTCAAGAAAAATTACATCATGTTCGGTAAGATTATTCGTCTATTGAGTTCTCTATGATGCAACATTTCGTTTTAATTAACTGATGCACATGTATATACAATGACGACGCTCAGAAGTAGTTGTAGCACATGTCTCATTGATTCTCGAGTAGAATTTGTTATAAAAAACAATAACATAACGTCGAGCAATTGGACAAAAGAACGATTGTAAGAGTTTTGTCAACACGAATCCATCATAGTGTAGACATTGCATGACTATTGATATGCACGGGCATAAATTAAAACTTAAGACAGTAAATGACACGAAATCAAAATGAAGAACTAACGATAGACTGTAGATGTATATTCAAATCGATTGAGTATATGATTTTGAACATATTCATGCGAAATGACATACATAAAAAAGATCAATATCGCAAATCAGATGAGTCTTTTTCAAATTGAGCAATATGAAGAATCTCTTATGCGTACATTCGTCTTTCTAGAGCTCTACTTGATGCTAAAAAACAACGTTTATGTCGTCAGTTATCATCATCACCAGTATCATCGTCCTCTTCTGGCTCAGATCAAGTGCAATCTTCCACTGCAGTAGGAGATCAATCATGGCCTCCTCCTCCACCGTGTTTAGAAAGTCCAGCACTTGAGGTAAACACTCTTGTTGTTCTTGTTTTTTATCAAACGAACTTCACAAACTATTCGATACTAGAATGTCTATCTTCCACACGATGAACCAACACCATCATCATCAGGATATGTCTATCATTCTCCATCGATATTACCATGTTTAATGGAAGAATCACCAAGTGATTCGGGTCTGAGTGACAATACGAAAACGACACACAATGATGACATGATCGAGTCGACTACGACGAAAAGTGCAGCCATGATCGATTTAAGTAAACCACTATCGAAAGAAGAAATGTTAGCCATCATTCAAGTCGTACGAGAATTATGGAAGAAACAGTTTGGAAGCGAAATCTTGGATGTGCATATCAAAGCTGCTGTGCCACCCGCAAATATCACCGTTAGTCGACGTACTGGTAACGGAGAACGATCATCGTATTTATCAAATAATAATAAAAATCAATATCATTCAACGCCGGCATTGAACAAATTGAGTGCTGAATTAAGTGATATTAAAGATAAATTACAAAAATTCTCCAATGGACGTGTTCAGATCGACCCACCGAAAATCGTTATAACCGAAGAGAAAGAAAACGGTAACGCCTATAAAATAGATAATGAGAATGTTGAACCATGAATTGAATACGTATGTCTCTCACCATCTCAATGTATATAGGTACTCTCTGGGTCAACCATAGAGTAATCAATCTTGATGCAAGCGAAATTTGTCATGCGTTCTCATCGTTTCTTCCTTACCTGTATATGCTTATACTGAGTTGGTTTTTCCTTTATAGAACCTGAAGACATTCCAATTTTTGGTGAAAGTCTCGTATTCATACCACTTGGTGACCCTCTAACCGTAAGCATACGAAATTCTAATCTCGTTAATCGTATTTGTTGTGTTCTTAATTTTAGCCGCATGATCTCGAGCGAATGCAAGCCAAAAAGGAGGCACTTATTCGTCGGCAAATTCTGCGACGTGAAGCACAACTAATTCGTAAAAATGAACGATTGACATCTGCTTATGAACGTCAGAATGAATATCGACTTTACGAAGAGTATACTGCTCACCGTCGACAGGAAACGGATCTTCGTCGTAATACGATTCTACAAGCACATAAAGAGCAAAAACGCTTAGAAGCTGATCCTCCGTCGTCAAGTGATTATTACTTTGCTGCGGCTCGAAGTCGAAATCGGTTGAAACGTAAAACGTCGATGACATCGTTTGTTTCATTCGATGATGTTAGTTTCGGTGATTCAACATTCGATTTGATAAGTATTGCGAGTGGGAAAAAATCGAGTAAGTCTCAAGTTTTCATGTTCATCTTCTGATCATTCATATGACATTTTCAGATCAAGCACCAAAACGAACCATGACGAAATTTGATATCATGTCTCCAACTATCTTAGCGTCGACGAATTCTTCTCGATCGAAAATGAATCGCGCAGCTAGCATTTGTAATCTAAATGAACATTATCAATCGTTCACATCATTACATTCCAAAGCGACAGGCCCATTGAGATCTGCGCCTAAACCCGCATCAGCATTTGGTGGAAGTCTGATGAATCTCTCCATGTTAAATAATAAAAAATGTACACAACAACATACGCATGCCTTCGGTTTTCTCGATGATCCGTTTGATTTAACCATTGATTCCCCATTGACTGGTTCAGTTTCATCGTTAGCTTTATCCATACCATTAGGTGAGTTTCTTTTTGTCGATTAGGAAATAATCCCCTACATTTTTTTTTGCTTTTTTCCAGGTTCACATCTCGCACGGAGTCAATCACACATCTTGACAAAAACCAACAAACAAGCCATACTGAATTCCCTTAAACAAGTCGCTCTAGCTGGACCCGCTAACGAACGACAACGTGAACTAATCTCCCGAGTAAGATTTTTTGACACAATTGAAAACATAAAATCATCTCTCGTTGGTTTCGTTTTTTGTCCACTAGGAAATTGAATTATCCGAAGCCCGACATTTTGTTCTCCTCTTTCGCGACCATCGTCTTCAATTCCGTGCTGTTTATGTGTATATACCCGAAACAGATATTATCGAAAAATTGTATGGAATCGGGCCTAATATAATCACTGAAGTCATGGTAGAAAAATGGTTCAAGTAAGTCTCGTTGTTTTGCTTCAAACAACGATCTGATATTGTTTTTCGTTTGAACAGATACAATTCTGGTGGTAAACGTTTCACAAACATTCCTATCAGACATTTCTCTATTCAATGTGATGGCATTACTATTCACAATGACTTCTGGCAGAAAAAACTACTCATGCATCTCAATCGATTACATTAATTGCAAAATTATTGTTGATTGTATATGAATTTATTAATTTTTTTTTCAGTCTTTTTTCCTTTTTGGATCAGTATACATTAAAACACAATAGAACGAAGAATTCCAGCATGATTGAGAATATATTTCAAATCGAATCTCTTCATATCGTATTTCCATATATCTTAATTGATGTTGATATTGAGCTGAATTAATATTTATTCATGCTATTCAAGTCAGACACAGAAGGAAACGAAAAGATTGAAAATTGCCATGCCCAACCTTTTCTGGTCATGACTTTGACATTCGTAATTGATGGCCACGATCTACGATCGTTTGATTTTGTTTGCCGCGACTTTTTTCGAATTATAGATCTACTTATCTTATGAATTTGAAACTCGATTTTACGATCGTAAAGATGAATATTTTCGTCAAATAGAAAGAAATTTCCAAATATCTAAAGTCACTTAATAATATTCTCATGTTTCTTTCCAACCCCTTCCACTTCGTCAATCGCATTGATTATTAATTTGCGCAGCAAAGGTACATTGATTGACTGCTGAAATTTTTTTTCTTCTTCTCTTACTCTGTGATTTATATCCAACGAAAACGAGAGAGAGAGAGCAAACTGGAATCACGAAAGAAAAGAAATACATTCGAACCGAAAGAAATAAGGACAATCGACTGGTTGTCGATTATAATGAAAAAAAGTTAATCTTATTGTACGAATGTGAGAGGAAAAAACGAAAAGAAAAGAACGGTGGTAGGTGAAAGAAGAAGATTCATTGATTCGCGCCTCGCTGCACGCATGTGTGTTTCTTCTATGAAATAGTCATATTTCGTTTTGTCGAAGACAAGAAAAAAAGTACCATTGACTGATTATGTCATCAAACGTGAGTGCGTACACCCATTTAAAAATCGACTGGCAATTTTTCGACAAAATTACAAAAGTCATGCGGAGAGTTAATCATACATTCACTTGAATAGAATCTCATGTAGAGTTCAGTGGATGTGACTACGAAATTGAACTGATATATTTCATTGAAATTCTTTCAGATGTTGACACGTGCTCGATCGTTATTTTCGCGTGTGTTCTCATCGGAGAGTTCGACGTCATCTGCCCGTCAAGACGAACCAATGAAACAAGTAAATGATGAACTAGAGAATATGAATCGAACACGTGCAAACCTTCGGTATTTGCATCCTCATGAAAAAAGTAAACAAGATCGGTTGATTCATTCGATGCAAATTGCGATATCACGTGGAAATCTCGACACTATCAAACGTCTGTTGAATAGCTCAGATATTAATATCAACCACCGGGATCAATACGGCATGAGCTACATCGAACATGCTATTCTGATGGGCCGATTGGACATGGTTGATTTATTCATCCGTTATGGTTGTGATCTTTTTCAAGGTTATTTGTTCAATTTTCATTAGGAGATAAACATCAACCATGATTTTAGGTAATTCAAATGGACATTCGTGTTTGTATGACGCAATTGAAACGACAACGAATAAATCAACTGCGATCGTTCGTCTTTTACTCGAATCCAATTGTGCATGTTTACGTACATTAGATGTAGTTACATTAACATCATTAACGCAAATCGCCTATATCAATTGTGATGATTATCTTCTTCTTAACGAACATTTACTCCTTATCTTCAAATATCATATGCGTCGAATGGCTTTAGATGTACTTTTAAATCTTCTAAGTTACTTCATTCAAACGAATTTGTTTCTATGTAAAAACGATGAATATTATGGACTCGATTCAACGAAGAAAACCATCTTTCTGGATTTCAATCACGATTACATATCACTGTTCTTGAAGGAACTTCAATTGAGACATTTAGCAAAGTTTAAAACCAAAATTCAATGTTTACCAACTGTATCTTCACCGTCGTTAATTTCGCTAACAAATAATGATATTCAACCATGTTTAACACAAGTCGATAACTCAGTAAAACATGTCGTTGAGTTGAAACATCTGTGTCGATTCTTCATTCGACAAAATGTGAAAAATCTCAAACTATCAACGATAGCTAAGATCGTTCCAACTGTTAAACTTCAAGATTATTTATTGTACACCCCAATTTGAATTTATTCGTTTAATGTAAATAATAACACGAGTCTCTAATTCATCAGCTAAATTGTTTTCGTTTCGATGAATATGAGACATTACGTCATTTCCGATAGGTTAACATGAATGGTTTACTAACTAACTTCCCGAAGCCTTTTCTGTTATCACAACCTCGGGAATACTTACAGTGACGCATTGTTCTTTCAAGTTCATAACTCGCCGTAAGACATTTTTTTTTCGCATTTCTGCTGAGCAATGAGTTACTTTGAAATGTTTCACCATTAACATAATAACCATCGAAACAATCTCTCTCAAGAAATGTTGGAGTACACGCGAAACGCATAAACATGTCAAGATCAATTTATTCCTTCTTCACTGTATTCTCTCTGCGAAAAAAATATAGTACAATACAGATGATTGTCCGTAAAAAAATACTAAGATGAATATTTTCGAGAAAAAAATACGATGCTTAAGGATTGGGTGCCCGTGTCGTTTTGCGAATTAATCAGTTAAGCATGCAGGATTCATAAGTTGGAATCATATATCTAAACAGCGAGATTGTTTTTTTTTCTCTAGTAGGAAAATTGAAAATTTACTTGATATTAATAAAGGCATCTTCACCGCCGTGCCGTTCGAAGGCTTCAAGTGTTTCGCTAATCAAATCTCCTAAATTTTCACGACGTTGTTGACCGTATTCAATATGATCGCCTAAGTTCGCTGAAAGGAAACAAAATCGAGTTAGTGCACTCTTCAAGCAACAACAACATGTCTATTTACAATTCCAATTCTTGAAGAGATTGAAGATTGGTAAAATTTGACGGTAGTAAGGAACAAGTGCTTCTCCAATCATGTCACCAGAAGTAACCAACTGTTGAAGGATCTTCAACGTAGTACAAATAACTTTATGATTTCGGGTGTTCAAAGCATCTATGCGAGAATTTCAATGAGACGGGTTCGTTAAGAGGTGTACTTCGTCTACTTTTAATTGGCACGATCAATTGTGGAATAACAGGAAGAATCTTATTACCACCATGTTCAAGCATATCATGAATACCTTGTCGAGCGAAGAAATCCCAAGGATGGTCGATTTCACATAGACCATCAAAGAACAGTGGTAGATAATGATGATAATCAAGTTTTTCAATTTCGACCTAAATGGAGCTTTCCAGTCAAACTTTGATCTTCAGTACAAACAAGTGTCACTACCTTCCAAGCGATTTTATTGCCTTTTGTGTCGTGTTCCAGTGCTATGGGAAAATCACCACGTTCATAAAACTTACGGAACGCGGTTGGCTTGCTGTTACGAATACGCGTTGCATCAGCTCGAGGCGGTGCGTTTACCTGTTCGTATAGATATTTGCTCATCAAAATATCAAATTTCGTGACGTTTAGAAAAGATTTACTTTAGCATTTTTCAGGAGAGATTTAACAGTGAATCCATCTGTTTCTAACGGTCCACTTTGCCGTAATCGAGCATTTGTTTCACGACGAGGCGATGTCACTGTAGCCATGATTTATTGTTGAGCTCTTGAAAGTGTTGCGATTTCACACAAGTGGTATACTCTTTCTTTTCTTCTATTGTTTGTTGACGACAACCATTAGGAGAACTCATTGCTACGAAACCATCCTCCGTTACCATTCTTTTTCCTGCAAGACGACATCTTTCATCATAAACAGGTATTCCAGAGAATTGCACTGGTATGAATACTCTTCATTGATTGAGATGAGAGATAGAACAGAAGGTTTCGCGAATAGAATACATGACGAATGATTTGATTTTATTGAAAAGAAGAAACAACGGTTGACTAAAATCTACTGTTCCCAAGCGCTAAAACGAACTATTTCTGTTGTCTGGTATACGGATTAGTAACATATCACAAATCTACTGTAAGCAATATAAAAGAAAAACATGAATTCACGCACGACGAGCAAATGAAACGATGAGAATGCGCGTGCTAAGAATAATGAGAAGCAGATGTACGCAAAAACAAAAACTAAGAATCAAACGGTCATACAAAATTAGGTGAAAACGTTAAAAAATACACGCAAATGAAGAGAGTTTCAAATTAGTTGTCACTCTTGGTTAACGCTTAGCATTGAATGATTTCTTTGGTGAAGAGGGTGACGCCGGAGATCTGTCATTCCAATACTTATTCAGATTTTTATTAGCACGTTCAAGAGTTTGTGATGCCAAACTACAACTTGACGATAATGAGCGAACTGATTGGACGGAAAGACCATCATCTTCTATATTCAAGAGAAAATAGATAAGAGAGCTGAAAGAAAATCAGTTTCACCTTTATTTTGAGGGTTGTATGTGCGATCGTAACGTTCATCAGGTAATTGAGCATAATTTTGATAGGAAGGTTTCGGTGTTGGTGCATATGGATGATGCTGTTGTTGCTTATCATCAAGTCCACCATAATAATAATCAGTTACTTCATCTTTGAATCGACTGCCTGGATATGAGCAATCTATTTAGAAGAGGAATATTTCAAGGCCAAAATGGACTAGTTCGCAAGATTTACATTCATTGGCGCTTGTGTAAGGTCGTCTATCGTACAAATGAGAATCGTAACTAGATCCACCTGTTGCATTACAAGTATCGTGAGAGCTTGTTGCTGGACGGTAACCGTTTGTGTTGCTCCCATTTTGCTAAACAATATAAGACGAGATTTGTTAGAAGTCGGAGAGGGTCAGAAGGAATTTTCATACGTGAGTTGCACGATCATGCACATGTGGTGAAACGATTGTTCTTTGTGGTCGATCATTTGGTAGAGGTGAATGAGTTCCTGTTCCTCGAGATTTATGTTTTTTTGGTGACGTACGACGAATAATATTCGTTTGATGTTTGGAATTATCAGTTCTATTATGATGACGATCATAATCTCTAAACTCATAAGAAATCGACATAGATGATAGTTTTGCGAATCAGAAACGAACATATCTGAATTGGATCGTTGGCTATAAAGGCTTTCCGAATCCCATGACATGTGTTGTTGAACGGATGAAGAGCCGAGATTACGAACAAAGGCTCTAGTAGCAATACTTGGTTGCTTTGGTAAGGGTTCATCGATATAGACAACGCGATCGACTTGATGATCGGTTTGCACGACCTGATCAGTTTGATGTTTAGTTGACTTCTCATGGTGTTGTTTTGGTCTACAACAAAACAATCTTCAAACGTACATGATTTACTCTGTGGTCATACTTTTCGTAACGAATTCGCTCATCTTCCTTTCGTTGAGCGTCTTTTTCACGACGTCGTTGACCTTCAATACGTTCTCGTTCAAGATCTCTACACGAAATCAATCACGTCAAACGATACTTGATCATTATTCTTAACGACTATCTTACCGATCGATTGAGATAACACTGTCACTATCTTCATCTTCGTCATCGTGCACATCCCATGCTTGATAATTACTTGCACCATAACCTGCTTTTAGTTGAAGAGTATGATCAGGATTAAAGTGATCGGTTTCTGCTTTGGAGCGAAATTCATCGGCACGTTTTCGTGTTGACATCAATTCTTGGTACCAAAATAGATTCGGATTAAAGCCTTTTTCATCCTTGAGAAACCAAATAATTCAATCGTATCTGTGCGAGGTCAGTTAACTTACTACAGATGAATCTTTGTACCATTTACCATCTTTGTAATCAAAACGCCAGAACGGCTTATACGTGGATTGATATTCTGACTTCCAACGTCTGTCAAATACAATTGTTTTCGCAAATTGAAGAAAAGCAATATATTACCTTAGTTTTCCATGAGGATATTTTTCTCGAAACTCCTGACCTAAGTCGACAGTTCCACCGGCAACTTCGTCGTCGGAACGTGAATGCTCTGCTTTTGGGACCTGTTGTTCTCGTCTTCGTTCATCTATTTGTTCGGCTTCGAGTGCCTTTTGCGGCCGAGGTTGTTTTGGTTCGACGACCAGTGGTTTATAACGCGTTCGATACTCGGTTGTATCATCTCGTTTAGGGCGAAATGGTTTAGTTGAATGAGTTACGGTCCGACGTGTTGGTTTGGAAACTTTGTTCACATCGATTTTCACCCGCGCTGGAGTGTTGACCCCTACAGACGTTTTCTCAGGTCGTTCAATAGCCGATGCAGCTACTCTTGAATTTGGTTGTTGTTCTCGCTTAAAATAACTTCGTGGTTTTCTCTTTCAATTAAAGATGAAAGATCAATTACTTTAGCACCTTCACTGGTTGCTGGTCTTTTCCAATCGTACTGTTGTTTATATTCACTTAAGGGCGTATTTCGTTTCTATTGGAACAGATACAATTTCGAAACTGTTTTCATATATGCAAGAAGAAATGCAGCTTACTCGTTGAGAAGCCTCATCGCCTTTATGTCGAGAATCAAACGAAGCGCCTTTTGTTCTTTTCAAATTCTAAAGTTTCCAATATAACAGCAGATCACGCCCCGTCATTAATTGTACTTACAGTTTGGATGCCGCACGAATGATTTTTACTGTTTCGTCGCCGTACGACCACCTATACATAGCTTTCACCTAGGATTTAGCTCTACTAACAACACGTACTCGAGGTGAATCACTTTGAACAGGCTTTCGTAATGGATATACAACATTATTTTCAAATTTTGAATTTTTTCCCAGTAATGCAAATTCTTGCGATTTGGCCACGCGTGGATGGTCTTTAACTGGCTCCTTCATACGATAGAGTTGGGATTGAGAAAACTTTTCATTCGGACCGATGAGAGCGAAATCGCCATTGTTTCGATCAGGTGATGCTGGCACTGATCGACCACGACGACGTGATGGTGAAGATGCCGAACGTCGAATAGGTGCTAAGAATAGAAAGCAAGCAATTACATATCGAGAGAATGTATGAGAAAGAACCTTCGCTTAGTTTTCTTTCTTCCACTGGAAGCTCATGAAACGCTCTTGGTGTTCGTTTCTGATAGTTTCTTTGGTATTCAGTCTAAATTCGATAGAAAGAGTTTCATTGAAACAGTTCGCTTTCTCTCTTCTGTATTGAACATCTTACCTGATACTTCATTTTGCGGTTTGTAACGGATGCGAACGATCAGAAAGCACCATCATGTCTTTGCACGGATCATTCTGTCGCCATATCAACATAATTAATCCAAGAAGAGTTTTTTTTTTAATTTTCATTAAATACTCAAATTTAAAATATTTTTACGAGAACAATTGTTTGTTGTTCGCGACATCAACAACAAATTGCACTGACATCTATCGGTAAATATCAAACAAAGGTATTTGTTGACGTTGAAATTCAGTTAATTTGGAATAAAAATTTTGTCATGGGAAAACAGTCGAGTCCAAAACGGTTGACTTCGATGGCTCTATCAGGTTGCGTATTATACCGGATTAGGTCGATTTCTTATAGATTTCTATGTCTTTAGCTTCGAAATCAATCGATGTGAAAGCCCGTAAGCGTATTGAAGAACTGTATGAGTTAACTGATGAAATTATCAATGCGTACAACGAAATTGATGAGAAATACATCAATCAAATCTATGGAAAATATAAACGACTGCAAGATGTGAACAAGAAGTTGAAAGAACAACTGAAGCAACACCATTGCGCGGGTTGTAAATGTTCGTTTCGAGCGGAAAGTAACGCGGAAGTAGTAGACGGTGATGATGAAAGTGAAGAATCGAATGATAATGACGAATACCGACCAAGAAAAAAATACAGTTCAGCTGCAGCAACAACAGATTCTACTATCACACGAAGTAAAAAAGCAAATAATCGTTAGTTTTGATTTCATTCGGCCGATTCACTTTTTTTTCTAATCGATTCTTCTCTTGTTCTATAGCTTTCATCATATCCGATATTGAAGATACACAAAACTTCGATGGGAACGATAGTCGATTCGCCAGTAAGTTTCGAATGAACCCATAACATGTAACCTCCATGAATATATTTGTAACAGAAAATGTATCTAATGACGAAGAAGGTGATATATCTATGGATACAGCTGAAAATCAAGCTAAATCAACACCCACACAAAATAACGAAGCCGAAGATGCAAGTGAAGAAGGTAAGAAGTTTGTGCACATGTTTGTGTGTTTTCGACTATTAGTGAAAAAGCCTCGTATGCGCATATCGTGCTCCTATGGTGGATTGTTGATTAAAGAATAGTTTGAAATTCATTTAGATATGGCGGTGCTGTGGTCATGGGCCGCTCAAAGTGAGTTTTTACTACGTTGCAAAGAAATCAAGGTGTTGGGCTATTCTATACTGATATTAATATCGTTTCCGTAATTAGAATTCGAAGCATGTAATTGAACGCATGTTAAAATAGCGATACTTGGAACCGAAGTATATTTCACTCAAAGTTGTTCTTGTTGGGAGTATATCATGTGACATTCATAAATACTTGATGGCAGTTAAAATCACTTATCCTATTGAGCTTACGAACTGTGGGTGTCTGAAGGCAACTTTTAATCAGTGTCTTTCTGTAGGCGTACTTGAAAGTAAAGAAATTTAATTTATCGTTTTTGTTATTTACCCGCATGAATACGACATAATTATCTAGTACGCAATATCTGATAATCATGACTTGAAATACACACTGAGTACCTTTTGCAATTTTTCCAGACGATTACTTTTATCTATTTCTTCTATGCAACGGTGTATGACCGAACAATAGTTGATAATATCCGGCGAATGTTTCTTTGTGTTCTACAAATGGTTCTTTGAATATTTTTAGTTGATGAGAATAATGATGGTGAAAACGGGATGTCTGGTTTGCCGCGAGCATTACAAGAAGTTATTCGACGAAAAGCTGAACGAAATATAAAAGATAAGTCTTATCTCTTACAGATTCCACGTTATCCAGCTTTATGTGAATTTCTTCGTGATAAATCTCGCACGTCATTTGATCATCGGCCAACCGAAGCACAAGTTCGTCCATTAATTGCCAGTTGTTTCAGTCACCATTTTGCTAGTGATGCGAAGGCACGTATGCGCGTTCGCGATGACTTACGCGAAGTGCATCGATCATATATGCGAACATTCATGCAAGACCCACGTGTTGTAGGAGCGAAATCATCTGCTCAGAAGGCGAAACACCTCGTTGTGAAGAAAAGTCCCACTTAGATTGATATATTCCTCTATTTTTTTTATATTAATTTTTCCCTTTTGATCAGCTAATCGGTTATCTGTACATAATAATAAATGACTTTTCGATGTAGCTTTTCACATACGCAAATTCTTAGACGGCTGATTGATTGATTGATTGTTTGTTTTCTTTTAATATTGTGAATCCCTATAACCATGTGTACACTAACTATCGAATAAATACGAATTGTGTGAACCCTGTTCTGTTTCAACTCTTGAAGAAGGTGCTTTCCTATTGTGAAATTAATATTACTTCTTCGACTCGTGCTTTCTTGATTTGACAAATAAACAACTGATGAATACAATTTATTTGAGCATTTTATTTTATTTTACCACCAAGTAAAATAATAAATAGATAAAGAACGCTTGAGTCTGTCTGAGAGAACAGTTTCAATAAATGTACTGTTCCTAGAAATGAAAGGTAGATTACAATAACAACAAGAGAAGAAGATCGCAATCGATCTGTTTAATAAAATCGAAAAAGTATTTGATTATACATTTCTTACGGATACGTAGGTATTGTGTATGTATATATGCTCATGTTATGTATGAATGGATGCTTGACATAACTCATTTTGTTTTGGTTGTATACGAATAACTGACGAAATGCGCGTGATTTGATAGAAAATTAGATTAAAATGCAGTAGAAATTGAAGATAAGATCTGTCTAAAGCATATCGGGTAATTGACATGAGCCAGATATCTCTGGCTTGATACACATATTACACATCGGACATGTACAGTTTTGTTGTAGCCATGGTGATAGACAACGTTTATGAAATGCATGTTCACATGGACAAACGGCAATTTCTTCGTCCTCATAGAAATCATCAAAGCAAATCACGCAACTCTAAAGAAAATGATTTCCATTAGAATATTTTATTTCCACATGATTCTGCAGAATAATGACACATACGGAATTCTTCACTTTGCATCGTGTATATTGATCTTTTCGGTAGCCTTTTTCACGAAATGTATCTCTTCTCAGTCTACAAATATGTCAAAACAAATGAATGAGATTCTCCTACAAGAGAGTACGATCACTTACCGCCATAAATAACAACAGAAGCATAAACTTAAACAAAGCGTTGTCAAACCAACACCAAAGATTGGTAATGAAACAGCATTTGGTATCGATGTCAATGTTAACGTGTTACCCATCTTTGTTTTGTTGTCACACACAAAATTCAACTACATGGTTTTCCTTCGCGTAGATTATTAATAACTGTCGAAAATTACATTGACATTCCACTCTCACTTACGTATATGTAATTATGGTTATTATTTATCGTGTTTATCTCTTCTCCTTCTCTTTTTTTTCTTTTTCTTATTCTTCCTTCCTGCCTGCTGACGAGAGGAATTTGGATTGGCTTGATTATCAACCAGGAAAATCAGATGTTTGAATAGATCAACTTAAAGCACGTTTTACTCGCGTTTTTCCACCGAATTTCACTCGCCTTCGATAGTAATTATCACAAAAGCGGTTCGTTGAAGTTTCTAAAACAGCATGTGAGTACGAGTGACATCTATGTCGGAGACACATGGGTTTTCGTAATTTTCTATCATTATATAATTGTTTCATTCCTCTTCCTGTTGAAAATAATTTTCCATCATATCGTAGCTAAATTCGGATTGCTTGACAAGAAGACGTCATCAAACGATAATATATTTGCTTGATCACTGGAATCACCCGATGATAGAAGTCTATACTCAATAGTACTTCGATTTCATCATTTCATCGTGGGTACTAGACGTTGTTATCGATATGAATGGCGTAGAGTGCTATTCATGACAAAATGAACTGTCAAAATCAGACATGAAATTTAATCTTCTTTCATATTTCGTTACCACAGACAGATCTTTGACATGGACTATGCTACTTCAATTCTATCTGTTTCAATCTAAAATACCTGTGGAGAAGCAATGCTTACCGACTTAGAAGAGATGTTACCTCACATTACACACAAATGGACTGAATGAATAAACAGCGAGGTCGGAAGTACTTTCAATCTTTATCCAGTCATTTCGCTCTACTGGATCGTTCTGGTCTACCTGGATCGATAATTAGCTTTACTATTTATTACTGACATTATCAAAAGTTGTGGATAACTCTTTCCATGCGAATTCATCAGCCGGAATGAATATGTAGGATATTGTAAATACATCATTACCTAATTATACTCTTGTCATCATAAGCCATTTGTATTCTTTTCGACATGAAATATTTTGTTGTGCTGTTTAGAAATGTATTTGCCCTATGTCTGATCATCTATTTGTTGAGCTCTCAAATATCAAAGCAAATAGCGTTATTTATAGTATCGACACTGTCTATGATTCAGTAGCTTTTGAATAATCTTTGTCGTGTAATGACCACATAATGCACTCAACAAACAAGCCCGAAGCATTCTTCAGCTTCCAAACAGTTTTATCGAACAGTAGGTGTAACCATTGTTAAATTTGAAGAAGTTTGGAGCGAGGGAGAACTACCTCTGAGGCAAGTCAGTATGTTCATCTGTCTACGTCAATTCTTTTGCTGAGAAAATAACGCTTTGTTGTTTGTTAAACATTAATAAAAATGAAATCTTAGCTTTATGCAAATATATTGATGATTCGCGATCAAATGTCTTCGAAAGAAATGTTACTTATTGTTCTACTTTTTTTTGTCGAAAAGATATATTAAACCCTGATTATATATGCTGATGCATATGTTTTTGCTCGTATTAAATTGTTGATCGTTTCTTATCAGCAAGAATTGATCGATTTCGCGAAGAAATCTGTCCGACAGGAAAACGTGAGTGAATGCCAATACAAACAGTTACAACACTGTCTCATTTGCTATTCTTCTCTTAGAAACCTTCTTCTTCTTGTCAATATTATTTTTTTATTGATTTCCATCAATAAAAGGAACAGAAGTAGGAGTTTCCTTCATCTTTTGTACTTTTTCTTTGCCCAATGTCAAAGATTTGATTGGGAAGTACATGTTCACACATATTATTTTGCATATTTGAAGCGAGAATGTTTTCATGAACAAGGTGCATACAAAATGGTTGTTATGTTTCTTGGTTCCATCTACAACTCATCATTCAAGTAGGCTGAACTATATTTTCTGCAAATTTGTACTTATTAAAGCCGAGACAAATTGTGTGTTTCGCGCAGAAATCTTCCTCGCCCCCCAAGCAGATCCTGGCTGGTGAAGGAGAGCATTTTTGATTGAAAATCCAAGCTTTTGGTAGGACACATTGAGTCAGCGCGATAAGTTCTATCTGATTTTGAACTGATCGTCAGACACTATGTTTAAAATGTAGTAAGCGATCATTTCTCTCTCTATCATTAGAAGAAATGTGAAATCTACTCGTCAGTTACTCAAAATAGTAAATAGCAGTGTGCTTTATGAAAAAACAATGCAAAGTAGCTTATTTTCTTTTTATAAGCATTTCATTATTTAGAAAAACAAACGTCAACGAGAGAAGCAAAAATCGCCGAAGCACGTACAAATTTTGTAACACTGAATTTAGTTGAAGAACAAATGACCCGCACAGCTAATTATGAAAATCTCATTTGGACTAGTACTGTCTATACTCCGTTAGTTGAATGGCAAAAAGTACTTTCCAAACTAACAAAAAGAGAAGTTTACAAAGGGTTATTTTTCGAATTGATGTACTTGAAATAGTTTGTACCTATGTTGATTTTTCATAGACTTTCATCAAAATCTGATCAGCAACGACCAATCACATATCACCATTCTTCATCAATAAAAAGATCTGAGCGATTGGTATTACCGAAAAATCATCTGATCGATAATTCATTTGTATCGCCATCAAATATGGCTCATTCATCAATAGATATTTCTCGACAAAGTATGTGAAGAAATAAAACTAAGGATTTGATTCCGTTTCCTTTCAATGCTTTGTATTACTCGTTTTCCATCCGTTCATCATAGTTAACTCGTCTACAAAACGTTACCACTCATCATTTAAAACGATCTCCTATCCGTTCAATAACAGACAAGTACAACGAACAAATTCATCAAATGATAAAATTGTTATTTTTAAATTAACGAATGAAAGTAGGCAAATAAAAAGTTCATTAAAGTCAAATTTTCTCATTTGTAAAAATAACAGACGCAGAAGAAAGCAACGATAGTGGTCCACACCTATCCATGAAACATTCTTCTCTTTCAATGGGAACATCATCAACAATAACAACGCGTAGTTCAACACCACCTCCTAAACAATCGTCAAATCCAACTTCAACATGGAAATCGAGTCCTGCTTATAGAACAGATGGTCTAAGTATGTCAACATGCGATATTTCTATTAATAACTTTTGCGTTCAATATTTTATCGAATCAAACTATACATTCAAGTCTCTTTCTTTTCTAAACTTTTGTTCTTTGTATTTTGATTACAATACGTTTCTATCCAGGAAAAGGAGACAGAAAAAATAGGTTGGTTACTGTTGAAAAAAGAAAAAGAACGACTTGACGAAGAGTAATCAAATGCAAACGAGTAGAAAAGAAGAAGAAGAAGAAGAAGAGAATTGACAACATCAAATGTTGAAATAAAACACGCCCAACATGGCAAGCAAACAGCAACAGAAGAAAAATTCTTTTTTTTTTCTTACTTTTTCACATTAAGTGCTGTTTGCGTATCTATTTATACACATAGATTGTTTATTCTTTTAGAACGTCGTGCAACTCGTTATGATTCGCCTGTAACTGTACCAGGCCACAACAATCTATCGACTTCTTCGAACTCAATTTCTACTATGGCGACTAGTACGTCGAGCCATCCGACATCGAATTCATCTCTGTTTGCTTATGGAAGTACAATAACAGGCGGCAATACTGTTCGACAGAGAGCATTAGCCGAACCAGCAACAAATAGTCTACTCATTACAAGTGAAAGATTTAAATCACATACACCTTCGACCATGCGACCAGCAAGACAATCATCAACAACAACAATGCCATCGGCATATATGACATCTCATCAATTACAACGAAATGCTAGTCAAGGCATGAGGTCGCGTAATCACCAAGACAAATCAACGAATTCAAGAGGTAGGAAAATATCTTTTAGTTCTTTCAGAAGCCAAATATTCATCGAGACTATTTATAGAAATCTTTCGATGTCTAAATCATACGCCCTTTTTGATTTCATCGATAGTCAATGTGAAAGAAATTAATAAAATCATTGCATACATCATTTCGGGAGCAAATCTAATCATACAAAAAAGTACATCAATGACTTGATTTTTATCTTTAGACGTTTTTGATTATCCGGATCCATTTACTAATTGTCCTCCAGAACTGTTAAGTAAACTAGCACAATTAACGAAACTCCAAATGGAAACAGTCGAGTGGGAAAGAAAACGACGGTTTACAAAGAAGAAATCAGGAGCCAACGGCACCACACAAGGAAAAGACAGTCCTTAAGCGATACTTGTAAAAATTTCTTTCTTATTTCTTTTGTTGGTTTTTTTCTGTACTCATCTTACTAGAAAATGTCATGCTCGCTTTCGAAAATGTCCGTTTTCATGTTCTTAGTGCACAATGTGAATATTGCTCATTTTGTATGAATATTTCAAAGCACATGATTGTTATTTGAAGGCGTGTACGAAACTATTGTTTTCATATTCTTATGAATACAACGCCTTAAGTAGTTTCAATAATTGATTTACGTTGATAAGTATGAGGTAGAAATGATTTTTCTCAATAAAATATTGAACAAAACCATGACACATTTGTTTTATTTAATGAACTTTACTACTTATTCGACAAAAGCTTATGTAAATCTAAATCTGCATATGCACTAATCAAATAATTCACAACAAAGTTCCAAGCGTCTTGAGTATAATAACTGCTTTATTGAACTTTAACATTACAGAAGCACGTTCGTTGCATAAAATTGCATCTGTCAAATATTTCGTCCTCAAGTCTATTTCCTTCCGTTGTCTAGTGTTAAATAGTAATTTTTTTCACTAAGTGAAGACTCTATTGATGCGTTTGCACTCTTTCATAGATCATTCACTGATTGAATTCATGCCTACTGTATCTGTCAATCATAGAACTTGAGCAGATATATCATTAAAAAGATGAACACGATGTCTGTTTAGGAGCATACTGTCTTTTGAAATTGACTTTGCACCGCAGAATAGGAAGATATTTTATTTGCGTTTACCAATGTCTATATATACATATATTTCTGCCTTATAGTGCAATTATGGAGCGTGCTAAGTCATACTAGTACAATTAATATGAAATCGTGTCTACATCGTACAATATTCGAAGGAAATGTACTGCACGATTACATGTGTGTAAACATGTAGAATTGCAAAAGAAGAACATTCGTTTGATCATACGAACATAAGTCGTGATATTCTATGACAAAGATAAATCTAGGTGTAGTTGTATTAAAGTAGAGCAATATGTCAAGTAAGAACTTGAACGAAGAATTGATTTCATTTCCGTTTCGCCTGATTCGGAATTATGTTCTTCATTGTAAAAATGCAAGTAAATATGTCATTCCAATAATAAAATATATGTCCGAATCTATTGTCCAAGTTAAATTATCTTTAAGCCACTTTTGTTGGCATCGAATAAGAAGGAGATCATAGCAATCAATACTCAATTGTTACCGAAAGCTTTCGTCTATTCCAATATGCAAAAAACACAATACATGGTTTTTATTGAATATATTGATGTTTCACAAAACGCGTTCACCTTTTCTACTCATCGACGAGTAATAATCGTTTATTTGAAACATAATGCACACCTTGTTCTATTATACATCGACTTGTCAGCTAATTGATATTTCCAAGGATTCTATCACCAAAGATCACAAAGATGCAACTCTATAAATATCGCACGTATAGATATCTCAGATAATGAACCGTATAGGATCAAGAAATCAAAACGTAATATCATGCTGTTTACATTGACACATGATGAAGAAAGAAGAAGCAATTGTTTAAAGATAAACTCTATACCAATTTAACAACAGATCACACCATATGTTTCATTATATTTTCAGTTCTTTTAATTTTCAACCTTTTTTTATTGTCAGTATCTAATTTCATTTAAAAACTATGATCAAGCACACGAATAGAAAGTGAATAAAGTTCTTTCTAAAATTCAAAAATCATCTTGTTCAGACCAATCGTACCAATTTTATCATTGTAAATCATACGATATGCTTTTTGTTTCAACATTAATCTACGCTGTATTGATCCCATGCATTCAACTTCTACAGTTTTTGTGTTTTTGTTTACACTGTCATTGTTTTTCCTATCAGATTTTATGAAATGAAATTTTTTACTAGGATTTAATACACTTCCTTCAGATAAGCACACTGCAAAAATTCGCACTATGCCATCGAGCGGCAAATTAGGTTATAATCTATCAGCTTTAAATGCTGTACAGTGTTCTCGAATTTTCCATTTTCTATTCATAAACATTTAATTGAATACCAATAGTCATGAGTACAATGAAACCCCGCAACCGGTCGAGATAAGCTCCTTTCACCCGGCAAAGTATTTTTGTTTAATTTAGAAAATTACTGTTACAGGTTCTATGTGACACGTACGTGGGTCATTACCTATTTTTGTTAATATAGTTAGAATTGAAGTATTGTAAAGTTGTTTCGTTTTAATGGCAATGAAAAATCATAACTATTCGTTTTTCTAGTGTAATTAGGACAATAATCGGTTATGATCGGCTTGAGAAAAAGAAAGATTGTACGAGTCTAATTTGTCTAGCTAGTCATTGTTAATAATTTATATCAAATTGAAACGCAACCATGGATTATTTTGTTTCTATTTTGACATAAATCGGACTAGTCTCATGATCGAGGGTGCATAGAATGCAATTATCAAACGGTTATTAAGAGAGTCAATTAGTACTTGAGATAGAATATCATGATTGTTGTGCTAAATAAAGTGTTCTTTTCCTATTTTGTTTTTTGACAAAATACCAATTGCGAAAGTAACATAAATAAATATAATTGAGCAACTTCTATGATTGTTATGCAAATCATTATGTCGAGATCGGATGGCTGTTACAGTTATTTCATTATTTGCAGTCGTTCAACATAATAGGCCATTATTTCTTTGCTAAAAGCAGTCATTAGAGGACACTCTTATTTTGAAATAACTCTACTATTTAAACTCGTGCTACATAGGCGTATACATCGTTTGGATGCTTGAATGCAAAATTGAAACTTACGGAACAAACAACGACAATATTAATAGTAGTAACAATTATAAAAATAATTGTAGCGAAATAGAATCGCTATGTTATGAAACAAATGATTTGTAGGCTACATTGAAAGCAAGAGCCGGTGAAAATTTAGTCATCATCGATATTAGTCGGTAGTATTATAAACCAAACTCGAAGATCGGATATGTAAAATGAAACCCACTGTTGTCATTCGTTTTGCTTTTCCGTAAAATGACTCTTCAAGAAATGTAAATGCCAAATATATATATATATGTTTATTTCTCTGCACATACTTTTGTCTAGGACACGAATGACATTTATATACATTCACCGAAGGGACAACTTAGAAGAAATTTCACGAGAAGCATTGAGTTCAACATGCGAAAAATTGAAAATCCCATGAAACACCATTGAACGTGATCATGTAAACACGTTTGTGTTAGTTTTATTCAAAAATCTTTGAATAGTTGCACTTCATATCTTGCTGCTTGTGGCATTTGTTTCATGTCACATTCATCATATGAATCGAAGTTTGTTGCATCACCTGGTGATGTAATGATGGGCTTGATTGGTGGTTCCACTTTTCGTTGAATTACATCGGTCCATGAGATGACAACAAACCATTGTTCGCGTTTTATTTCATCACCACCATTTTTCGCCGAACCGATTCGTTGGGCTTGATCTATATTTAATAATTTACGAAGAAGTTGTTTAGCAGCGTGATCAAAATGACGCGGAAATGTTATTTTTCCGGAAAGAATCTTTTGATATGTTACAAATTGATCGTTGTCGTAGAAGGGTGGGTATCCTAGATACAAAAGAGTTTATTTTGACGTATCTATTTTCTCCTTTAATTACAAAATACTTACCAGCAAGCATCTCAAATATTAATATACCGAATGCCCACCNTTTAATAATTTACGAAGAAGTTGTTTAGCAGCGTGATCAAAATGACGCGGAAATGTTATTTTTCCGGAAAGAATCTTTTGATATGTTACAAATTGATCGTTGTCGTAGAAGGGTGGGTATCCTAGATACAAAAGAGTTTATTTTGACGTATCTATTTTCTCCTTTAATTACAAAATACTTACCAGCAAGCATCTCAAATATTAATATACCGAATGCCCACCAATCGGATGCTTTATGATGGCCACGGTTTTGAATGACTTCTATGTAAATAGAAAAAAAAACAGAAGAATATCATCAAACGATGAATGATATATGTGGGACAAACCTGGAGCAAGATAGTCCACTGTGCCACATAGAGTGAATGTTCGTTCTTTGGTTTCTTTGGCAAAGCCAAAATCGACTAGACGAATATGACCTTCACTATCCAGTAGAATATTTTCCTATAAATTAGTGTTATAGATATGTTACTGAAAGATCAAACAGGTCGTCTCATTGAAAACATACTGGTTTTAAGTCACGATAGAGTATATCTAAATGATGTAGGTAATCAAGTGCAAGTAGAACTTCACTTGCATAGAAAATCGCTGTTTGTGGATCGAACTTTTCACGTTTTCTCATCATTTGAAAGAGTTCACCGCCTGGTAAATATTCGAACAGCAGGTAAAGGAGACTATTTGTGTGTGTTGTCCATAGTAAACGTACAAGAAACGGATGTTCAGTCATTGAGAGAATTTTTTTCTCATTACGAACATGTTCGACTTGTTTCGATTCGACAACTTGTTTGATACACATTATTTTAAGTGCATAGAATGTATGTGTGGCTCGATGACAAACAAGTTGCACTCGACCGAATGTTCCTAAATGCATAATAAATTTGCAATTCAAAGTCAGTTTCCGAGTAAAAAGTGCCTACCAGTGCCAACTGTTCGAATCGTCTCGAAAGAATCAATTGCAAATTGAATATCCTGTGTGGAAGACTTTCTTGAAGATGATGTTGATGTGACAGTTTCATTTAGGTAAGCTGAAGCACCTAGATCATATTGAGACTCTTCACTTTGTTTATTATCTAATAGAGTACTATCTGATTCGAAGATATTTGATGCTGTTGAAGTCGTATTGTACAATTCGGAGAATGTGGGACTAGGAATTTCATTCAGTGTCGCTGATGCCATTTGACCGACTAATTCGTTTGAATCAGGAATACTCGTCGAGGGATGTAATAACACGCCGAGTCGGGCGGGTGATGTTTTCGATGTGTGTAGACTTTTTTTCGTCGACATTCGAGAAGATTTTCTTCGTTTTACTGTTGCAACAGCAATAGGAGTTGTTTTCGTTAGACTTAGCTTTTTCGGGGACAGAGGTGCAACAGAAGATAATGTTCGCGTAGTTAATAAACGTTCAGTTGGCTTAGCTGAGTTAATCGAACGGACTGAAGCCATGGTGAAAGATCGATAAATGAATTGAACACCACTAGAATAACAGAGAAGAGAAAATGTGAGCAATTAAAAAAGAAATGACGTCGGAAGCATCTGACAGTTAGTGCCACTTGAATTAACATATTCAAGAAGCACAAAGTGAAATTTTGTCACGCAAGAAGTATCGGATGTCAAATTTCAAAGTGGTTTATATCTTGAGGATTTGGTGAAGGTGAGCATGAACTGAGAAAGTGAAAAAAAGAGAGAGAGAACGAAGTATCAATGAATACTTTCACTCAAGATTTGAGTATGTTTTTCTTTCGTATATCTATTCAAAATTCTTATTATTTCGACATATGCAAATATATGTACTGAAACCTTTAAAATATATCGAATTTGTCAAGATAAAATAATATTGAAAGTGTGAGTACGAGAGAATATGCAAGAGTTCAGAGAAAGGAAAAAAATCTCTTCAGTCATTCGTTTATCGATCAGAAAAGAAAATGGAACGGACAGAAATCTCTCCTTCTCGTTTCTTCTTAGTGTGTTTATTAAATANATTCTTATTATTTCGACATATGCAAATATATGTACTGAAACCTTTAAAATATATCGAATTTGTCAAGATAAAATAATATTGAAAGTGTGAGTACGAGAGAATATGCAAGAGTTCAGAGAAAGGAAAAAAATCTCTTCAGTCATTCGTTTATCGATCAGAAAAGAAAATGGAACGGACAGAAATCTCTCCTTCTCGTTTCTTCTTAGTGTGTTTATTAAATATTAACACGCTATTTCCCGTTGATAATTAATAAATAACTTACTCTTGTCTCTTGTTTTCAAATTAAACGACCAGTATTACAATTGACACGATGACGATACACTAAATGTCGAATTTTTGCCTTATAGACGATCAACTCTCTTCAATAAGAGTACATTATTTGTTTATAAATGTCCTTTATATACCACAACTAAACTCTTTTTTCTCTTATTTTCTTTTTTTCTTTACTTCAATCGTCAACTGCAGCAGCAGCATCATCATCATCATGAGTCTGCCAATCTGTAATGCACACAGTACTCAAATGTATAAACGATGGAAACGATGACGACAAAAATATTTCTTCGCCTTTCTATACGTTTCTACTGAACGCACACGTTTATACTTTTCTATTGTTATTCTTTTCACGAGATCAGAGCAGAGAAAAGCAAACGCATGTGTTGTTTAATGAGTCGAATAAAAAGAAGACAGAAATAGGGAATGAGGTAAATCGAAGCGAAGAAAGTGAGCATGATCTTCTTATGTTTTGCAGAAAAATATTTGTGTCTGAGCTTTTTTTTTGTTGTTATTTTTATTATGCCTATTATGAGGACACACTCGTTATGTGTTTGCGCTCTCATGGGTGAATAAAGGAACAGAGAGAGAGAGAGAGACAGAGAAAAGAAAAACATACGCGGAAAAAAACAGTAAGGTCAGAAGCAACAGACTCGGTGTCACTTTTTTAATTTCTTTGTTATTATTGTATATGTGTAGCATATGCGTGATAATCACACAATGCTCAGTCTTCCTTAATTCAATCAAAACAATATCGTCTGCTGGCTTATTCAAAAGAATTCTTCGTAATGAAACGAAACACTTCTTTGTCATCGTAACATTTCGTCATGATATGATCTTCTTACATAACTATGTCGAAAACAAAACAAGCGAAAAGAAAAATAATACGATACTCAGAAATTTTGTTTGGTAGAAATCGAGACGATAAGAGTTGGGATGAGAAACAACCATAAGGTCGAAGTCGAACGAAACTACTCCTATAGTACCATAAAGTGAAATCGCAATATGACTTTACCAACAGTATCTGTTCTTTTCAAAAGAGAAAAACAGCCTTTTTGATTGAATACAGACTTATCATGGATGATGAATGCAAGTATTTTCTAGATTAAATATAGATATTATGCTGTTCTGAGCTCGTTAATAGATCAAAACAGAAAAGCACTCGACACAACGAAAACAAAGCGAACTGAAATGACTGAAAGATGATTGGATTTATTTTGATTTCTTCATTCTGCACTTAGATTACATCAAGAAAGAAAGATTTGATGAATGAGAAAGACTTTTATATTGACATTCGAGATGAAGTAATATGAATCTATACAACAACGCACATACATGTTGTTCGCATGGACTTAGCTGATAAAGATTGACAAGAAATGTAACGATGTTTCATGTTAATCCAGATCTTCTTGAAGATTGAATTGTTAAAGAAGAAAATTCATCATCACTTTGAATATGACAAAAACAAATGAGATAAAGATTAAAGTGTCGAAAATGTATATCCGGTCAATAAACAATCTTCAGCGAACAAAATATACTATCGATAAAATAAAAGATTCCTGTTTCTCATGATTGATTCTCGTGGGAAATCATACATTGAAACAGATATGACATATCAATCAATCCGAACAGACACAGAATTCTTCGATAGATAAAAGAGAATAAATCTAATTATAACTTGTCTTTCTCTTCATTTTACACGAAGACAGACAAAACGAGAGAGGGCGTGAGAATCCTCAATAATTTCGTTACTGAAAATACGTCTTTTTATTTCTTTATGTATAAACGATGCAAAAAAAAAGATGAAACACAAGTAGAAAACTATATGTATAGGTGAAACATCTATTGAACTGTTTGTTGAGCAGCCATATGATCAGTAATGATATCGAAGAGAGACTCACGTTCAGCCATGGATTCTGCTAAACTTTGCGTCTTCGGTTGTCGGGTATCGTCCGTATGTGGTGTCATTCTCAGCACTCCGAATTGACGAATGTTCGAGTCTCTCGCACGTATATGTGCAACACGTTGCTGAGCTTGTAAAAGTCGATCACTGGCATCTTGCATAGTTTGAATATCTAAATGTTTTCGTTCGATGTTGGATAGAGCTCGGCGGGCATGCTTTCGTTGTGTTAAGTATTTTTCGATAACTCTCGCTTGTTCTTCGGCATTTTGTTTCTTTCGAGTCACTGACTCTCGTGCCTGCCGTGCTTTTCGTTGATTTCGAATGTTATTTTCATGATGTTTCAAGGCATTCGAAATCGATATATGCTGAGCATTAAAACCTTGAGAGAATGCAATCTGAGCGCGACGTTTTTCTTGTTGTTCAAGAAGTTGAAGGCGATGTTCTTGAACAGTATCGTGCAACTCATTTTGAGCATGATCAAGACGATGACGATTGTACACTTGTTTCTTACGATCTTGATCTTTAGCACGATGAATTGCCGCAAGACGTTCATCATTTATGTGCTAGACATAAATGAACAATTATAATTGTACACGTAATGTCTTTTTTTTTCTTTTTCTCGTATTCATTATTACCTGTATGTATGCGTTATTCAAGCTGTGGTCCTGTCTGATTTGTTCGACATCTTGTACGAGATATTTCCGTCGTTCGATCTTTGCTCGATCATCGTAGGCTTTATCAATGGCTACTAAACATCCTAATGCCATACTGCCGTGAATGGTTCTCAACAGTCGATCATCGGCTGTTTGATATTTAACCGGTTGTCGGTCGGCAGTATTGTTTTCTTTGATTTCGTCGATGCGTTTACGTTGTTTGAGATGTGATTCATCTTTTATGGCTTGTACGTATTGTCTAGCTGCGCGTATTTCGTCATTTAGTTCTTCGACCGGTTCACAGACTACAAGTTCAGATTTCTTTCCACGAACGATTGAAGTGGTTTCATCGGCATTGGAAGATTTCGAGACACCTTTTTTCGTTGATGGTTGTTTGGCACTGCTAACTCGATCAGTTTGACTGTTGATGATCTGGTTCATTTGAATCCGAATATGACGTTTATTTTGGACTGGTTCAACAGGTTTATTGAACTGAAAGAAAGGTCTACAATGAAAATCGATGATCCTGAATCGTCTTACTTCCGTCTGAGAGGTTGGATCGGTGAACAATGACACTCGGGATTGTTTGGGATATAGCGAGACTCTGCTAGACGAAGCAGCTCCCGGTGAATATATTCTTCGACGTAGAAATCCTGGAATAGGTCTAAAGGACATGAGATGCAAGAGAGTTGTCGCTGGTCTTGTAATATTACTTTTGTTTAGATAAAGCCAACTTTTTCAATCGCAAGTGTACGAGCCACATTCGAAAGTTCTTCTGTAGGATGAGCACCGGACAACAGTGTGATTGAATTCGATTGATTTGTTTATAGAGTTGATTAATCGCTTGACGTTCCGTTTTGGAAGTTCCATCCTTACGAAAGAAAAAAAAGTGGATAAAAAGTTTTCTCCATTGATTCATTCACTTACTTTACCAGTTGGAATGTAGAGATTTAATTTAAACGTGTTCGTACATGCAGTGAACGGTTCACGAAAATGAGTTTTCTCAATGATTTCATCATCCGCAACCACGTATGCATCTAGAGCCTAATCAATTCATAAGAGGCAAATCTTATGAAACAAAACCCAGTTTACCTTTAGTGTCCAGATGCTATTAACAACATGATGTCTATAATTTTTCTTCAGACTCAACGGCGAATCGTACAAAGTCAAAATATCCAAAGTTGGAGCATAGGAAAGACATCTAATATCATCATAAGATGACATAAGATTGTCGTGTAGGTAAAGAATTTTCAATTTTAACATTTCTTGCCATAACTGTCCGTCAGGTAATTTGCTAATCTAAAATCAAAGAGAAACCTCCTAATGTTAAGGCAATTTTTCTTACCCGGTTAGAATGCAAATCAAGTTTAATCAGTTGTCGACAATTGAGAAGTAAACTCTCGATAGACTCGATGAAATTCGAACTTAAATCGCAGATTTGTAGATGATTGAACTGACCAATATCACCAATGGAACTGAGTTTTAGTTTCGATAGTGATAAAACATAGATTTCTGTTGCAGATGAGGCACGTAAATGATTTTGATGAGATTCAAGAAAAGCGAGCGTTGGTTCTTGCAAAAATTGTTCATCCATTTTTCGATGTGACTCTATTCGAATTGGTTTATACACATTTTTAGAAGTGAATTAGATTCTATTCGCCAATTGACATTCAGAACAGAACGAAGAGAAAAAAGAATTCTCTTGCTGCCATTTGCATTGTTACTTCGATTGGAGTTGCAGTGCAACAAACGAACAGAAAAAAGAAATCAGTCGATAAACAAACAAAAGATGCCGCAGAAGACCAAGAGGAAAACTGATTTCCTTTTTATTTTAATTTACATCTGCGTAGAGCGTAAAATTAAATTTCTGCTAGTCTAATTGTTGTTTAGGAGATTAGACTTCAAGGTAAAAGAACAGCAAACGTGACCTTAGTGAAAAATATTTTCGTTATTTGACAGATGTCTTAAATAAAATATCAACCATCGGTTAATCGATAATTATCGTAAACCTAGTCAACTTTTCTCAGACTAATCTAGATAAATATAACAAAACAAAAATCCTGTTTATTGTTTTGAATCGGCTGGATTAGACATAGGATTTTACCATGTTTGTCTACGTTTCTTGCGGTTTTCATCTTCCACATTTAATCGTAAGAGAGAATGTTTGCATTTGAATACGAACAAAGCCCGGTTTGAACTTGTATTAAGAGAAAACCTAAGATGCTAACCTTCTATCGGATCATTTGATGATTGTGTATCTAAGTACCTAAAAATGTCATTGAATAAGTAGACGTCAAGGTTATATTGTTTTTTGTTCTTTTGTATATAATTCTATGCACGGATATTTATCTATGGATTAAAGATTTATTTAAGCGTACGGGAAAAGTAAAAGCTCGTGCATTTTCGTATCAATAAGTATCATCTTCATTTTACGTTCGAACTACATACATCGAAACAAATCATTTCTGTAGACATTGTCATGGTTGCCGTTGCTTGTGTTGGTCTTGTTCTATTGTCACTTGTCAATAGTGTTGGTATGTACATGTATATGGAAGACGATGTAATTATCTGCGTAAATTGTTTTCTAGCGAGTAATTGCTTGGTTGCTGGTGGTTGTGGTGTAGGCAGTTGCTGTTCAGCATTTGGTGTTTGTGGTTCTGGTGCGCAGTATTGTGGTTCAACAGCTGTTGTATATCCTGGATGGTCAGGCGCACCGTATGTTGGTGGCGATTGTCGTGTTATAGGTTGTGGAGCTGGTTACTGCTGTTCACCTTATGGATAGTGAGTATTTTATAGAAGTAAGACGATGTTCTAATATCTCCATATTAGCTGTGGAAATACAGCTGATTATTGTGGTACACCTGTTGTTGTTGTTGCACCAGCACCAGCTCCAGCACCTGCAGTAGGTCAATGCCGCCTAACTGGCTGTCCAGCGGGTTCATGCTGTTCACAATACGGATAGTAAGTTTTATTAGGGTTTTTGAATGTCTAAATAATCTATTTTCTCGATATAGTTGTGGAACTACAGCTGCTCATTGTGGTGTATCGTCATACGGTAACTGTGGTGCCACAGCATGTGGTTCTAATCTCTGCTGTACACGATATGGATAGTACGTAGATATAGTCGTATTTGATCGAGCCTCAACAATCTTGAAAATATTTGTTCATATTAGTTGTGGATCAGTTAGTGTTTATTGTGCATTTCAACGATCTTCAAACGACAATCAAGCAGCTTCGCTTGAAGGTGAATTCCAAGGTCAAGCTACCTACTACAATGAAACTCGACTTGGCTCACAATATTCAACCTGTGGTATTGAACGAGGTCGATCATTGAACGAAGATAATGAAGCAGTCTATGTTGCTGCTATTAATCCAGCTCAATTTGATCCTTACACAGCCAATGGCATTCCAAGCACCAATCCAATCTGTCAAAAGAAAGCTGTAGTTAAAGGTGCCAAAGGTGAAATTAAAGTTCGTTTCGTGGATCGATGCTTCGACTGTAAACAAGGTATGACAAATTTCTTGTTAAACAATATTATTTTCTCATCTACGTTCTCTTTTTGATACAATAGGTGATATTGCATTGACACAAGATGCTTTCATCGCTGTTGCTGGCGAACTTGGTACTGGACATACTAATGTTGAATGGCATTTCATTTAAACTGATGTCACCATGACATATCAACAGACGATCAAAGGAAAAACACTCGATATAAACAAAATTTTCTTTTTCATTTTAATCATATCTATGCGTAGATATACATATTCATTTACATTTTCTATCTTACACAAATAAAATCATTCTATTCTTTACACTCATATTCACATAACATTGCTCTTTTATGAAAGGCATTGAATCTGCTAATTTTTCATCTTCCCAATTCATATATTAACACGAGTGGAAACTGATTGCTTATCAAAACATAATAAATAAAACCTCGCTCACCGGAAATCAATCTATGGCTTTCGAAGCCGACGTCCGCAATCATTTTTTCATGTACATTTACCTATATAAGTACGTTGACAAATTCAAATGGAGCACGATCTTTAATAAAGCAAAATGATCTATGGAATATTACTTGAGAGTTGTCGAGACGGTGTCTGTGAAACCTATGGGCCCGCCACATGGAAACGAATCGTTCAAGATTTAAATTTCGAACATGAATCATTCACAACGCTTGGTCGTTACGAAGCAAACATCATCGAGCGAGTGGCTGAATGTAAGACATAGTTGATCTTCGAATACCTAACATTTGTTTTACGTAGGTCTCGCAGAAGTTCTTCATGAAGGTACACCAGATTTATACATGCAGTTTTTTGGTGAATGTTTTGTGAGGTTTTTTACTAATTATGGCTATGATAAAATCTTACGCGTCGCTGGTCGACATTTTCGAGATTTTCTTCTATCGATTGACCAACTTCATGATTCCAATCGATTCAGTTTTCCAAAAATGAAATCACCTTTGTTTCATGTAACAGACGAAGATGAAAACGGAGCAGTTTTACATTATAAGTACATCATTTGTCTTCATATTGCCTCCGATTTTCTCCTTTCTTTTTCCAGATCAAAACGGCGAGGTTTTCAACGGTACATCATCGGACAGTTGAAAGAGTGTGCTGCAAGATTTTTCAAAGAAGAAATCTCCATTCGTATTCAAGACGATGTTTCATCGAACGAATGTAAGCTCGAACGAAATTTCTCAGCAATAATTATCTTCGTTCACTTAGATACACATATTGTTTTTCGTGTGGATTTTCATAATTATCAAATGAAAACCATTGGCAAACGTTTTATTCAAAATCCCACATTGCCCGATGTGACTAGTGCAACATTTTTCAAAGTAGGTTTGTTATGACTGATAAATAACAATCGTAAGTAAATATCATGAAGTTATTTGGTAAAGATTATTTTCAAAATATGTCTATTCACTTAATCCGTGTGTATGAAAACAAACTCGGTTTGAACTTAGGTTTTTCCGTTCGCGATCATCCTTGATCCTCAAATGCGAATCTTTCATATTGGAGACTCAGTGAAAAATGTTTTTCCACCTAAAACTCAACTAATTGGTCGACATCTTGATGATGTTTTTTGTCTCCTACGGCCGGATATTTTACTGGAATGGAATCGAGTTTGTTTAATGAAAATTTCGAGAGAAAAAAGCTGAAGATTTTCTTTAGGTTCTCTCGTACGGTCGGCATATCGTCTTTGTCATCGAAAGTCGCATTGCGCTACAACCGGCTTCATCTATTATTGTAAAACAATTAGGAACGGCACATGCTACTTCTCATCTTCGACTTAAAGGTCAAATGAAGTTAATTAGTGCTTGGAATATGATCGCCTTTCTTTGCCACCCGGAGTAAGTTTTTTTTTGTGCGCAATTTCAATGTGAAATGGATTGTTAAATGTGCATCTAGATTAACAACAGCAGAAGAAATGCTTTCCGTCGGTTTGTTTCTCCACGACATAAACTTCTACGATGGTAGCAGCGAGATTCTCATTGCTGGTATGCAACATGCTCGGACATTACAAGCAGCTATTGATAAACAACAAGCATGGATAACTAAATTACAAGGCTCAAAGCATGAATTAATGGAATGGCGTCGTAAAGGAAAACGTCTTCTATATAATATTATGCCACGACATATTGCACAAATGTTGCAAGAAGGTGTACTGGCGAATTCTATTTGTGAAGTAAAAGATTGAATGAGAAAGGAGGAGATCCTTATGGCATGTTTTAGTCTCACAAATTGATAACGGTTCTGTTTGCTTATTCGATTGATTTTAAAGATGTGGTGCAAAAACTTGCTCCGCAACAAATCGTCGAGTCAATCAATGCAATTGTCAATGCATTTGATCAATGTTCAGAGCATTTCGATGTGTTTAAAGTGGAAACCAAAGCGGATTCGTCTTACATGGTCGTGTCTGGTATACAAGATCGTGGTCCGACGAACCAGCGACGTGCATCAACTGCAGTATGTTTCCTCTCTTTCATTTTTCTTGCCTTAGAATGTGGCTTTATTTACATTTTAACAGAGTGGATCTTCAATAACTAGTGTGGCATTCTCAGAAGAACTCAATGGTGACTTGAAAAATCCGTTGGGTCTCAATCAAGCAGAAGTTATTGCTGGTCTAGCGCTTGAGATGCTGGCAAGTTCGAAAAAAGTCATTAATCCTGTAACAGGACAACCGTTTCGGCTAAAAACTGGTAAGAAAATAACGATTTTGAGGTTCTTCCAGGAAATTTATGTATGTCATAGGTTTCCATTCCGGTTCAGCTGTCGGTGGTATCGTCGGTGCGAAAAATGTGCAATACTGTTTATTTGGTGATACAGTCAATACGGTAAGAGAATAATTGAAAATTCTCCTTCAATGTTTTCTGATCTTTTAGGCTAGCCGAATAACCACGACTGGAGAGGTAAATATAGATCGTTCTTTGTCTAAATACAATATTTTTGTGATACTGTCTAGCCGGGACGGATTCACATAAGCGACACGGCTTATCTACTTCTCAAAGGATCACCTTATTTCGAAGTTGAAAATAAAGGTCCAACCGAGTTAAAAGTAAAATTGATGACACTGACTTCTAAAATAATGCTCTCTTCAAATTATTATTCAACATCATAGGGTAAAGGCATTGTTGAAACATACTGGTTAGTTGGCCCGAAATCCACATATACCACAGCCATTGAACTAGATCCATTGCTTCTTGTTGAAGAACGTCACTCTGTATCTGGACACAGTCACCATCATCATGGAAGTCCTCGTCATCATCATACAGGTTCGCATGATTCTCATAATAGGAATGTAGCTGATGGTCGTGGAAGTCAAGCATCCCAACGATTATCAACTACTATCAATAAAGCATCGCATCCGACTGGTGGTTGTCCATTTAGTGGTCACTGAAGTTTCATGAAGGTATTCTCAAGAGAAAAACTACGAAGAATCTCATCTATTTTTCATGTTGTATCATGTCTGTATCAAATAATAAATTTACGCTTTAACAAACTGATTGGAAATTTTCAATATGGCATCCTAATAAAAAAATCATTAATAAAATCAACTAATTAGCAACATGCATAAAAAAACATACTTCAAGATCAGTTAATTTACCGAACATATTTGATATAAACATCGGTTGAGTACATTCGACGGACGGTTTGATGACAGTCACAGCCGTGGGTAACGGAAGTTCATTGTTATTGTTGACTGGTTTTGTTATCAAGCCATTATCGTTAACTAATTGATAGGAAGAGCAAGGTGTTGAAATACAATCTGACTGAGGTAGGGTGTTCGGAGGTGTGATCATTATTGTAATAACTCGATCGATTATTTCATTGATACATAAAGACGGCTAGATGAAAAAACGATCGAAACGGGAGAAAAAATATTCAGCAATCATCATTAAATTACTTCCTTAATGAGAATTTCACTTGTAAGCATTTGTGCACATTGTACAACATCATGATATTCGTTTGGATTGATGAGATATTGTAATTTATGCATGATTTTCTTTGCGATATACTCAATTATCTATAGAGACGAATAGACGGTTGACATTTGTATTCGAAAGAATAGACTGCTCACTAGTCCATCTTCACTTCGACCTTCGTCGTTCTCACATTTCGAGCTGAATCGTTTTCGATGTGTTACACGAACAGTTTGATTATTGTTATTATTAGCAGAGAAATTTGCCGTCATCGGCGAAAGAACATTACGACATTTCGTTTGATATAACATCCAGTCTTGAAAACGATTATGTCGTCGGTGAATATTCGCTTTGAGATTATCCGGCATGCAAAATTGAGACGTGTCACGATAGTAAAACGCTCCGTAATCTTGGTTTGTTGTTCGCCATAGATCTGAACAATCAGCTGTTAACGCAAAACGTGTTAACAAAGTCGATTGCACTGGTCGATAGTCATCAGTATCAGTACAGTAATTAACGAGTTCGCATGCATTGTCATCCATCAAGGTTCATATACATTGAAATTAACCTCGAGTGTAATTGACCATCTTGTTCAAACAAAAAAAAATGGATAGAAAAGTTAATAATGCGCTCTTTTCCATTACTTCGAGTAAATTAATTGAATTGATGGCGATCGAGAGCACATAGGTGTGCGAATAGAGTTCTATGTTGTTATTACCACACGTTCGTACTTTATGGGTGTTACTACTTTCAGATATATTTACCGTGTAACTCGATGAATTAAGTATTCGAATGGAAGAAAAACACTAATTCATCGACTTAAGTTTTCATAACTGTGTAATGAGGTCATTTAATTTGATGTTGTTGATGTTTATAGCTATCAATGGTAATAACAACAACAACACTGATGTCCTCGTAGAGATATGTAAGCCAATCAATTAATATAGATTCGTCATTGAAGAGCTGTGTTTTTACGTTTTGATTATGGATAGGCAAAACGAGAGGTAACGCATAGAAATATTCATTGATCAATTATATTTCATCGTGTTTATCAAACGGATTGGCAAGGCTAAAAGGATTAATGAACCTTGATGTCTATTTCTACCTTCTTATGATTTCCAGGTGATTATAAGTTATTTATACTACGATTAAGTGACAACGGTCCACCTATGTGACGTCTATTCTTTTGTTTAGCACGCTTCATCAGTCACCCTCGATTATTATTTCTTGCTCTTTTCGTTTCTTCTTCTCTTTCTAGACAAGACCGTGTCTCTTCTACATTCGCATATTTTGATGTTTGTGATCAAACCTCCTGCATATCTCAATGATAATGTCAATTATCATCGCAAGAAGAAGTTTTTTAAGAGATTTGATAAACGTGTGAATAATAATCAAACTTACGATCTTCGCTTGATTATTCTTCGACATGCGGAACGAGTTGATCTAGTCTTAGGTGAAAGCTGGTATGATCATGTTTTCGGTGGTGTACCATCAGCACCACCTCAGAGCTATCAACATGCGCTTCTACCACAAGCATTACCGCATCGTATAAATACGTTACTCTATGTATTTGATCCGCCGATAACACGATCTGGTGAACAGAAATCTTATGCGAAAGGACAAGAATTAGGCAGATATGGCATTAACGTTGACCATTGTTATTCATCACCTGCTTGTCGGAGTGTTCTTACGGCAAGTGCAGTTTTAGAAGGTATGAATCGACCTTCTGTTCCAATTCGACTCGAACCTTATTTATTCGAACCAATGGCTTGGAATCAGCCATTACAAATGTTAGACACGATTTCACCGTTCATGTCCACACGCGACTGGTTACAAGCTGGCTATAACATTGACCGTCATTATCAACGTCTCAATGATTATTTGAATCCCACAGAAAATGAATACGACTTTTACAATCGAAGTCAGTACTTTTTTCAATCAATTGAACGGCGTCATGGTGGTGCGGCAGCTGGAGCGGGTCGTGGATTTGGCCGATCACGACGTTCGAATGTACTTATTGTTGGTCATGCAGCAACACCACTAGTCTTTCAACATATGGCTTTTCGGCAGCCGTTCAATGCTGAAGCTTTCGGACAGCAATGCGGCAACATTGGTTTTCTTCATACACTTGTTCTTGAACGTAATGCAGCAAATCGCACGTGGTTTGTGCGACCTATTATGGCCTCTTCTTGAAAAAGAAGAAGAAACTTGTAGACATTCATATAAAAAAAAAGAAAGAGGGGAATATACTATAAACTATATCTATTGTATCTGACCATGAAATAGTAATAGAGACAACCTTCGGTCTTATTCAAACCTGTCTGCTTTATCGAAGTCAGAAAAAGAAGAGAAGCCATGCTTGACGTAGATATAGGTGTTTTGATGTGTATGTAGTAATAAACGAACGGGAGAAGAACAAGAGCAATCAAGGCGTAAAGCTTTATACAAATATTTGATCTGTTCGAAGAAGAAAACGAAAGTAATAATGACCAAGACAAGCGATGATACAGATTCACTTCATATAGAAGAAGATTTGGATACGGCTTTTGGAACAATTAGACGACCTCCGACATGTATGAAATCACCTTCGGCAACAATTCGAATACCAGTTAGATCAAATGAATGCCTGAATTGTACTGTTCGATCAAAACATAAGTCCAAAACTCTATCGAGAAAAAAACCATTAACACGATATATTTATCCAAGGATCCCATCACGTAGTGAATCATTAATACAACAACCAGCAGATTATTATGAACGAGACAGTTACCATCATCATTATCGTCACCATCATCATCATCATCATTACTCGCATGAACAACTATTTTCTCAAGGTCAGCCGCCACCATCTGATGGTTGTGATATGCGTTTTTTTATTATACGACATGGTGAACGTGTTGATCGTTATTTTGGTTCAAATTGGTTTATGTTAGCTTTTGATCATTTGGGTCAATATCGTCCTTATCATATAAATTATCCACCGGATTTACCAGCACGGCCGAACAAATATTTTTGGGCACTTGACACGCCATTAACACGTGATGGTTTAAATGCTGCACAAAATGTTGGCCGAGTTCTTGGATTGAATCAATTCGAGCCGTCTTACGTGTATTCTTCGCCAGCGATGCGATGTATTTTCACGACATATCAGATATTGAAAGGTCTCGGTTTAGAAAACAAACTATCCATACGTATCGAACCTGGCCTGTTAGAATTAGGTGCCGCACGATTTGGCATGAGTTTTTTTCTCAAGCCAATCGACTGGTATAACTATGGTATTAATGTTGATCTATCTTATCAACCGATCATACAAAATATTGACCCATTAGAACGTGAAAGTGCCTATTATCTTCGTTCGAAATTTATCATCCGTCAAATAGAACAAACACATTGTACTGCATCGTCACCTTCAACACTGAACATTCTCATTGTTGGTCATGCAACTTCACCTGAAACGTTAACATGGGATTTAGTCGGACGTCAACCTAATGTGTATGACTTATTCACTCTATCGTTAAATATTGGCTATTTACAAATGGTCATAACTGAACGACAAAAAAGTTCCAAGTCTTGGTCGTTGACAGAAATGCCATTACAATCAACCACACTCAAATGGGTTTGAATTTCGACAACGATCGAAGGAAATTTAATTAATGAAACTTTTCTTTTTTCATACTCATTTTTTACAGCAACGAAATCATTTTTTCTTTCTGTAAAATACAAATTATGCAGAATTAAAACCGGAACTTTAAGAGTACAAATTCTATTCAGCTCTGTTTCGAAACCAATGAATCCGCTTTATTTTATACTGTGTGTATCCTTAAAAAAAACACATACACACTTTAAAATTGGATAAAAAAGACAGTTTCAAGGTAAAAATATTTAGCCGAATGCATCTATCAGTGGAAAGTTTTATTGCCAAATACCAGCTGTTTCGTTATGAACATCATTCCAGTAGAATTGCGAAGAACTGGAATATTGTTCTTTTGATGAATTATTAGTAGTCACGTTGTAAGGTGGATAATATGAATATACTCGGTCAGTAGTAGCTGATTGTCCATAGGTTTGGTGATAATACGGGTAAGATGTCACTGATTGTAGATCAGCATGATTTGCTTTGCTGCGTTTAATTGATGTTGGATAAGAAGTCGCAGTCGATGGCTTTTGTTTCGGTTCAGCTAATCCAACGGTAACATTTCGACCTTGAACAGAAAGATTGTACTATTTCAAGAGGATGAATGAAGAAGGTTAGTTACCATTGATGATATGACTGCCGAATAACGTTCGGACGATATTAGAATCATGAAATGTGACAAAACCGAAAGAACGTGGCGGTTTGGGAATGTAAACATCTTGGATCGAGCCATATTTCGAAAAATATTGTCTCAAATCATCTTCTGTGGTGTTATCAGTTAGACGTGTAACAAAAATTTTTCGCGCACATTCTGGTTCATGAATGCTTATCTAAAATAATATATATATATAAGATAGGAAATAGAGATCAGATATTACTTTTGAATCAGGCAATTTAACGTCTACGTATCTACCATCAATAAAATGTCGTTTATTCATCACAGCTAATTGGGATTCATAATTTTTGTACCGGATAAAACCGAAACCTCGTGATTGTCCGTTGCTATCGCGTTTGATCTAGGAAAAGATTTTGTAGAACAGAAGAAAGACAGATTCGTCGAATATATTTACTTCACAAAGTTCTAATTCTCCAAAGATTTCGAAACATTTCCGAACATCAGCTTCTACACTTTGATAACTTATTCCCAAAACAATCAAATCCACACAACGACGACTTGCATCACGATCTTGTTCATTTATATCTGATCTGTTTTCAAGTTTCTGTGTTTTATATTGTCCTGCGTATGTAGTCGTACTATCATCTTGTTCATCAAAACCTTTTCTTTTAACATCTACTGAATTAGCTAATTGAAGAAAAGTCGATAACTCTGCTACACTCGAAAATTCAACACTCACGCTTTGAATAAACAGCGACATAAACTGTATCTAAATCCCACACACCATCTGGATGATAAAGTTTGCCGTCTACTACACGCACGCTGAGACAGAGAGAAAAATAACGATTTAGTTTGTAAAAGAAAACCTTGGATTGAATGAGCGCAAAATGAGGAGGTATGAAAACCACCACACGTGTCACTCCGCATACATTGAATTGAAAACAACAAACACATTCACTCACCCTCTCCACACACTCGTCTCAGAATGGCGATATTTCAATGCACTCACACCATGAAATTGAGCGGCAAGTGTACTCAACGAAACTGATCCATCAGCATCTCCATCGATTGGAATTTCAATACTATCTTCATAGTGTTTAGGATCGTCAGTTACGCGTATGAACATTGTTAGATTGCCAAAAAGAAAGTCTAGTTATTGAACTCGTGCTTTACGGTACACGATAGTAATATAATACCAACAAAAAATAAAATTGTTACGCTCGTTTTGAGTAATTACGCAAGCATAAAAAGCAAGAAAGACGAAGGAAGAATGAATCTTTTCTAATCGATGAGTAGACGACTCAATACTCAACCTATTCAAAAGAGGTCTCTATCAGTCATAGTCGAAAATATTGGCTCTTCTGTCGTACCATTTTTCGTTTACTATATAGATGTCTGTTCAGAACAATTCATATATGAGTCATAGTGGGAGACATATGTAATTCTTGATGATTAGAATATTTTCTTGCCCTTTGTTTACTTTAGATTGCGAATAATAAATACAATAACTCTCCCTCTCTTTCATAAGCAGTAACGACGCGAACGCGAAAACATCGTTTTTTCTTCTTCCTACTGTTAACAGTAAAGAGGTCAAATCTACCGGATGAAGCAGCTTTTTTTGCAGAATATTTCATCAGATGTAGGAAAAATTCAGATGAGAGAATGGAAGCGAATTATGGTTCATTCAATTTTACTCATACTTCACAAAAGCTGTTCGATGTGTTTCTGATATACTCTTCGAAGCACAGGTCAGTTAAATATATTTTGCTTCCTTTTTTTATGCACTCCACTGTACAAAATACGAAATCATGCATGGAGTCTTCTATTCTAGTTCGACCTGATATTCATTTTTTGGCTTTTGTCATCATTCAAATGTTTCTTTCAGATCATAATTTTATCTGCGTTTACAAAGATGGCAACCACAAACAAATGCTCTTTCTGTAAGAAAGAATCAGGGCCAATGTTTTGCACAGGCTGTGAAAACTATTTCTGTTGGAAAGATTTCAAAATACATCGAGAACAAATGTTTGCTGAAATCGATCAAATTATCGAGGAACGAAATTGTTTACAAGAACAAATCAGTGCTATGGGACAACAAAGAACTCCGAGTCCTCTAATCAAGCAAATTGAACAGTGGCGTGACAGCACTGTCGAGAAAGTAAGACAAGTCGCTGCTGATGCTTGTCAACAGGTTAACCATTTGTTAAACTTGGAAAAAACGAAACTGGGTGGTGAATTCAAAGACTTTTCGAGAGAATTAGCTCATCTGAAAGAAAGTGAAAATTTCGCTGAAAAGGATTTAGCACGGTTAAATCAAAAGATAGCGGATTTCAAAAAAGCGCTCAGACAAGCAACCGAATCACCTTCGATCGTACTTCAAATCGAGCGGAGCAATGGCATTGATTGGCAGAGTCTTATCTATGTAGAAGGTATGTTAATTAGTATCTCTTTTGAAATAGATAAACTTTGTGAACAGGCTATATATTTAAAATCTCGATATTCAAAAGATATCCTTCCATGAGCATACATTTTCGACTGAGAAAGCGATGTTGAAATACACAAGGAACATATTTTGAGGCCCTTTCGATTATAATTGGTTCTAAAATATCAATCAGATACCTTATAGCTATGTATTTCATCGCATATTTACTTCGCTATATCAGACAAAATGATAATAATTCAACTATATCCATGAATACAACGAGGCTTTTGCATGCACTAAATGATTCTAAATCAGTAACAAAATTCAATCTCTTTTGATTGCTAAAGTGGTATCCCCAAAAGTTCCTGTGTAGGTTTCTTCAAAGTTCCACTCTCACTGAGAATCTAGAGTAGCTAAATTTAGAACCCGGTTTTCATATTCCAAATTAAAACATTGATTTCGGTTGTAATTTAGATATCTCAACAAAACTGGATTGTATGGTTAATCGTTTGTTATCTAATGCTCCTTGTTGAAAAAATGAAAAGCGTTAACAACAATTCATTCACGAATATGTGGACAAAACTATGGAGGCCGAGCTTCCAACAACTGTGAAAATCGTCCATTTTATACGATCTCTTTCGCTTCGTCAAATTGCATTCCCCACTATATTGTGCACAAGCAATCATGGAATAAGGCTTTGATCGACGTCGCTAAAACAGTCCCTCTTACATCCACAACCATCATGTTATCTATTGAGCTAATACTTACATGCAAATGAGCAAAATACCTGAATAGAAGTTAATGTCACGCGTTCATCTATCACATAATCGTTAGGATATCATATCATCTCAAATAATGCGCTGAAAGCCATCGAATTCAATGGATCAACATTTGCAAAAATTCACATTCACTGTTTACGTGTTGACTAAATATGCCTCCACTTTCCAACTAATTTTTCGAATACTACTTTCGTGAGGAACAAACCTATTCTGATGCGTATTCTTTTACTTTATTCGTTACGATCATCTTGTATATTCCAGCCCTTACAACGTACTAATTCTTATACCTGAACAAAACTGTAACAAGACTTATGTTCATACATCAAAAACATAATACCGACTAGTCATCAGCACTGCGTCACCAACCTCGAGTAGCACAATATACTTAAACATCTGTATTCGAAAGAAATCATTTCAAAACCTAGTAGTTCACCAAACTCCACTCCCGCACCATCTTGCAATCATCCTGTCACCAAAATGCAAATGAACTTTTTCTTGGTACTGTTCACTTTTGACCAGGGCGCAAACTTCAAACTCAATGTCCCCACACCGCTCAAATTAAACGAAATAATGACACCCCATCCTTCTCTTTGAACATGTTCCCACCCGATGGCACTTTGCCCTGTCTGAAGCACCGCTCACCCTCACATCAACGTACCAGAAAATAATTCGACACAACTTTCCTCAGAAATGTTCAGTTATGATGGAATCGTGGCTAACCTCACGCGCTATAGAGACTCACATCATCAGGCTCTGCAATACTAGAACACCACTTTTCTGAGAAATGTTCAGTTATGATGGCATTATGGCTACTCTCACCCGCTATTCAGACTCACATCGTCCGGCTCTGCAATGCTAGAACACAACTTTTCTGAGAAATGTTCGCGTATGATGGAATTGTGGCTACTCTCACGCATCATTCAGACTCACATCACCCTGCTCTATAATAGTTGAACACAACTTTGATGAGAAATGTTCGCGGCTGACGGCATTCCGGCTAGTCTCAGTCGCCAGTCACACTCACACCATCACCCGCAGTACTACTTGAACACAACTATATTCAGAAATGTTCAGTTATGATGGAATCGTGGCGAACCTCACGCGCTATTCAGACTCACATCATCCGGCTCTGCAATACTAGAACACAACATTGATGAGAAATGTTCGCGTATGATGGAATTGTGGCTACTCTCACGCATCATTCAAACTCACACCACCCTGCTCTGTAATACTAGAACACGACTTTTTTGAGAAATGTTCGCGTATGATGGAATCGTGGCTACTCTCACGCATCATTCAAACTCACACCACCCTGGTCTTTAATAGTTGAACACAACTTTTCTGAGAAATGTTCGCGGCTGACGGCATTCCGGCTAGTCTCAGTCGCCAGTCACACTCACACCATCAGCCGCAGTACTACTTGAACACAACTATATTCAGAAATGTTCAGTTATGATGGAATCGTGGCTACTCTCACGCATCATTCAGACTCACATCATCCGGCTCTGCAATACTAGAACACCACTTTTTTGAGAAATGTTCAGTTATGATGGCATTATGGCTACTCTCACCCGCTATTCAGACTCACATCATCCGGCTCTGCAATGCTAGAACACAACTTTTCTGAGAAATGTTCGCGTATGATGGAATTGTGGCTACTCTCACGCATCATTCAGACTCACATCACCCTGCTCTATAATAGTTGAACACAACTTTGATGAGAAATGTTCGCGGCTGACGGCATTCCGGCTAGTCTCAGTCGCCAGTCACACTCACACCATCACCCGCAGTACTACTTGAACACAACTATATTCAGAAATGTTCAGTTATGATGGAATCGTGGCGAACCTCACGCGCTATTCAGACTCACATCATCCGGCTCTGCAATACTAGAACACAACATTGATGAGAAATGTTCGCGTATGATGGAATTGTGGCTACTCTCACGCATCATTCAAACTCACACCACCCTGCTCTGTAATACTTGAACACCACTTTCGTCAGAAATCTTCGTTTCTGATGGAATTGTGGCTGGGTCGCAATCACTTTGCCGACAATCATTTCATCGACAATCACTTTGCCGACGCCGTTTTGCCGACGATCATTTTGCCGACAGGTACGTTTTGCCGACAGATACACTTTGCCGACAAACACATTTTAATCTGAACTTGTGTGGTCAACATTACTTTGACGATCAGAATTCAGATGAGAGTGCAAAGTAAGTCTAGATGAGGGTGTAGGGGAAAGTCTAGATGAGGGTGTAAGGGAAGGTCTAGATGAGGGTGTAGAGGAAGGTCTAGATGAGGGTGTAGGAGAAGAATTAAGGAAGAATATTGTAGCTATGGTAGAAATATGGTTAAAAGTGAATGTTGCATCGGATATTCTCGGGATTTCGTTTTAAATGGAATTTTATGTTTTGAAATTTTTGGCAAAAAGATCTGTCGGCAAAGTGGTTGTCGGTAAAATGATTGTCGGCAAAGTGTACCTGTCGGCAAAAACGGCGTCGGCAAAGTGATTGTCGGTAAAATGATTGTCGGCAAAGTGTACTGGACCCTTGTGGCTAGTTTCACGCGTCATTCATACTGACACCATTGTCCTGTGTAATACTTGAGGACCACTTTAATCGGAAATGTTCGCGCATGATATCATTGTGGCGAGTCTCACGCGCCATTCACAGACAAAGCACCTTGCTCTGCCATACTGGAACACAACTTTAGTCAGAAAAAGTAGGGTACGATGGAATTTGTGTAGTCTCACACGCGATTCATACTCACCCCATCGTCCTCTTTACTACTTGAACACAACTTTGATAATCAGTAATGTTCGCATATGATGGTATTCTAGTTAGTCTGACGCACGATTGGCGCTCAGATGACCCTGCTCTGCTGTAGTAGAATATTGTTTTTATATGATATGTTCGTATATGATGCTGTTATGCGTTTTGTCATTTCGTATTGATACTGAGAGCATTGTGCTGTATAGTGCGTGGAGATGGTTTTTCTTAGAGTGAGAAATGCTGGCATATTGAGATTTTTTTGGCGAATAAATGTGATTGAAATAGACATTTTGTATGACGGATATATATGAGGTGAGTTTCTCGGATTTCCAAAAATGAATTTGGAATGGTGAAGGCTGTGATATGACTGTTGCGATTCCATTGTTATCGGGCTTTTCATCAGCCGGATAAAGGGAGAGTGATATACGTAGGATTATGTTTGCATATTTGAAAAATTCCTGTGTAGAAAGCAGTATATCGATGGTTAGCGTACAGATTGCACGGATGATTACTTACAGTCAAGTACGGCTGGGCCTCGGACCACAGGTGGTTGAAGAGAATGTAGAAGTGGCTTTGAAAGTGATGCTGTATTGATATGAAATTATGTGTTTAGTGGCGATTGAATGGTAAGGCGGATATGAATATGAAGTATCTTTAGGATGGTCTTAAAAGTGGTTGGAGAGGAAACATTTTAGTAAAATGTGTGGTTGAAAGTGTATGAAGTCCTCAGTGATTTTCATGCGTTATATCTACGCAGGATGCTTCGCCATTGAGAAGGCGGAATACTAGTGAGGGTGAAACAGGGAAACTCTAACGTGCCAAATAGAAAAAAATATTGTCATGAAACCTAATCGGTAAGTTGTGATGCGGTTTTCACTATGTGAGAGTTATGCTACAAGAAATAACTGAGAGAAGGATCTAGAAAAATACTGATCAACTTGCTATGTTTACTTAATAATTTACATATTTTATGATATTCTCAGCGAGACGAAAGTCAATCTTCATTTTTCGATGACGTGATATATAAAACAGAATGTTTCAAAAAAGGCATCTGATTAAAGGAGTATAAAAACGTATGCAGGGGATGCATATGGTCACCACAGACGCTGGCAAATTGCTCACCTTATAATCACATTTTCGGGGGTATAATATTCTATGAGAGCATCGTTCGTTCATAAGAAAAAGTATCCACATAAGTTCTTTGCTTAAAAATGTATACAACACAAGCTATACTGCAGCGACTGAATCATGTCAACAGTACATATACTACCAATCAGTTTCCGAGAGTTGCATCAAGGTGATTTGAGACATTCATACTGAGTCCGCATCAGTAGATACCCATAAATACACTAACTTATTAACGATTGCTGTATCTTGGAATAGTTATGCGAAGAAAACTAACATTTTCTTCAATAGAAAATCGAACAACTGAAAACATTCATGCATAACACCACATTTAACAAATCAAAACAAAAGTATTATTTATTTTCTGACGAAACAATCTTCTCAGCAGAATCCATTTCCATTTGATAAAGACTGTTTTGATCATCAGGCACATGAACAGGCTTTGGTGGTCGATACTGTCCTTTTCCAGCTGCTCGTTCAGCTTCTTCCAATGTGTATGCTTCTGTTTTTAAATCCTTCACACGTCGTTTATGCACTTTACTTTTCAAATGATGTTGTAAATTGTGATCATCGATAAAATATCGTCTACGATTAAAAAAAAGTTCAGGTTGCTTCTCGTGAACATCACCTTTTCTTACGCGCAATAGAGACAAAAATGTTGTCCAGCGCCTGGCACATCATAATCAATCGGCTGATTTAATAGTTGACGAGCTGTATCAGCAGCCATAGTTGCTTGAATTTCATCGAGATCCTTGGTTTTCCGTTTGGTTTTTAGAATCTTACCCTTCTTATCCACGCCACTATGGCTCTTATTTTTCGAGCGAGTCTTTTTCGGCATTATTACGAAATAAAAAAGCTTGTCTTGCCGTCGTCGTCGTCGTACTCGATTTCGAACTATTCGATGGTGATCTAAACCAATCAAGAAACAATCATTCAACGCTGACCTCTATTCAAAAATAAAAATAATGTTCGGTCGGAAAAAAGCCTTTTATCTAGTGATCAACGTTCGATGAATATGTGTGGAAATGAAATTTTTATAGATGTCGCTGGTTTTCAAGTAGATGTCATTGTTATGTTTGTTTCATTTCTTTTCTCTAGTTGTGCGTTTTGTTTATTTATTTCCTAGTGGTAGTTGATTTGATCGATCAGTTTGCCAATTAGTCTGTACAATTCGTATACTTGTGGTTAAACGTGACAAGTAGTTTTTTTTTCTTTTTTCTTTTTTTTCTTTATTTAAAAAGAGAAAAAAAGACACATGGCTACAACATTATCATCTCCTTCATTATGTCAACATTCACAATGCGATGCATATCAATTTACTATTTGTCGGCATTGTCAGTTATTTCTTTGTATACGACACTTAGCTGAACATCAACAGCAATTTCCTAGCGATTTCCAACGCTTATTAGACGATGCACGAAGACAGCAAGCACAATTGACATCGTTTGATAAACGTTTGACCGAACAACGACTGAAATTGAATCAAGTATTGGATAATGAAATGGAACATTATCGACAATTGAATGCGTATGTACAATCAAAAGCAACGGCAACGACCAATATCGGACCAGATGACTTTGTAAATATGCGATCGTGTTTAGCGCGATTACAACAATCAGCGGCGTTTTTACCTGTTATTGATAAAATTGGACAATTGATTGGTGAACATGAATCAGCAACAGGTTTGTGTGAAAATTGTTGAAATAGAAAAGATTATGTTTGATTCTTGATTGTAGCAACAAACTCGAGTAATGCACCATTCAATGATGAGAGTGTCTATGGAACATTTGGTGGTTGGTATCGAAAACTAAACAAGAAAATCAACGAATTTTTTATGATCTATTTTAGATTCAAGATTGTTCTCAACAGCTATTGTCAAACAAGATCAACGTAAGTAAATACCCGAGACTTGTCCGATTGAATGATCAGATATTGGAATAAAATTCCCTGATCTCGTTTTTTTCTCTTTGTAGAAGTTGCGTTATATACTAATCACGACCTATCATCCTCTTCGAATAGTAAGTGATGTAAAATAAAAGAAAAACACATTCGACAATCATTTATTCTAGTTGGCAAATCTACTGAGACTGATGACGAACTTCCGGACACGTAAATACCATATCCTATTAAATTTCTCGAACTAAGTGTTTCATTTGATTTTTAGTGATACCAATCAACCACTGAGTTCTTTAACAGTAATATCAATCTATCTCCTGACGCTTCACTTTTCTATACGAAATTTTCATATAGGTTCGAGAATTAAAGACTTACAAATGTGATTATTGTCCATTAACAACAAACACTTATGGTATTGAACGTCGTCATCAAGTCCGTCATATACCTTGCATTCGTCGATCAAATTCTCAGATATCTCTATTTGAACATTTAAAACAATATCACTATTTAAATTACGCAGCATCCATGCAGATCGTTCGTCTTGTGTCGTCCGGTGATCTTGACGATCATCCAACGTTATTTTCTTCCGCAACTGAATCCTCAATCGTTTCGATTCTTCCATCGTTCTTTCGTGCACCATGTCCGTTAACTCAACATAACGTCTTCGGTCTTGGACCAATGCATGGCATTCGCCTATGCACCCCATCGACTGAACAGCAAGATTTTGCCTTATACGATCATTTTCTCGCATTTCATCAATTGAATCGAGCCAGTGCGATGAAATTAGTCAAAGCAATGATGAAGAATGAAAATAGTAGTCAACGAATCTTGTTTCGACCGGATGAACAAGTCTTAAACGAAACAGCGTATGTGTCTTGTCCACTAAGCAATTACAATGCTGTTTTGCCACACCAAGAACGTATTCCACACACGCCATGTCAATCAACGGTTAAATTACGATATTTAACTGGACATTTACGTGATGTACATCATTTAAATAAAACAGCTGCGAAACGCATTGCATCTGCCCTACGTAATGAACAAGGGAGCATAGATGGCCGATCGATTGGATTATTTGAACGCGATGAAAATATTCTTAAATCCAAAAAGAAAAAAGTATATTTTTCTTCCATATTTGATTGTAAGAATTCATTCATTTCTTTGCATTTTCAGAATATGGCAAATCGTTTTCGTCCACCTGTCCAATTAGCTAAACAAGTACAACAGAACCAACAACAACCACCACCCTCGTTATAGTGATGAAGTTTTAAACAAGTGTATGAATCATTTTCTTACCTTTTTTTTGAATGTATCGAGCATCCTTCAATTTATTCACATATTTCATTTCTTGTGACTTGAGATATCAGTAAATTTGCCTCCTGTTTTCGTTTCTCTTCCTCATTTGTTTTGTTGTTTTTTTCTCTTTCATTTTGTATATAAACTTTTCTTTTCTCAAACTTACACATCATTTCTTGACGTTCATTTCTTGCTTTCCGTTTATTGTCATATTTTCCTTTCTGTACGTGCATGTGTGCGTGTCTATGATTGTCATTGTTGAGGATAGATCAACGAGGATACAAAGAAAATAATTTAAATTCAATTTCAATGCACATTTCATTTACATTGATAATGATCGATGATCAAGCATTTGTCCAATGGTTTTTATTGACGCCTTACTCGGATGAATGCAGAATGTTCAATAGATATTGTAGGTCGTGTTTTTCACGCTAGAGATCGACTTGTTCCATTGTATGTTTAATCACACATCGTTTATCATTATCAGTGACGCCGATAGATCGATACATAACCAATACTCTTTCGTGATTAATCTTGGCAGTAGATCAATAATAAAGACTTTCTTACGCGTGCAGTTTAGGTGAAATCAAAGGAATGATGCACACTAGATTGCATCGTTTCAACTGTCACTACCGGTTTACTATCGAGAGAAGATTGAGATTTGGTGAAGAACGTACATACAGAGAAATATTCTGAGATTATTCTTCTAGAAAAAAAAACGAAGAATTTGTTTATCTTTGCCTGAGATATGATCACGTATTAGGACTATGTATCAGTGATTATACATTAGGGCATTGAAAATTTCAAGAAATAGCCATATATATTTCGTTCAAATACTTTCGAAAGTATTTTCTCATAAACTACACGTTTGCGCCTACGATAACTAGCCAAATATGTCTCTTATCAGCCTGCTTTTTCATACACTAAACTATTTCTCTTCTTCAGATTATCAATTATTACGAATATGATGTGGGCAGAAAACTATTTTAGAAAAGAGAGAAAGAGAGAGAGAAAGATATTCGATATGACTATAAAATACATAATCTTTTTTGCATCCCGTTACAGTCGAACAATAGTTATTAGCAAGTAATGTTGTCTCGCAAAGTATGAATCATTTTCTGAGGATGAGATTGTCGATGATTTTTATTTATTATTTATAAAGGTATTGCTATTCAGCAGTCTAACTCTGGTCATTTTTATCGCTTCGGTTACACATGCTCAAGAAGAAGGTGAACCACCGGAAGCAGACGAATTTGCACCACTGAACAGGGAAGGAACTCGAAGACCTCGACGAACATCGTCTTCTACTGCACACACCCGAGTAACAAGTAAGCATCACTTCTTTCAATGTTCATTCCATCATTTTCAACTCTCTTCCTATCAGCTGCATCGAAGCCAACAAAAACAACAACTAATTATTACCCACACAAACCATGTAAGTTCATAGTGCTTCTCATCTCTTTGAATCCCATTTTATTCTGTTATCTCTTTAGACGATCCAAAAGAGGTAAGATTGCTACAGCATATTCAGTAACCTGTTCTATCCTAATCTGAACGTATACCGACTTATTTCATAGGATAAATACTACAGAAAACCCAACAACTACGACGATGATCGTTATGGTGGTGGACGGTATGGAGATGATGATGATAATGATGATCGCTATGGTGGACGTTATGGAAATGGTCACAGAAGAATTGGATATGATGGCGTTGATCCTCGCGAATATGGACAAGATACGGCCGATTTCGGACCTGTTTATAGTGACAACGACTCAATGTATGCTTCGATGAACATTTGGATTCGTTCTGCTGATGATTGGGAACAAACTGGCCGACCATCATATCGTAAGAAGTACCGTGGAAAGAAATACAACAAGGGCAAGGATTATAAGAACAAGAATTATAAAGACAATGATTATAAAGACAACGATTACAAAGACAACGATTACAAAGGCAATGATTACAAAGATAATGATTACAAAGATAATTACGACAACGATGATGATGGCTATAAGAAGAATTATCGCAAGAAACGTTCGTATTCTCGTGTCAAGTTTCCTGTTCGCCACTTCAAAGATATTCGAAAATTTCCTCTCAGTAAGACACCTGTACTTCATCTTCTCTTCCATGCTCTTTGTTCTGCGTTAGGAAACTTTCCACCACTCATCTCCGTCTTTCCATGGCTTCCAGTTTTCTATGACAAGATCACCTATCAAACATTCATCTTTTCACCAACTGGTGGTAGTAAGTATCATCACGTTGAAGAATACAGCGAACACATGTGTCGATTGTAGTCTACATCTTACCACCATTGATCAACTTCTACGGTAAGCGATTTGCTGTTGCTCAACTGATCAAATGGGGTTATGCATCATTGGTGAGCTCGGGTGCGCCACCTCCACCGAATGTGAATGTTGCACCACTTGTTCAACCTGCAGCAGGTAAGAATTGGTGAGGAGAAGAAGAAGAATGTGATCATTTTGTTGCTTGCGTAGCTCCTGTTCCAGCCGCCAGTCCTAATGTACCACCACCTAGCAATAACCAACCACCGCCAGACAATGGTCCAAGTTATGATACGAAAAAGAATCGATTCGTTGGTGGTGTTCAAACTGATTTTCCAGATTTCAAACCGCGATACAGTCAAACAGTTGGAGAGAAGGATTATGGATATGGAAATAATCGTCCTGTAAATCGAAATTCATATGGATCAGATCCAACTTATGGTGGAACAGGCCGACAGGAAGTATATCCACAAGGCGGTCCACAAAGTGGCGGCGGATCTAATTAGTAAACAGACTATTTCGAGTCATTTCTTGCATGCATATTGAAAGAAAGAAAAACATAAAGCGTTTCATTTTTTCTTTTTTGTTTCTCAGTATTAATTAATCTTTTCACAAATCACAATAAATTCGTTCTTCTACCAAACTTTGCTCCTACACTGAATATTTACTTCGAAGCTAATAGTATAAAGGACACTGGCCAGTTTTCACTCTGGTTGTCTGAGAACTGCAGAACTAGTTCATACAATCGACTCTTATACGATGTAAATTTATTAGAATCTCAGTGGGAGAAGATTTTTTTTGGGACTATTTATGGCATCAGTGGTCGTAGACATTCATGAATTAAGAATGTCGTCGTCCGGGTCAGGGATCAAATCATGACCTTCATATTACTGTCGATTTGCTCATTTCCTTTCCATTTGCAAGCTGATTTTTGGCAGAAGAATTCCGACACGGTTAACAATGCACTTATCGGCAATTTGGTAACAAAAAATATTCAAATACATGTCCTCAATGAATAAAGGAATGCTGGCGTGCATCACAAGTGAACAAGACAAAAGAAAACGTTGTTGAAGGTTATAGATGAATCGTATTGTCACATACAAGGAATTGTTTTATTTCAACTCAGTTGATCATTTAAATTTGTCAGGATTTAGATAAATTGACTGACTTTGAACGTACATCTGATAAAAGTTAAAAACGAAGACACAACTCTTCCAAACGTTTCACTTCACTACTCTATCTAGTTTTGAAAGTGATACTTTGTATAGAAATGAATTTATTTCAAACAGTGGACCAAGGTAGAAACACATAGTTCTGCAATTTAAGTTTGAAATATGTTTGTGCATGAGCACTGGTTTGTTCGTTAGGGATCATATCAACAAACTATTCACTGTGATCACGCACGAAGTACAGATATAAGAAAATAACTTTCGTAATAGTTGATATATCCAAGTACGTTGAAATGGGAAAATGATGCGGAAAGAGGCGAAAGATACTGATGAGAAAGGAGCGGGTGAAAGCATGGATGTTAACAAGATGATTCATTAAATCGCTCGATGTTTTTCTTCGTCATATTGAAGAAGAATGTTTCCGGAGTCAATTGAAACGAAACTATTTCGGTTGATGATTACCATGTACAAGGCATGTATCAATTGTCATAGCAGTATGATTCTGTCGGCATGTTTCACTTGTTAATCGAAGATTCCATCCCGAATAGTGATGTAAAACCAAGGGACTAACGAATCGAGCCTGTTTCATGTAGTTTTTCAGATTCATCAAAAAATTAGGAACTAAATTCATATCTTCATCCATCGCCCATGGATCACCAATACGAGGATACAGTCGATGAGCTTGTTGAGCAATATGAAGGCCGTCAAAAGTAAGCGTATGTCCATATAAACATAATGAACGATAAACAAATATCGCTTGACTTGTCCACCAACTTCGTCCATCGTATCTAGGACAATAGGGGAGTAGAAATTGCAGTGCATCTCGATGTATTGCATTGAACATTGCATCGATGTGATACATAACTTGTGTTAAAAGGCCAGGATATGCCACTGTACCACCAGTTCCTGATATGGTTGCGATAGCTGGTGATATAGACAAAAGAAACGCATCAAAGAGTAAAAAACATTTCTCTTCTTTATTTACTTCCTTTGTTAATGTCATAAACTCAAAGAAATGCGGTGCAAAGAGATATTCTTCATTATTTCCGTAATCAACGATTATTTTATTGGTTAGCAGTTGATCAGCTAGCGGACAATTCGTGTGAACATCGCCATCAGCGAAATTATAATAAGCCCAACGCCAATGTTGTTTACGTTCTTCGTCCAAAGCCAATTCATACAATTTATTTCGTGCTGTCGTCCATGTTAGTTTGTTTTTGATATTCAATTGTTTTTCATTGATGATAAATATACGTGATTGAACAGGATAAAACAATGGAGTTGGTTCGAGGGAAACCAGTTTATCATTTCGTTTTGTTTCACTTGACCACGAATTAACGTAAAGGTGTTTCGATGAACGAAAGCCCGATGAATTGCAATTTTCTCGCCAACAATAAAATACAGCATCCGCTGATATACTTGGAAAGAGTTGCATATAAGATTGAACTTCAGCTTGATTTTCACACAGAAATAAATACAGGACACGAGCTAAGGTTGGCATTGAAGTTTGTTGTTGGAGTAATTTGAGTTTCTCGTCATTACCATTTTTAGATGTTGATGTGTGACTTAGCCAAAGAAGGAATATAAAGGCAATTGTGATGAGGAAGATTGTTAAGCGTCGATAAGTTATAGCAAAGCGACATTTGAAAACAAACTTTTGTTCAACCGTACATCGACGAAACGAACATTCATCGATCATGATGCAAAGTCAATGAATAATCTAAATAATACAAACGACTAATAGGTCTGTATGTCAAACCGTTTTTTTCCCTTCTGTACATCAATTCTGTAAATGATTACCCTAAATGATCATTAAAATTCGATTCATACATCGCGTCTGTGAGTAAGACCTTATGACTATTTTATGGATTTTATCAAATATCGAAGGCAAGTTATAAGACAATATTTGCCATATAATAGATGATTTCTTTTCTATCGGTTTTCATACATTATAAATCGCTGAAGTCAATTTTCAGTGCCGGTACGTCCTGTAAGTATGTATTAGTATAAATAGTCGTTCTGATCTACAGCTGTCTTCGCGCTGAATTCAGTTGTTACGTATGAAACACCAGCGAACGAAAAGGATCTTCGATAAACTCTATTTCTGTTTTATATGAAAATTGCAAATATGATGCATATTATTGAAAGTAATCAGTGTACGGATTACAATGAGAATTCTAAAACGTATGTGTTCCTAGTTGTAGACATTTCAGACAATTGCGATCCTTTTGAATCGTAGTGGAAACAGAACTTTATAACTGGCACTTCCTATTTGAGTCGATATACTTATCTAGTAAATTTTGGATAAATACTGATGAAGAGTACACATTTTACGTTAAGGTAACTTAAACGATAAAACATCAGTCGACTACCAGACAAATACTTTGAGAGCTTGAAACTTCGAATGGTAATCTTTATTTTCTCAGATTTTCACTGTCATGTTGGACGGAAGTGGGTGCAGGTACCGCTGTTCGTCAAAATAAAACGCGATAGAACCCCGCTACATGTGAAAAAAATACTAGTAATAACCGCGGCCGACCCCAACAGGCGTAAAAGCCTTTGGGGCGTTATTATTATTCTTATTCTTTCACTGTCATATGTGCCACTTTTACCTGGCCCTGATAATGTGCTTCATGTCGAGATAGTTTTTAGGCAGGCGACGGGTGTGGGTGATATATTTCTAATGATTGAAATAGATAGAGCTCACCGAATTCTATCTGGAACAAATGTGATCAGGGTTGGAATACACTCGTGTGCGAATCCGTGTCTAAGATATTTTTTACATGACAAAAGAAATGTTATAAACAAGAAGAATTAATAGTTCAACAAAACAATGTTAACTCATGAGAAAACAGCTCTTTTCTTCCTACTATCCATTTTTACAACCATAAACTCATACATTCTTTTTCTGGCACTTGCTTTTCTTGTCATCACCTCGAAGATACTAAAAAATTTCTTTGTCTACCATGGACGTTTCTTCATGTATAAAAAGTAGACTTCTGATTTCTGTTGTGCTGGATACGTGACAACGTGTATTACCCGTGAGAGTCGACAGGAGCTTTCCCATTCAAAAGTAAACTTCTGATTTCTGTTGTGCTGGATACCAGACACCGTATTGTACCTTACCGTCGATATGAAGCTAACACGAACAAACGATGTGTTAGGTTAAAAAATTTGTACTAAAGAAGTCTGGCTTCTGAAAATTATAGCATTCGACTCAGAATTTAATTCTGCATCGAAGAGCGACCTTTCCACTCATGGGACAAACTTTGGAAAAATTTTATTTGGATCATAAATAGAGCTATAGGAGGCAAACAAAGATATAGGTGAACATTCGTCCAAAGTTTGTACCGTAAGTAGACAGGTCATTCTTCGATGCAGAATTAAAGTCTGAATCGAATGCTATAATTTTCAGGGGCGAGACTTCTTTAGTAAAAAAGTTTTCAGCTAACACATCGATTGTATTACCAGTCAGAGTCGAGAGGAATTTTGTCATAGAAAAGTAAATGTCTGATGTGTGCTTCATCGAAACATGTGAATGAAGTTTCTGCCGAAAAGGCAGAAATTAGAAGGAGAGTTTTCATGAAAATAGTTTTAATTTGAGATTTGTCATGACCCCGTATAAATAAATAGGATTAGGCACGAATGAGGTAGATATTAATCAAAGGGAAATGTTCCGAATAGGATGTCGCGTTTGGGAGAAAATTGAATGCTGTCTAGTTAATTAAGAAAATTAAAATCAGTAAACTGTGTGTTTGATTAGGTCATCACCACAGATGTTGGCTCGTACCAGAAACAGTTTCCTGCTGTACGTCTCCTGCTTCATGAGTTTGATATTGATAATCAAAATATATTCATATGGAAATATTGAAAAATTATCATCATTAAAAACAGGATCTAATTTATCAGGCTTTTCATTCTGGAATTCGGAACAGGCATCGACATATCAATGTCCGATACGAGGAGATAAATGGATCGTCATCACCACTATTCATTATCCAACACCTGCCATTCACAAATTTCTCAACTTAACCACACCTTGGAATCTCATCGTTATTGCTGATCGAAAAACACCTTCCGACTGGCTCCACCATCTCACTTCACATAACTCGTCTGCTTCTTCTTCTTCTTCGTCTCGCCTTCTCTTTCTCTCTCTTCAGCAACAACAGTCCCTTCGTTTTCGTATCCTCCAACATCTACCTCACGGATCCTATGCAAGAAAAAATCTTGGCTATCTCATCGCAATACAATGTGGTGCACAGATCATTTTCGAGTCAGACGATGATAATCTTGTCGAAACAGGTGACATTTTTCATCTTCCAAAACTTCTCCGACCGCAACAATTACCCTGGCTCGCATTTCATCGACAACGATCACTCTTCGTCAACATCTATGCATCATTCGGCCATCCACACATTTGGCCACGAGGATTTCCACTCGAACAGCTCAGAAACATTACCGAAGATGGATGGCATTCACTTCGACAAAACCAACAAAACATCACACGCGCTTATATTCAACAGTATCTTGCTGATCTCGATCCTGATGTGGATGCCATCGTATGTTACCAATCCTATTCGACATGAAAACACTCTTCGTTTTTAGTATCGTTTAGCTCATCCAATGACTATCGGTCGTGTTCTGTTCGATCGTGATCAGCCTCCCATTGCTCTCGAACCGTTCACATTCTCTCCCTACAACACACAAAACACCGTCACACACTACGAAGCATTCTGGGGCTTGTATCTTCCTGTGACAACAACATTTCGTGTTTGTGATATTTGGCGAGGCTACTGGGTTCAGCGTCTTCTGTGGGACATCGGTGGTCATCTCATCTTCGGTCGATCAACTGTTGAACAAGTGAGAAACAGTCATTCATACATCGAAGATATGGATGATGAGTATCAATTGTATCATCAATCTGCTTCGTTTGTTCGTTTTCTTGCATCATGGTCATCATCGAATCCTTCGTTAGTGGGACGAATTCGCGAATTAGCACGTGACATAAGTCGAGGTGGATTTTGGAAATGGAAAGAAGTCGAGATCATGGATGCATGGCTGGAGGATCTTCGTTCAATTGGTTATAAATTTCCACCGATTATTAAACCACCACAAAAATTACCATCTACTGCTGTGAAACAGAAACGAGCAGCAATATGTGCAACTGGTATTACCGAATGTATTTCTGAAGCATGGACTACCACTTATATCAATCTTCGGCAACGGTTGCATGGAGAAATCGATACATTTCTTTTCCTTTCTTCGTCATTGAAACGTGGACCGGTCCCATTAGCGACACGTTTAAAGCAGGCACGTTTATATATGAACTCAACTGTGACTATACTTTATGAAGATCGAGACATCAATCCAGGTATTCCTCCAACTTGTAATCCTGAATTTCAACTTCCGAAATATGCTCCTATACCTGTTCCCAATTATTTCCAACAACTGTGGTCACTTAATGAATGTTATGATCTTGTCAGAGAATATGAACAAAGATTTAATATTCGTTACCAACTATTAATCCGTTCCCGTATTGATACGCTAAATCGTATGCCGGAAACATTCGAACGTGACGGCATCCATAATGTTAATAAAACCATAATTGTTCCACCACATCGTTATTTTTCAGGTATCGATGATGGTTTCGCTTTAGGTCCAATTGAACTTATGTCTCACTACATGAAACGATGGTTAAGCTTTCGACAATGCCCACCCGATAGAAACTTTCATCCTGAAACCTATCTGAAGAATTATTTAAACAGGTTTACTAACGTTACTATCGACCATACGATTAGTGGTGCCGCTGATGCCATACCACATGGTCATAATAATTGCCACTAATTAATTACTTTTTCTCTTCGTACTAACAGCCTTTATTCATGTTCTTTGTTTTTCAATGAGAAAATCTTTTCCATAATAAACGTTATAAATCTATGTATTTGAGCGTCATCTTCATTGTCCAATTTTAAAAGGCGGATTAATTTCATCAGATCGATTAATTATATATCTCTATTCGTTCGGTCTGTGGTAGACATTCAGAACGAATAACCATCATGTCACATATGAACAATGATGTTGACGATCGATGTCAGCATCCTGATAAATGTACTAAACCAATGTTTACATACTGTTCTCATTGTCGGTGTTTTCTGTAAGTAAAAAACTTTTTATTCTTGACTTTTAACTCATTTTGATGACATATAGTTGTTTTACCCATTTGAAGCAACATCATGACATGATGAAACACGATATTGCCCAAATGGTCACGAAAGCTGATCATGAACGTGTGTTGCTCGAGCAACGGATCCATGACATTAAACAACAGCAGATCGTATTGAATAACTTTTACGAACAGGAAATGAAACGTTTGGATGAAATGCACGGATTTCTCGTGAATATTAGCGAGAATAAAGTCGATAGTCACAATATTTATTCATTAATGAATAATTATGAGAAAAATATCAAACAATTCATTGCAATTAATCATGAAGATAAAGCAAAAAGTTCTTTTTTAAATCAAATTGATCAATTTCTAAAACAGCAAATTGACCTTGAAGAGCCCGACATTGACTCCAATACAAACAAATCTTCGCTTGGTAATATAATTCAGGAAAACATTTCAGTCCGTCCTTTACTTATTTCAGAACAACAAAACGATATTGATTCGGAAGACTTTTCACTTAGTTCCAAATCATTAATCAACGTGAGCTATAGTAGACATTGTTATACTTGCTCTCACGCATGCTGTTTTTAGTTACCTAATCCCGTATGTCCCTTGTCACATGTAAATGCTTTTGGTTTGTCTTCTGAACTGAAAATAATTGGCATACCATGCGAATTATTAAAAGATTGTACAACATTGACATACGGTCGCTGCTACTATCATTTGATGACGTACCATCGTTTAAAACCTGCTGTGGCTAAAATTATCGTGCGAACGATATCAGCATATGAAAATCAATCGATTGACCCGACTTCACTCGATATTTTCTCCAAATGGGCACCTGATCAAATTCTTTCTCAATCGAGAAGTCTATTTATTGGTTGTTGTCCTCTAACCGAAGAGAACGTTTATGGTATCAAACCCCATCATCATACATCAGTATGCGCACCGCGACCACCTATTCACCTCTATCAACAGTAAACAGAAATTTCCTTTTGTTGAAACAAAACTTTGTGTTTCTTGGTCGTGTTTAGTCTACTTACATTTCATCGTTTTAAACACAAGTGTGCGTTGCGTTTAGTCAGTGCGTTGATTGATCAAAAACCAGCATCGACACAAATCTTTCACGCCAATGAAGTGATCATTAATACTGCTGTACGTTCGAAACACCGCCCGAAGCATTAACGAATATCTCGATGAATATATTTTCTAACTTTTATTATTGGTTATTTATGTTTGAAAAGTTTTCTCTTAATCATCTTTTGCTTTCGGTAGACTTAGATAATGAATAAACTTCGAAGAAAAGCCAGAAAACGGTTATTTGTAATAACATTCATCAGTTCTGAATAGAGCTTTTAACCTTACGTTTCCTTCTCGATTTTCGTTAGAAATCGATAAGATCAAAAGCCCCTTTAAACCATAAATGAACTGATCATGTTACCGCTCTCGATAAGATTACTCGTTTCGTTATTTATAGACCAAAGTCTACTCATTCGAAAGTCTTTTTCGTACAATCATGAAATACTATCAATTAGTCGTCTGTATTTGCTTCATACTAATCAAAACTTCTAGTCAATCATCGAAACGAATAACACACGCGATCATTCATGGTGAAGTCCGTGGAAATGGTTCATTGCCGAATGCCGACAGAAATGTTCATTTAGTTATTGAACTCCGCCTGTCTCGTGATGATCGTCCCCAGGCAATCGCGAGGACAAAAATTAGACTTTACACCAATCGAACAGTGTCATCGTTTGTTTTTCCATTTAAACTGAAATATCTGCTAGCGAAAATCAATCCGCATAACGCGTATGTTCTTTCGGCACGAATTCGAACCGGCCAAAATAAGTTAATCTACGTTGGCGATTTGCCCGTGCCTGTTACCGAACGAAAAGAAAACCAAGCGAAGTATCTGGTTATTAATGTCGTCGAAACTCGTAAGTGACAAGTTTGAAGAACGTATCTTTGCATTATTTCACTGTTCAAATAGCTTCGTGGTACGGTAATATTGATAAACTGAGTTTACTAGCTTATAAAGTAACACAATTAGGTGGTACTGAAGAGGTAAAAATGGACAATTATGTTTGAAAATAGCTTTCCGATGAATGTAATGTAGGCATTTTCCAGTGAACTATACACCAACAAAAAGACTGGCACTTATAACTGCGCGGTATGTAATTCAACATTGTTCAGGTAATGAAATGCGATGTTCTCTGAGGAAAAAAAAACAGAAACAAATATCAATGTAGTTCAAAGCATAAATACAATAGTGGCACAGGTTGGCCATCTTTCTATCAAGCAGCTATTGAGGAAAATGTTGCAACAGATGTTGATCGAAAATATGGAATGACTCGAACAGAAGTTCATTGTGCAAAAGTATGTTTTCCGCTTACATATTAAACTAAAACGAAATCTCATCTGTTTACAGTGCAAAGCCCATTTGGGTCATGTCTTCGACGATGGTCCACAGCCTACTTACATGCGTTATTGTATCAATGGGGTTGCTCTGCAATTCTATGCTGATAAAGATCAGAACTAATCAATTTGATTTCTTTGCCTTAGTTTCAATGAAAATAAAAACAATATTGATAAGAACAATTTTGTAAATCTCCTGTTGATATTTATTTCATAGTACATACACAATATCTTCTCTTTCATTAATTAACATTGAACACACGTCGAAAAAGAAGAGAACCAAAAGAGAGGAAGAAAAAGAGTACGAAACAAATACATTCAGAAGAACAAGCAAATGCAACGAACATTGAATATGTGAGCAGAATCGTTTGAGAGATAGAATCATCATCAAAACGAAATTCGTAAAAAATATATCTGATCTGAGAGCATTTTTCCGAACGAATATTAAACAGATGTTTCTGAATTTAATTTCAAAACAAACTTATTGTGTTTCGAATCGAAGATTTTTTCGATTAGATTCACTCGTGGCATTCGATGAAATGTGCATATTAGAGCGATATGCTCCGCATGTTGTTGTTTAAGTACAAATGTCAGTTTGGGATGAATTGATTGGTTAACTGACACTTTTGCTTGTCTTTCTTCATTGTTCGTTGCCGTTTGAGGATCACATATCAATGTCCACGTTTGTTCTTGATGATTATTTGTAACTGATGCCAGTGCAGGAAAGAGTAGGGTGGCCAAGGGTTGTGATTCTGTTTGAACATAGCGTTCGAGAAAAGCTCGAGGGGAGAGATCATGAGATAAGCAGGTGGCTAAATGAGATATTATGGATTCGCGAGTGAAATACGGTTGTTGCCGAGTTAGTCGAAGATATTTTTGAAGCGAACGTGACAGAGAGGAAAACACAGCCTAGGCAAATGAAGCATAGATTGATTGGCAACTGAAATCGAGTATTACCTGTGCGGCTTCTCGAGCATCCATTGGAATATGAGTACCATATTTTTCATTGAGACATTTGCGAACATGTGTAAAAGCATCTTCACAAGAACTTAATAATTTCGTACGTCTCTTACGTACGCGACGTTCGTAATCGAGTTCATCATAAAATCTAAAGACATATACGATGTCATTTCGATCCGAACAAAAGTTGCATATATCGACATGAAAGTCGAAATTTACCTATCGTTAAATCCACGCATTGATCGAGTCATTGTTCCGTCTAATCCACCACCGATCACTGTCGATGCGTTCGATTGAGAACCAGTTGATTTCGCCGAAAATCCTCCGTGACGTTTGCCTTGCGTTTGTTGAGCATTTTCCAACCAAGGATTAAACACAGGAAAATCTTTATAGTATTGTTCCACTAAATAAACACTTGCTTCTTGAATAGACATTGACCCTTGAAAGTGGAAATCAAACCAATGAGACTATTTTAAATGAAATTCAAGTAGTTACCTATTGTGTATTGTCTTGTTTGCCCGTCGGGTGATCGTACAACTTTAACAATCCATTTCGGATATAACCATTTCACTTCTAAGATTAGGACAGCGAGAATTAAAATGAATAGAAGTAAATCTTCGTAGGTCGATGTTAATGATAGGACTCGCTCATACGAGTCAAATTTTGGTTGTAAGATTCTAAAGGCGTAATAAAACCAATAGATAGCAAGTATAAACAATAGCACAATTGTTAAACACATCTTTTGTAGATGAACACGTGGCAAATATGTATTATTTCGACGTCGATATAAGAGAAAAAATGTTCCCATAAGTAAAAAAATAAGTTTAAAAATAATGGTTAAGATTGGCGAATAATCCTCGATGTAAATTGAATCGGATGCTACTAGTGTATAGGGCAATGTTAGAAAGAATATTGGTGTAATGAAAGCAATTAAACAAAGGAGATAAATAGCAAATTTCGATATAGTTAAAGATAATGTTCGTCGATTAAGATTATTTGATAAAGTATGTAAATGCTCGTGATGATTATTTTCATTCAATTGTAAACTTGTATCATTAGTATTCGTCAATGCATCCTCATTTCCACCGTTACAAGTGATTGTTGTTGTCTCACCCCAATTATCATCTTGAGGAAGAATTTTCACTTCAATGCGTTCATCTTGACTATCTGTTGACGTGACAATCGGTGCTGTTGCTGTTGAACCATCAGCTCCTCGCTTTTTATGATGATGGTGATGACGGCGAGATGATGAACGTGTTTCATTGCTAATCGTATGTGATGATGATGAAGGAAGTGCGTTCGATAAAGAACCACCGTAAGTATCAGGATCCATAATCTAAATGCAATAGACATAAATTATCGACAAGCTATTTAACATGATTTATTGCGTAGAAAATTTACATAATCGAACGAATCTTTTTCACGCAAAAGTTAGATTAATTGGTTCCCGTACCCACTACATTTATCCAGAACGATCAAACTTACTGTAATGTCTGATGCACAATAGTGCTTCTCTATGGCATTGCCATTTCTGTTCAACAGTAACTCGTATTCTGCTTTTGTTGTAATCATCGCTTTTCGATGGTTGCTCATTATTATTGTTCGATACCCCACAACTGTTTAGCTTTTCTCTTGTCTTTTCAACGCCGCCTGTATCGAGTCGATGATATTGACCAATGCATCTTTCCTCTGTTCATTGTCTTCCGAAGCGTCGTTATTTTTCACGCTGTCTCCCTTATCTACCCACGACTCATTGCTCGAGGCAATTAACAATATACAGAGTATTCTAGTCAAAATAACGAAGAAAAAGAAGAGAAAAGAAGTAAAGTTCAATTAATATTATACATATGTTGATATATAAATGTCTAATTCAAGCTGATCATTCAGATACGAAGCTTCTATTCGAACTAAAAGAAGAAGAAAATGAAAGAGTAAAATAATAATTCAAGGCTCATTTCTCAATTAAATGAAGAAGAAAAATATGATCGATGAAGCAAAAATAAAGAAGAAAGACACATGTGCATCTCTCAATAGATGAAATGTATTGAATCGCTCTACCGATTCGTACAATACGCTTGTCACGATACAAAAGTGACGATAGGTTATCTTGTTCATATCACCGATAAGATTTTAATACGAACAAGGATCTCTCTTGCTAATGAGGATCGAATTTGTTCACAAAAGAAAAACGCTAAACATGTACCAATCTTTCTCATTAAGCTTGTCTACGTCGTCTCTAGTCACGCATACACGATGTTAACTTAATGAGCACTCAAGATTTTTCTTACATACAGTATATGGATATTTGCTGTTGACGAGAGATGTATGATAATGTTCTTCCATGTTAAAGAGTCCGAAAGAGCGTATGTATATGCTTAAAGACAATGTTAGTTGCCTATTTGATTAGAGATTTGATCAATGCTTGCTTACATAGCAGTATTGAAGAACGAGAAAGAAGAAAAGAAATATGTAATAAAGTTGAACAGATCACATACGTATACGCACTTACACACACGTTTCTTTACAAATTTTATCACCGACCAACTGACCTCAAAAAGAGAAAGAAAAGCGAAGACGAAGAAGTTTAAGTATTATTCATAAAGAAGCATAAAAGGAACTTGCATAAGAAATAAAACGTTCTTGTAATATCTACCAGTATATTAATATAGACATCTATTCTTTGTCAGATAATGATACTTGAACAGAACTTGCTTTTGCTGTCTTTTTATTCAATACATCTAGACATATCACGAAATCTCTCTCTCTCTCTCCTGTTCTTCGAACGGTAATTGATACATGAACAATGAAAGACAACGAAGAGATCTCTGTACAAACAAAGATGGACATTCTTATTAAGAGCTTTGTCTGATATGAAAACATATGAAGGACAACGAATAAATATGATTTACATACTTGCTTGAGAAAAAAGAAACAACTTTTTGCCAGGTGTTATCGATTGATCACACCGTTATCGGAAAACAAAGAGTCAATTTCTATTGGTTCATATGAGAACAGAGACACAACTGTTCAGTTCAATTATCAAACAGACAGATCGTCATTATTCTTCTGATACTGATTGTGTGTGCCATCTATGATAGAAATATCGATCAAGCGTTAACTTAACGAATATCATTTTCAACCATTCTATTTGATACTCAGATTTTAACACAGCAGAAGTTCATTCAAGGAGATTTTGAGAGGCATTTGCACGGGAACGATAATTTTCTCATGTCTTAGTTATGAGTCAACATTTATTCAATGAGTGATGAAACAGATCTATTTTTTCTTGTCAATTATTTCTTTTAGAATTCAAGATTAGAACATTTTCATTGGAGCTGAAATCGGTCATACGGATTCTTTTTTGACCAAATACGAATCATGCGTGAGTGACAAATGCTACGTAATTGATGCTTCTTTGTGTAAAAAAATTTCTTAACTAAGAATCTAAGTCATAAAATCGATGCTTATCTTACTCCTTTCGATAGTACGTTCAGACACGGGCAAATGTAGACGTTGAACAGTCTTTCTAAGAGCGAACAAATAACTCTTTCCACTCTAAAAACGAAATCTAGCTTTGCATTTCACATAATAAAATATGTGATTTTGATTCATTTTTACGGTACGACTTTACGATAAACGCGTCGGTTCCTTTTCCCACACTAAAATCCAAGCATAGAGAATTATTGAAAGTTATATAACAAACACTGTTTGACGATTAGGATTGGAACAGTTTGAAAAAAGATCAGCAGTCTATCATGTCGATTTAATTTATTCTTACTCCACCGGCTTTCGAGTTCACTTGGACATGTTCAGGTTGATCTATGCAAAAGAAAATAAAATCGTCAGTTAATAACAAATGGAAACTTATCATGATTGCAAGAACGATTCAGTGAACGTACCACAGATTTTTCCTTTATTATTCGTTCGTTTGTTCATGCAGTGAATTCGACTATTGGACGCTAATATATCTATATGGTGTCTAACGATCGTTGCACGGCTATTCGATACCAATGACTATCACAGATGTTCTACGTTCGGCATTTATTAGATTGGTACTTTTCCTTCCTATGAAAAGAATCGATGACTTATGAGATCCGCGACAAATGAAGTACATGAACTATTTCCTTAAACATTCACGTAGAAAGCATGTGAAAATAGTTCCAGTTTGATTTAAAGGTATTAAATTAGGTTTAGGTGTTCAACAATTGTACGGATATGGATTATCAAGAGTTTTGTAACACATTTCGACTAAACATTTGAAAAAGTCGGTAGAGATCGATGCTACTGCTATCGTCAAATACATTCAGGGAAGCCAATGTTGTAAGTCGCATTTCTAGTCATAAACAAAAGTTAATTGATCGTCATCTTCAACTCTTATCTAAATGAAAAAAAAACTTTCCGACAAATTGAAACTAAAATGGGTAAACAAAAAACGAACATTATAGACTCTAACGGTAAATGTTTCGTCAATTGAATCAAATACAAGAATTAGATAATTCAAATTTCTTCGGTTGTCTCTATTGATTTTTCACTGGTTATTCGCAATGTAAATTATAAACAAACATTGCAAACATCATTGAAAATTAACAAAAAACAAAAGTACAAATTCTTCGTATGGATAACTGATATGTAAAGATAGAGAAATAGTTGAGAAGATTCATGATATACATTGATATTTTCTGACATGGGTACGATAATTACAATTCACTTGCCGAATGAATGTGCATTTTGATTCTTTTTTTGTTACATGGAACGAAAACAGCGTATAGTTGGAAAAAAAGGAGACACTCTGCGCGCGCGGTCTTTTATGCAGTGCATTGCGATGTTAGAAACACGAATTTCAACATTAAATAAAATAATCTTTTGATTTCATTGATTATTGCCACATTCTGATGTAATTGACTCGATATTCTCTATTTCCGTCCTTCATATTTCTAATGGAGTTTATTTGTCAATGATTCAGCCTTCTACAAACATGTTTATGATTCTTAAAACATTTTAATTATAGTTTCATTGCAATTATCAATGTCCTTTTTCAATATGCCTATTATACATGTAGTACCAACGATATGTCTAAGTCATTAAATGGTTATCAGCAAATAAGCTGATGGTGTCTTGAAGAGTTCCACGTTTATAGAATCATATCATTCTGTGTATCGATGAAATATTTTCGAGAATATTAATTAGTTGTTTTCGAGCGCAGTAAATAGGGAAAAAGAGAAAACAAGTAATTATGATTTGAAGCAAAAATAGTTTCGATATTGTCAGAAATAGACACGCGCGGATACATCTACTACTTTGGATAAAATCGAATCATTTATTGATTATTAGCATTATTGTTTCGATTATTTTACTCAGTGACGTGTAGAAAGACATGACTTTTTTTCTCTAATTCATTTTCCTTTCTTTCTTCTGTTTATCAATGTTGATGATGATCCATTAGTTTGAATACATTGAAAATGAGCTGTTTTTTCTGCTGACAACATGCGAGAAATAACAATATAATGACAAATCATATTTTTCACCTGTAAGACCCTCATTTTAGGCTTGCTGTGCAAGTGAGTGTGTGCATCAAACTGTAACCGAATGCGACGAAAACGAGCGAGAAAAAACGAGAGAAAGAAAAACCACAGGCATGTATCTGAATGAAACAATGTTGTCGCTGACAGACGTGATCTTTTTTCTCCCTGTTTCAGTTTGAGTATTTGTTACTGACGACAATACACAAACAAAGACGAACACAAACGTCTTTTCAATCATCTACGCGCAAGTAATCTCATCATAGTCAAGACTCAACATGGGCCTTGGATCATCAAGAAGAGACGGTAGATATGACATGTTATTTTGTTTTTCAGTTTACGACGATTAATGGTGTACTTCCTTTTTAGCTCCAGTATTCAGTGTGCACGGTCGTCTTTATCGTATCTTAGATACAATTGGTCAAGGTAGTGAAGCTACTGTATATAGATGTGAAGATCAAAATGCTGCTCAATATGCTGTGAAAGTGTTCTATTTTTCACGTTATTCTCCTGTGGATTTACGACAACGAATTCCAAATTTTAAAAAAGAAGCGAATCTATTACGATTACTTTCAACACGTTCAAGACATTTCGTGCATTTAATCGATTATGAATATAAACCTGAAGAAAATATTGGTTATATGATCATGGAATTAGGAGATGGTAGTTTACGAAAGAACTTATCTGGAGTACCATTAGATGATCCTATACGACGTTCATATTGGAGACAAATTGTGACCATCTTGAAAGATCTTCACGACATGCGTGTCGGTAATAAACCTTCGATTTGACATTTTTCGAGATAGACAGATGTATGTCATCGATTCTTTTTTTCTGCTCTAGTTCACGCTGACATTAAACCCGATAATTTAATCTTAGTCAACAATGTGCTCAAAGTAACTGATTTAGGTCTTGCCTTTCGAGTGGCCTCACCAAGACAAACCGTTCGACGAACTGGAGTTCGTGGTACTCTTGGTAATCAAAGAGATTCGCCTGAAGTAGCTAAAAAAAGCACTTGATCTTTGTTTTATTAGATTACATGGCACCTGAAGTATTCTCTCATCAAACGAGTCATAAATCAGATGTATGGTCAGCTGGTATAATTCTCTATGAAATGACTTACGGTCGCCCACCTTACTATGCTATAGTCGATCGGAATCAAAAAGTCATGGCTATCTCCTCAATGGTACCTATATCATTTCCACCCGTGAGAGATCGGGCCCTGTTCGATTGTATGAGACGTAGTCTCTCAGCAAATCCAAACCTTCGACCTAGCGCTCAACAATTACTAGGGCATCCTTACACAAGAACGTTTTAATGACAGTTGTTATGCTTCTTCCTCGTGAAGAAACTTGAAGATATGTTTTTGTTGAAATATCTGCAAATCTCTATAGATGTCACTGTCAAAAGACTGCTATGTGTTAATCGTAATTTTTCAAAACTGCTTTCGCATGTTTATATACGAGATGTTTTTTTAATATTAATATATAGGAGAAATTAATATTAGGCTCAATTTATAACTCATAAATTCTAATTGGTTCTCCTATACACCAATGAAAAATTATTGTTTTTATTTCGCACTGAGTATTTCTTCCTTCTCCACGTCTTCAAAGGAGATAGGGTAGATTTTCTTCGACGTCATTGAAACAATCACGGTTGGTATTTATCAAATGAATTGCTTTAATTTATTTGAATAATAACCAGAATTTTCTTCACACTTTATGAAATTAAATAGAAGCGAAAAAATCATCCCTGTGAGTTCTCGAGGCTTCTAGAATTATCAACATATCGAATAAATATAATTCTCATTTTGATGATTTATACACATGAAAATTTGTTTTCTAGATTTTTTTTCAGACAAATCATGTCGCAAACAAGCTCATCATCTTTCTTTAATAACTTCAGTGAATTTCGAGGCAACGGCAAATCGAAAAACTTCGATTTTCGAACGCTTTTCGATTTCTCAACCCTGTAAGTTTTCGCCATTTACTTGCGCTCTATCAGTAACAAAACCTCTTCTATCGCTTTAGTCAACCTCAAGTTCGAAATCATTTGAAAAATGTTTACGCCTGCTTAATGGGCACAACATTATGTGCCACATTAGGTGTACTTATCTCCATGACTGGTTGGTTCAATTATCCTCTTTTAGCAGTCTTTGGGTCAATAATCACAGGTGCTTGGCTCTCCTCACTTGATTTGAACGCTCGTACTCAAAACAAATGTTTCGCATTAATGGCTGCTACTGGTCTATTCACTGGCATGTATATCAGCCCATTGATCAATGTGGCCATTCAAGTTGACCCACAAATTCCTATGACAGCACTTTTAATTACAACATTCGTTTTCGTCTGCTTTACACTCAGTGCGTTATTAACACAAAAACGTACTTATTTATATCTCGGAGGTAAATATTGATTTCGAATGTACCTAGTTAAGGCAAAATGATGTTTAGGTTTACTTGGCACTGGAGCGTCCGTTATGTTACTGTTGAGTTTCATGAATATCTTCGCTCGTTCACAATTACTTTTCAATGTAAGTTAACACGAAAATAACCTCGTATGTTTGATACGAAAAGATAGAAGGTCTCATTAACACTAGTAAATAATTACTCGTTTGCAGCCATTAAGCTTGACATCTATCATTGACACTTATAACTACGGAAAGATTGTGTAAATGATGAAATGAAATTTTGTTTTGATATTTTTCTAAACACTTTTTTGTTCAGGCTAATCTTTATCTCGGTTTGGTTATGGCATGTGGATACATTTTGTATGACACACAATTAATTGTCGTACGAGCCAACACTGGGGATATGAATTATGTCAAGTGAGTGATTGGAACTAAATCGATCGATCAGTTTCTCATGAAATTCGTTTTTTTAGACATGCTCTTCTCCTATTTGTTGATTTAATCGATTTATTCGTTCGAATTTTAGTTATTTTACTCAAAAATGTATGTTTTCTCGAATTTCCCTGAGATCAAACCAATGAATATTTCTTTTCTAGGCAAAGAGCAACGAAAAGAAGAACAAAAATCGTTAAAAATCAAAACTCGATTTGTACAAACTATTGATGATAAGAATCATTAAGGATATCTAATTTTAATGTTGTCTTTTGCTTCTTGTCGTTTGACTTTCAATTCTACTCACATCATTCGCTTTACATATAATCATTGAACGGAAATATATCTTCGTAGTTCTATGTATCACTCTTATTTAAACTCGAGAAATAAACGAAAAAACAACAAACAAAGATTAGATATAAATTCATCATTCTTTGATAAAAACAGTTCGTTAGAGTGAAAATCACATGCTTATGTTCAACCTAACACGATTAAATCATGTACTCTTTTCAATATTGTCGGCTTGTTTGTTGAACAATTGTTCATTTTCTTCTCGTCAAACCTTCCTCCTGTGATTGTCGCTTTTGATCTTTCTTGTCGAGTGACGTGCAGAGATTTCGCACTCAATGACACTAAGTGTCACACAGTTAAATTTATCATCTACCTCCTCAGACTACGTTGTGTCCACGATGACTCTAACTGGCGTCATGACGACTATGTTAATGTTTGTAACTTCTTGAAAAATGTTGTGTGGGTAAATGGAATGTGCAGGCGATTGACTGAAAAGATTATCGTGTCAGTGAAGAAAAACTTTATCTTCAATCAACAATAAAATAACTGTCGCTTTTGTTTTTCATGAACGAGACAGAGAGAGTATATAACATTTAATCGCTCGGATTTACGTCATGGGTTAAATGAAAACATCATTTATCGATCGGATATTTGATATTGTACGTTTTTCTTTCTTATCTAAATACTGTGATAGAATAATTATTTGCTTATGACACTTTGACTAATATCAAGATTATACGATATGGGCGTCAAATAAGTCGATGATTGATTGTTAATAGTTGTGATTTGAACTTTAAAAAAGTCGGAGGTGATTGTTATATGAATATCACTAAAAGATAAGGAAAAAGTCGACGGTTTCACGTTCCACATATGTCGAGTTATTTAAAATGAACGATTTTCCTTTCTTCATTTTAGATGAATATTTGTTTTTGTTGACTGTAACAAGCAAATTTTGCCGGTAGATGTTGAAGTAAAGTAACTTGACTTGTTCATTTTTAATGAATATAATTCCATTTGAAATGCTAAGTATATATGCACGTTTGGCAAGTATGTTTACTTTTTGAATAGAGGAACATAGGCAAGACTGACGTTTTCTCGCCTTCTTTTTCTTTTCTCGTCTTCAGGGAAAGCGAGGAAGAAAGAAAGAAAGGAGGAGAGAAGGTATAGGCTCACATCTAATATTCTGACCGCAAATTCGATGAATATTCTATTTGAAATAGTTATAGGAAAAAGAGAAACGCAAGAGAAAAAAAGTAAAACAAGGGAATGAATAACGATTCGCTATTCCATTGAAACCTCATTTCATCTAACTGCAGATATTTATATGTTAATCAACATTAAATACTTCGACTCCTCGCAACATTCTGTGGCATAGTGTTTTCAATGACGTCCTCATCCACCTGGATGAATACGCATTTCTTTATATACACACACACACACACACACACATACATTAGAGTATATAAATCCTTTTCATAACTAATACGTTTTTTCTTCTCTTTTAGAACCTTTTATTTGTTTTTTTTCTGCTTGCACGCAGTGCGTGCAAGTCAATATCATTTGTAATAAAACGTGTATCGACGTGAGAACGACATTCTTCGTAATATTACCCGGCAACATGTAAGTGTACAATTTTCTTTCTCAAGGACCAACTTTTCCCCCCTTATTCCACAAAGTTCTACGTGATCGATGTATACATACATTCGGAATCGGATCATTTAGAGAAAAAAGATCTTTATCTCGAAAGATTATTTGATCAATAAACAAATCCAAAAACATTCACAAATGAAAATATATGACCGTCCTTTATAGTGACATCGATTCATCGATTGCTTTTATTATCATTATAGGACGTGTTGTTATTATCACTTGTTTTTTTCTAACGACATCACCTTGAAAAATAATAAAACGCTTTGTAGGCTGAGAACCTTTTCTATGGGAGAGAACAGAAGCGATGAGATTATCTTGGAACGAGAAATAGACACACATGTTGTGTTTGACAATCATTTCACCTATGAAATTTACTGGTAGAAAAAAAACTGTGACTGAAGACTTGCGTAAGATGGCGTGTGTGTCCGTGATAGAATGAAAAGGTAGCGAAAAAATTGCAATTAAAATTTAGATTGAATAATTTTCCTCCGAGAAAATATATGTGACTCTTGTCGAATACGTTTGCAATCAGTTTGTTTTTGTACGTAGAGTTTATATCGGTTAATATTAATGAAAGAAGTGATTCAATTCGAGAGAGAAATGACAAATTTAACATATTTTGATGTTTTTCGTGAATTCTGCCTCGGTCAAATGCGTTCCCCTGTGACAAAAATAGTTCTGAGTCATACCACTGATTCACAGCTTGTGTCATAGGCGAATTCAGAAAATCTTTAGTGGCAATCAATTCTACGGATAATGATCGTATTCAATGAGTGCATCGAGTAAAGAGCAAGTGTATGATCTAAAAATAAAATGTTGACCTTTGGATTTGCTCTTCATTTAACAAAAAACTGAAATCCTCGTGTAAAATCGTTTCGACAGCATCGGTTTGTTTCACAGAGATATTTCGCGAGTAGAAACAAGAATTCTGGGACTTTTCTGCGATCGAGATTATGTCGTGAGGATAAGTTTGATAAATGAATACAAAGAAGAGCAAAAAATGATTTATACAGATTGTAACCTTAGAGTTTTGCATCAAAATTCCTTTTTTTTTCTACAACATATCGATTTCTCTTTTCATTAAACGCACATGAATGAAAATTTCCTCATGCAAGTCACACTCGTCCATATTATTTCATTCTAAAATATTCACTTAAAACAAAGCACAATGCTCAGTTTCAAATTACACAAATCTTTACACCACCAGTATCATTTGACAAGCGTTCTTCGCAAAGTCAACCTTGATTATCAATATCAGCATAAAGTTGCAAAAAAGTCGTCTTCAAACACTCTTTATCCGACACTCGAATAGTTGCATAATAAATCATCATCTGTATCTTTGAGTGGTTCTTTTTTTCAATGAAACATGCTCTATAATGATGTCAGCGGACATCAACTCATTCCTACTGATTGACCTATTGATATGCACGCGCTATACTCATCGATACTGTAGTCATATGGTTATCATGTAAATGTGAACAGGGAGGATGTAGCGTGACCAATGCGATGAGAATCTTCATATTGATCGGGAAGTTCATATGTACTTGTTTTGATTTCTTTTCAGGACGGAAGCAAATCCAGGAAAATCTGACGACAATAACTCGAAGAAAGATCATCATGACGAACCTGATGATATCGACGATGAAAAACAAGTCGAAAAGCCGTTATTAGAATCGCCACCTGAAACTGAAATAAAACAACCAAGAAAAAAGGTAAATTTTAATCAATTATCTTTGTGTACTTCGCTTTTCATAAACTTCTTCTGATTCATACTGTGAGGGGAAACTAACGATGATTGACAGAGGCATGCGAACAAACAGTACACATTTACGATCATTATGACGTAACACCTGTGTTTCTATGTAAATATAGTTAGACAAGCTACGATAGCATCATTAATCACGAACATCAAAAGATCAGAAGCAGAAGATAGAAAGTAAAATCAGCCGTCTTCTCTTTCTCGAGCACTGAATCGTACACGAAAGTTTTATTTCAGATATCCATTGTATATCACAGTCTTCTTGTTCTTTTATAAGTATTGTTCCAGTTGATAGACTGAATAGAGAACAAAAAAAATCGTGTTTTATTTTATTATCATACTACGACTTCTTCTTCTAGTCTGCAGAATAAAGAGTAGCAGGCTCTGTCTTTAATTTGTCAGAGAATTAGTAAAAATCAGTAGTCTAACTTGTTTTTTTGGTCGCTTGGAAGAAACATCGACAACATGGATGAATAAACATTAATCAGATGAATTTTTTCTTCTTCTTCTTCTTCTTTTACTTTTATACCTTTTTCTCACATTTTCTTTTATTTGGTCAAAGAGAAGTGCAGTAAATTTGTTCTTTAAGTAGAGTAGAAGATGTTGATCTAGAGGAAAATTATACGCACATCTGACTGTCACATAGTTTGAGAAGAAAGGGCAATGAGAACACGAAAAATGGTAATCTGAGCAAATAATAGGAGTAATTTTTTTGTTTCGATTTCTCTTTTTTTTCCTATTATTGAAGGTCTTGATTCAAATAAAACAGAGGAGAGAAAGAGAAATCAGTTCAATAGTATAGATTAAAGTAAATTCTCATTATTGCTTCACATTCGTCTTGTAAAACGTGACTTCTTCGTTCAAATTTAGATGTCGGCAAAGAAGCAGAAAGCAACATCTGCCGAAGAGGTTGCAGGTGGTGGTGATTCGTCAATGTTCGACATAACATTGGATCAACTGAAGGAACTCATGCAGGAACGAGGCAAAGACTTAATGGAAAAATTAAAACAATCAGAATACAATGGTGTCAAAGGCATTTTAGAAAAATTGAAAGTTGATGGAAATAAAGGTTTAGATTCTAATAACGAACAAGATCTTGAACAACGTCGTGAAGCATATGGAAGAAATGAAATTCCACCCAAACCAATGAAATCCTTTCTCCGACTTTGCTGGGATGCACTTCATGACATGTTATTGATTATTTTATTAGTTTGTGCTATTGTATCAATTGGCCTCTCATTTTACCGAGCACCGAAAGAAGACGATAGTAAAGAAGATGAACGTAAGTTGATATTCTATTCTTATTGAACTCGAAGGCGAAAGAATCATTGTTAGTTGGTTACTAAAACAAATATTCGTTTCACTGAATTAGAAATACAATTAGTAAACACGTTGATAACGTCACAGTTCTTTTTCTTCATTTCTGTGCTTTTGCGTTCTGCTATCTACCATGAAGCCTGGCTGAATGTACATAATTATGCACAGAACTATTTAATTTATTTTAAAATTTCTTCAAGGAGTTGACGTCAAAACAGCTTCAGAAAAAGCCTCCTTTGCTGGAACATCGACAGCAGTAGAATGTGCCCGTGTACGTTTGTTTTGCATTCTTTAAACATACGTAAAAGAAACAAATGTTTGTATTGAAACAAAACGAAAGAAAATTACGTCAATACAGTGTATGACATTGACGTCGAGGAAACAAAAAAAAAATAAAACAGAATATGCTTAAGTATTTACGTCAAAAGAATGTAATAAAGACGGATGTCTAATATTGACTAAGATTTATCAGATGACATGAGAACTTTGATATACTAGGATTACGTGTAAAAATGGTTTAATAATAAACGAAACTGATTAGTGAAAGCTGATTTGTTAACGACGAATTGTTTCTCTTCTTTTCAGCTAATTTGGAATGGATTGAAGGAGTAGCTATTCTCGTTGCTGTGCTTGTTGTTGTATTCGTGACAGCAATCAATGATTGGAGAAAAGAACGGCAATTTCGTGGGTTGGAGAGTAAAATCGAAAAAGATCAACAAACATCCGTTGTACGAGATAACAGTATACAACAAATTCCGATCAATGAACTCGTTGTTGGTGATCTATGCTTTATTAAATACGGTAAAGTTAAGAATGAGATGTCGAGTTTTGGAAAGAAATGCTGTGATTTTCTTAGGTGATCTTTTGCCAGCCGATGGCTTGATTGTACAATCGAGTGATTTGAAGATTGATGAATCTTCTATAACAGGTTGGCGAGATTTGATTGCAAACTATCAAATAATTGTGTTTTGTTTTGAATAATTTAGGAGAAACTGATTTAATTAAGAAGAGCACGAAAGAAGATGTGGGATTGTTATCAGGTACACATGTTATGGAAGGTAGTGGTCGGATGGTTGTCGTAGGTGTTGGTTTAAATTCCCAAGTTGGTAGTATTATGAGTTTACTTGGTGCTGCTGGCGATGATTCGAAAAAGAAAGGAAAGAAGGACAAAGGTAAAGACAAAAAGAAAGATAAACCAGACGAAAAGAAAAAGTCCAAGCCAATTTCATCGACGAAAGTCGCGCCAGATAGATCAACATCCGATGAGAAGAAAAGCGACGCTCAAACAGTGGAAACAATTAATGAAACGAAACAATCATCAACAAGTCATCCACGTGTTCGAAAACTACCCGAAGTCAATCAACCAAGTAAAGAAGAACATGAAATGAAACCAACAAAATCAGCCGAGTCGAAAGACGATGGTGACAATAAATCGAACAAATCATCAAATTCTAATGATGGTGATAACAAGAATAGTGAATCGAAAAAGCAATCAGTCAAAAGCACATCGAATGATGGAGACGATAGTAGTGAGCAAAAACTAAAGAAATCAAGCTCGAAAAGTCTCAATAAAAATGAATCAGAGAAGAAAAAATTAGATTCTGATGAAGAAGATAACAACGACGAACAAGACACGAAGAAATCCAGTTCGAATGAAGATGCTGTTGGCGACCAAAAGGAGCAGCCATTGAAAGCAGAGAATAAAAATGACCAAGAAACAAAAAAATCCGGTTCCGACGACGAATCCGACAACGGTGAGGGTGATAAAGATAAACAAGAAAAGACTTTAACAAAAAAGAAAAGTAGTGATAATAAATCCGAGAAGAAATCCAACGAAAATGAAAGTGACAATGAAGAACAAGAAAAGAAATCAGAAACAACGAAACAAAAAGAAAGTGACGATCAAGTCAAACCAACATCAGCGGATGATGACAAGAATAAATCTGATAAGAAAGAAGATCCTGAAAAGAAATCAGCCGGGTTAGCAGCAGTAGCCGAACAGGCTGACGATGAAAAAGATGGTGAGAGTGGATCGAAAGATGGTAAACAGAAATGTAAGTCATCGACATCTTTTGCTTAACCACATCCACTATTCTCTTGATCCTGTTTTAGCTGTTCTACAAGCAAAATTAACTCGTTTAGCACTTTACATTGGTTACATCGGCATGACTGCTGCATTTTTAACACTAATTTGTTTAATTGTTCGTTTCTGTATAACAACTTATGTTGTGAAAGGGAAAAAAGCATCTGGTGCTGATGTTTCTTATTTTATTTCATTTCTTATTCAAGCAATTACTGTCGTCGTTGTTTCAGTACCAGAAGGTTTCATACATACATAGTTATAGAGTACATATACAATAAAAATAACTTTATCTTGTAGGTCTTCCCCTTGCCGTTACACTCGCTCTTGCCTACGCCGTGCGAGTAAGTCAACAAAATTGAATAATTAAATTTCAATGATGATTTGATTTGATTTGACTAGAAAATGATGACGGATAACAATCTTGTCCGACATTTAGATGCATGCGAAACAATGGGTAATGCGTCAACCATCTGTTCAGATAAGACAGGAACCTTAACAACAAATCGTATGACAGTCGTGCAGTGTTATGTTAATGGTAAGATCGTATGGTAATTATACGAATGTGTATCTATTAGGGACTTTGTTCTCTAGGTAAACATTATGATAAACTACCGAAAAATGAAGAAATCAATAAGGATTTACTTCCACTTTTGTTCGAAGCTGTAACAGTCAATTCAAATTATACATCAAAAATTGAGGTTTGAATGAAATTTCGTGTAGAATCCGTAGATTCAATCTATGCATTTAGAAATCGAAAGATAAAGAAGATGGCAGTTTGCCCAAACAAGTCGGTAATAAAACTGAATGTGCCTTACTTGATTTGGTGCAGAAATGGGGCGGATCGTACGACGAGGTTCGAAAGAATTTTCCCGAAGATAAATTGGTTAAAGTTTACACATTCAATTCTGCACGGAAAATGATGTCAACAATTATCGAACGTGAAGACGGTTATCGACTTTATACGAAAGGTGCATCAGAAATGGTTTTAACAAAGTAAAACTGAATGAAAGTGATGAAGGAAAATATCGCTGTTGAATTTCTTAGATGTAAATCAATCATTGACAAAGATAATAAACCAAAAGATTTAAGTGAGGATGAAAAGAAGAAAATCACCAAAGACGTGATCGAGAAAATGGCAAATGATGGTCTACGAACAATTTCTATTGCTTACCGCGATCTTGGCAAAGAAAAGCAAAATTGGGATGACGAAGATAAGATTATCAAGGATTTAATATGTATCGGTCTAGTAGGTATTGAAGATCCTGTTCGTGACGAAGTAAGTGAATTTTATAAATCACTTCCAGCATGTGGACCTATTCTACTCTATTTAGGTACCGGAAGCTATTGAGAAATGCCAAAAAGCAGGTGTGGTTGTTCGAATGGTAACCGGTGATAACATTATGACTGCTCGTTCTATTGCTACGAAGTGTGGTATTATTAAACCGGATGATGATTTTCTTATATTGGAAGGCAAAGAATTTAATAAACGTATTCGTGATTCTTCTGGAAAGGTAAGAACGAGAAAATGTTTGCCGGTGAACTTCTACAGATTTGTCTTACTGTTTAGATTTCCCAAAAGAAACTTGATGAAGTTTGGCCGAAATTACGTGTTCTCGCACGTTCATCGCCACAAGATAAATACAATTTAGTCAACGGTATTGTTGAGAGTCGAGTAACTGAAAACCGAGAAGTTGTTGCTGTTACTGGCGATGGTACTAATGATGGTCCTGCACTCAAACGCGCTGATGTTGGATTTGCTATGGTAAAGCAAATCATGTTTGTTGCTTGGAAATCTTTTAAAACACGTTTCAATTTTCTAGGGTATTCAAGGAACAGATGTTGCGAAACAAGCATCGGATATTATACTAACGGATGATAATTTCTCATCGATTGTCAAAGCTATGATGTGGGGAAGAAATGTTTATGATTGTATTGCCAAATTTCTTCAATTTCAACTGACTGCCAATCTCTCAGCTGGTGTGCTATCTGTTATTTCCGCAGCAGCTATAAGTGTATGAGTTCCTTTTCTTGTTCGTTTATGTAGATCTTCATTTTCTATTGCAGAGCGTTCCATTACGAGCCGTGCAAATGCTTTGGGTCAATCTCGTTATGGATACGTTAGCATCTCTTGCACTTGCCACTGAACCACCAACCGAAGATTTATTAAATCGAAAACCATATGGTCGTACAAAATCGATTATATCACCAATGATGATGCGTAATATTATTGGTCAATCATTGTACCAACTGGCCATTATGTTTATTATTCTTTATGCCGGACAAAATTTTCTTGATGTTGAGTCAACTGTTATCAAATTGCAATCAAACCCTCATGCCGGACGAGAATTAAGTGCACAATTTACGATGGTATTCAATGCATTTGTTTTAATGACATTGTTCAATGAAATCAACTCACGAAAACTACACGGAGAAAGAAACGTATTCAAAGGTATACACCGAAACCCATTCTTCTATGGTATTTGGATATTCTGTTTTATTGCACAAGTAAGAAACGATCGCCAGTGAAACGATTGTTACAGTCATACTGTATTTTCTAGATCCTTATTGTCACTTTTGGTAGTAACGTGTTCAGTTGTGAGCGATTAGATATTAAACAATGGGCATGGAGTTTACTTTTCGGTGTTGGTTCACTTCTATGGCAACAGGTTCGTTCTTTTCTCACTGAAAAAAGATCGTGGTTTTTGTATTGATGACATATTCGCTGGTTTAGTTACTTCTATTTATCCCAATCAAGCCATTTAGTCGATGTTTCTCGGGAATATATCGTGTATGTTGCCCATGCTTGTCCAAGAGAAAGAAAAAGAATGAGGATAGAGAAGAAGAAGATGATGAACCTCGAAACAAATCAGGCGGAAAACGCGAGAAAAGACGGCATTCGAAGAAAGGAAGTACTGAAGATGATAATGAACAAATCTTCGGCAAATATGCTACTGTCGGGCATTTGACAAATGCGACGGTTGTAATGGCACCACCACCAATGTTCGCACGATATATGCTTCGAAAAAGTGTTGATCGACTGAATACAGAGGTTTGTATTGTTTTAGAACTTTTTTTCTCATTAATTGATGATGTTCTAATGTTTCAGTTTCAAGTTATTAATGCCTTTCGTTCGCGATTGGAAGTGGTAAAAGAGAAAAAAACTGAAATATCTACTGAACAGAAACGCAATAGCCAAGATCATTTAATCGATGAATAAAAACGCTGTGAACAAACGTGGTGCAAGCAAATGTATTTGTTTTTATTTTCTTCTGTTATAAAATTCTCTAAATAATGTTCAAGTGATTGCTGCTTGTAGCATTAACTAATAATTAACTAAATGTGTTCTCTCTCTCTCTCTATTCTCTTCCTTTTTATTTTGTGTTCTTCCAACTTCTGCTTACGTATGCCGTTCTTGTTTCATTTGATCAAAGTTGTCTGTAAATATATCTGCGTCTAGGTGACATTTACACTGGCAAGCAAATTGAAAAGATGTACTCGATGTTCAGAAAATCTTAATACGATCGTTTGAAATCGTTATATCGAGTACAGTCCAGCAGGAAAGCTCTAGTATTAACAATTACAGACAGATAACCAAAAGCGTGGCTTATCATTTGTTAAAGATTATGACATCATCCTCCGAGAACTGTTAATCAATTCTATCAAATTACGAAAAACTGTTGTTTTTGTTGAGAATAGTTATTTTTAAAAAAGACATGTTCGTTTTTAGGATAGTCTATCATCAATGCTATGCTATCGCGATGTGTTCGTCGAGTATAAACGTGTGGGAAGAATTCTCTCCCCCTCCTTCCTGTTCTTCGTGGCTTTAGAACTGAAACAAGACAATCTTCTCATTGTATACCGATATATACTTTCTTTTAAGAAAGAAAGAAAGAGGAACAATATCATCATGAATAGAACGATATCCAAGGCTACCGTACTCAAAAGAGCAACTGAGAATATGCTACCAAGGTTTTTTCCACTTCTCTGCATTGAAAAGAACTATGACTGATTATAATTTCAATAACACGAAAATTCAAAAGGCAAATACACGACTAACAATTCGATTGCATTGATTATAGAGGAAAAGAAGTAAATAATAACTCCAATTTGTTTCGAAAGAAGATTTTCTCGAGCGATGTTTATGTTAATCTAAATTCTCTATCTTCTTTTTTTCTTTGTCTTTCTGTATTCTTCCTTCCTTTTCCTATTGATTATGTCTACCGCGTCGCTGAATATGATTACCATCAACACTAGTACTATTACCGCAAACGGAGAAAAAATATCAGAGATGTAGAGACAAGACACGATTGGATAACTTATAGACCGAAATAACCTCTTTTTTCCTTCGCATTTCCTTTTCTTCTGCTTTACACGATATCACCATCAGCGCGGAATAGCCAAACGGATTGATATCTTCTACATTTTTTTTCCTTTTGCTTTTCTCTCTTCTTGCTGCTACTATTGCTTACTACTACTACCGTTGTTGTGTTTGCCTCGTTCTTTTTTGCATCCAAACATCTTCCAGACACATTCAGACCAAGCCAAATTAAACAGTAGTAGCAATGGCCGACTTGCCCAGTGACAAAGTTGACGAAGCTAAACAAGTCTTCGATGTATTCGATAAAAAATACGAAGTAAACTTGTTTCCTATCGAAAGTTGCTTGTTCTACTTCTTGAATTCTCATTAGGGTAAAGTAGATTCATTCTACATTGGAGATATGCTTCGATCGCTTGGTATCTATCCAACACAAGCTGAATGTGAAAAACGTGGACAGACAAAAAAGACGGGAGAAAAATTCCTTAAAGTCGAAGAATTCTTGCCGATCTACTCCGAATTTTACAAAATGCCAGCAAAAAATTTCGGTACATATGAAGATTTCATGGAAGGCTTGAAATTATTCGACAAAGAAAGTAATGGTTTAATGTCCTTAGCTGAGCTTACTCAAGTTCTTGTGGCTATGGCTGAAAAACTTGAACCACGTGTCGTCGAAGAAATCCTCCGTTCAACCAACACAAAAGACGATGCCGAAGGCATGTTCAACTATGACACTTTCGTTCGTGCTCTTCTTCAAGGTCCGTTTCCAAATGAATCGACTTGATCACATTCGAAAATCAACATGTCAAAAACATTTTCTACTAGAGACAAACGATTATCAACTTTGTCAATTGTCTTGTTTTGCCTACCTTCATTTTTTTTCTTTATACATGTTTATTCCTATTTATCATGACTTCCCTTCTTTTTTTCTGCACACACATACACACACACACACACACACACACAAAACATGTTCTCTTCATTCTGATGCACAGCAAGAAGAGAATCATAGCAGCTTCCTTGTTCGTTAACAATCATATTCACCCTCTATTTTTGTGTTTGAAGCAACTTTTCGTATTGTTATGGGATCTCAAGTATCTATTAGAATAAGGTTACATCCGATATCAGTTGTAGTAAGAAGATTTCATCCTTCCTATTCAAAAACTTCTCTTTCTTTTTAAATATAAAATTTTTGTCTCTAAATGAATGTCTTCCATCGTTCGATCAACATCCAGCTGAGAATCAACGATCACGCAATCCGATTTGTTTTTTCACAAATCAGAATCAAGTTGATGATTGTCAAGGCTCTTTTTTATGAAGCTTCAATACAAGAAAACGTGTATATATGCAAGCAATGGCTGAATGACTCAGAGACATGAGGATCGAAAAAAAAACGGCGAGCGACGATGATGCATGCGCATGCAGGATTTCAAAGGTGAAGTGTACGATAGCAATGTAAAAGAAAGAGCACATTATACTCGTTGGAGGTATGTTCTTCATCGGCGAAATCAAAAGACGACAGAAAAAATATGTTAAATAAAGCTTCAGTAAATGATGATGGCGATAGTCCTCGTCAACTACAACCACAGCAACCATTTATTATCGTAGGTGATATAGTTCTTCACAATGAGTTGAAAGTAACAATTGTACAAGTCGTGACTCAAATTTTGCCGTCGACGTCAGCATCGCCGTATGAAAAGCCAATGATTCACCGATTATCTGCCAATCCTACCAGAACGAATAACTCACAAGCGGCAGTGCCTTGTGATTTGAAAAATACGACACCGGTTACAACAACGTCTGAACGACCCCGATCATCGACCAAGCTCATACGTATGCAAAAAGCTGGAGTAGCATTGGTGAAAGAATTGAAATCGAAAGTTGTTAATGGCAATCATCCTGAATCGAAAACGATCAATGAAAATCCAGATACTGATCCTAAACAAGCTCATTTTTAGCGTTGTTGTCTTTTTTTCCTGTATGGGTTCTTTCGTTGTTCAGATAACTCGTGAAGGTTTCAAACTAATTTAATAAATTTATGAATGAAATATTGATCCACTCAAAATTCCATCAATCATATGCAAAAAATTTGAAAGAAAAAAAAAGGACCTTGCACGCTTCGATTGCAGTTTATTCTCAATGATATAGACAAAAACTGACAATGATTAAGTATATCCGATTAATGATCATCTTCATTTCGTATTCCATTCGCTTGTGCAGTGAGAAAAGCATTTGCAATAGCAATGACTTCTGTGATTGAAGCATTCGCATTACAATTTGCTTTATTACACACACGTGTTAGACTAGAAACTTGAGCGGTAAACTGTTTACTATCAGGATAGCATAATCCCAACGACATGTTGATACCCAGCGAATCTTTGGTTAAAATTTCGTTGTAATTCTTGGTCATTGTGTGTAAACCTAATGTTAATGCACAGTAACCTGAACATAGAGTTGTTATATCATTGGAAATGCCAGTAAAACATGGAATTTTTGTATTGAACGGTATCGATGCGTTGTAGAACATCGGTTGGATATGTAGACCGGATAGATGTTTGCAATTTCTGAACAGGTCAGCTAGAGGAATAGAACGTTCTATTGAAGAAAACCAACCTTGATAAGCACATTAAAATGCAAATGAAATCAATCAACCATCTTTCAGAGGAATCATTTGAACTCACATCATCGATTTGTGTTCGATAATCTATTATTAATTAATATATTTTATTCCGAAGAAAACGAACTACATACAATAGTGAATTTTTCAATTGATACGGATTAGTTTTGGAAAATTTCATTTTCAACTGTCGAAATCAGATAGTTGTGATATTTGTTCGCACATATAATGCATAATTCTCGTTTAAATCATCTAATATCGTTTGATTGCGTGTACAGTTGAAATGACATATCTGTGTTCGATTCAGCAATGAATCACATAGAATATTATACATTTGAATAGATTTCATCACAAAGCAGAGCACCATGAAAAGCAACATCGTCTCCATTCGTATACGTTTAGCGCACAATTTGATAATTAACTACACCGATCGTATCTCAGTCACCGATGATTGTTATGATTCGCTTATTTACTCATTTCGATAAAGTACGATGACGAGTGCCTTCTTCCTTGGTAGAAGACAGGGAAAAAATGTTTATCATACTCAAGGTTTTCACCTTGTAATTCGGACGATTAATGCAAGTGAAACTATTCGAAATTTTTTCTCTCGAAGTGAAATTTGAAATACGTAATTTAGTTCGAATCATAATCCAGGGAGAAGATTTTTCAAAATGACTATATAATCGATGTCGAAACAAGAATTTCGAACGTTGGACACGACAGCATGGTAATAATAAAGAAGAAGAAAGAGAGAGAAAAAAGCGAACTAGTCTTTTTCTTTTTATCTTTCCTATGCTTCTCGTTCCTTCTCGATTATTCTACTTGCTTCGATTAGCTGACATATATAAAGCAGTTCGTACGTGCGCTTAGTTTGCATTTCTTTCTCGTCAAAACACTCTCACTAATTTCTACGCGTTCATTTCTTCACTCGTCGATATCTTCAAATACAAAACATGTCGGATAAGATGGAACAAGATGGCGGAGAAGCAGAAACCTTCGCTTTCCAGGCTGAAATTGCCCAACTGATGTCCTTAATTATCAACACATTTTATTCCAATAAAGAAATTTTCTTACGTGAATTGATCTCCAATTCATCTGATGCCTTGGATAAAATCCGCTATGAATCACTTACTGATCCAACCAAGCTCGATAGCGGAAAAGAATTGAGCATCAAAATCATTCCTGACAAAGCCAACAATACTTTAACCATCATCGATACTGGTATTGGTATGACAAAAGCTGATCTTGTCAACAACTTGGGTACCATTGCTCGATCAGGTACTCGTGCATTTATGGAAGCCCTCCAAGCTGGTGCCGATATTTCCATGATTGGTCAATTCGGTGTCGGTTTCTATTCGTGTTACTTAGTTGCTGACCGAGTAGTTGTCACCTCGAAAAACAATGATGATGAACAATATGTTTGGGAATCAAGTGCTGGTGGTTCATTTACCATTCGACGAGATACCACTGGTGAACCACTTGGTCGTGGCACCAAGATTGTTATGTTTCTCAAAGAAGATCAAACTGAATATCTTGAAGAAAAACGTATCAAAGAAGTGATCAAGAAACATTCGCAATTCATTGGCTATCCAATCAAATTGTTCGTTGAAAAAGAACGTGACAAGGAAATTTCCGATGATGAAGCTGAAGACGAAAAAAAACCAAGCAAAGATGAAGACGAAACCAAGAAAGATGAAGCTAAAGTCGAAGAAGTTGAAGATGAAGATGATGATGATAAGAAAAAAGATACCGACAAAAAGAAAAAGAAGAAAATCAAAGAAAAATACACCGATGAAGAAGAACTTAACAAACAAAAACCAATCTGGACACGTAATCCCGAAGACATTTCCACTGAAGAATATGCTGAATTTTACAAACAATTGACCAACGATTGGGAAGATCATTTGGCTGTCAAACACTTCAGTGTTGAAGGCCAATTGGAATTCCGTGCTCTCTTATTCATTCCAAAACGCGCACCATTTGACTTATTCGAAAATCGCAAGACCAAGAACTCAATCAAATTGTACGTTCGTCGTGTCTTCATTATGGAAAACTGCGAAGAGTTAATGCCAGAATATTTGAACTTTATCAAAGGTGTTGTTGACTCCGAAGATTTACCATTGAACATCTCTCGTGAAACATTACAACAAAACAAGATTCTCAAAGTTATTCGCAAGAACTTAGTCAAGAAGTGTGTTGAATTAATCGAAGAAATCGGTGAAGACAAAGAATCATTCAAGAAATTTTATGAACAATTCTCACGTAATCTTAAACTCGGTAAGTGAATTTCTTCTCATTCGGACTGGCTTGTCATTCAACGATCTTCTCTTTCTGTAGGTATCCATGAAGATTCAAACAACCGTGCTAAACTTGCTTCATTCTTACGCTATCACTCGTCGACATCCGGTGATGAGCTCACATCGTTGAAAGATTATGTTTCACGAATGAAAGAAAACCAAAAAGATATCTATTACATTACTGGCGAATCACGACAAGTCGTCGATCAATCAGCTTTCGTCGAACGTGTACGCAAACGTGGCTTCGAAATCATCTACATGACTGAACCAATTGACGAATATTGTGTTCAACAATTGAAAGAATTCGAAGGCAAAAAACTCGTTTCAGTTACCAAAGAAGGCTTAGAATTACCCGAAGATGAAGATGAAAAGAAGAAGTATGTATTTCGAAACTGTCAACATTCAATTCGATTGATTGATTGATTTTCCTCTTTTAGACGTGAAGAAGATAAAGAAAAATACGAGACATTATGCAAGGTCATGAAAGATATCTTAGACAAGAAAGTCGAAAAAGTTGTCGTCAGCAACCGACTTGTTTCATCGCCATGCTGTATTGGTAAGAACTATATCGACTGATCAAAACATCGGTTTTTAACTCCTATCATTCTCTTTTAGTTACATCACAATACGGTTGGTCAGCTACCATGGAACGTATCATGAAAGCTCAAGCTTTACGTGACACATCCACCATGGGTTACATGGCTGCAAAGAAACATCTCGAAATCAATCCTGACCATTCGATCATCAAAACACTTAAATCGAAAGTTGATCAAGATAAGAACGACAAATCAGTCAAAGATTTGGTCACCTTATTGTACGAAACATCACTTTTGGCAAGCGGTTTCGCTCTTGAATTACCACAACAACATGCCGATCGTATCTTCCGTATGATCAAACTTGGTTTAGGTATTGATGAAGATGACAGTGCCGAAGAAAACTACACCGCTGCTGGTGATTCAACTTCAGATATGCCACCACTCGAAAGTGGCGACTCAGCTGCCGTTTCAGCTGAAGCCTCACGTATGGAGGAAGTTGATTAAATGAATACATTCATATAATCATTTATTTCTCTTTTTCGTTATGTTGTATTGTCTTAGCTTTTTTTTTGTTATTGAGTGTTTAAGATCAAATGATGAGATGAAAAAATAAAGCAAAAAAATAAGAACGATACTTAAAAAAGAAAAAACAAACGAATTCTATTCGATATATTCAGTCGATGATACTGATGTTCGCGGATAACTTGAGTATGTACTCGATTTACTAGTCATTTTTCTGATAAAGTATCGTGACAAATTGTCTGCGCCTTTCAAGTAATGTAACGCAATAAGTGTCAGAAGGAAAAGTATGAAAATAATACTAAATATAATAGTTAAAATCACTTCCGTTTTGCCCAACTTGTATGGAATACAGTAGAGGACTGTCAAGTAAGGAGAAGGATTTGATCCACTTGTTCCATTCGTTAGTATAAACGTTAAATTTGTATTTGCTGTTTTGAGAATATGAGCATAGGTTGATTCGCTTGAAGATTGATTGTAAAACAAACGATTCCAACGATCAGGATTCCATCTACACATACTTGTTTCACTCGTGTATTCATCGATGTTAAGAAGTAGTAAATCAGTTCGATTGTATACTTCTGGATTGGACTTCTTCCATTGAAAAATAGGTACTTGATTCGATGAATAAACTTTTGTTGTTTGATTATTTACGATAAAATCTGAATGAGTGACTAGAATACCAGTGCGTATTTCATTGATTGCTGATGAATTATTCCATAGTGAATCAAAATTCAGAAGAATGCTGACTGGTGAGGATGAGTCTACAGGCGATTGATCAACTATAATAAAGAGAGTGAGCTGGGTGAGAGTATATTGATCGGAATTGCGTGATGAGACATTCTCATAGAGACGAAGACGTGAACATTGTAGACTTGAATCATTATATGTAGATATGAGAGGAAAATGATGGCATAGAACGGTAAGTGTATCCTGAACTAAACAAAAAGTAATGTATAACGAAAGAAGTCGGTTGAAATTTTGTTTTACTATCGAACAAAACTGGTTGACTGTGTACTGAACTGATGAAAACTATGAGAATGAGAAATATTGTCATTGATCGCCAAATATTAACTTATTGGAAATAAAATATCTACTCGATGATTTCTTCAATTGATTCAGCAGGTTTCGCTTCAGTGGTCATACTCGATGTAAATAAAATCGAGAAATATTCATCTATAAGACATGTTTATATGTACGTAAATAGTTTGATTTTCGATACAAAAAAAACGTCCATCGATGTACATCTGATAATTTATACCATGAATAAGTAAGTCATGTGGAAATGAAATCAATGACAGGAACGATATTCGAATAGATACCAACAGAAAATGGGTGACATTGGATCTTTGGTTGATTGTAACAGTATTTTTTTAAAATTTATTGTCAAAGATGGCTTTCAAATGTTTCCATTGTGAGAATGCGAACGCTATTCTCAATATTCAGTCTTCTCTTGAGTAGGAAAGTATAGTAACAAATGGGCGAAGCTGTTTTATACGAGGTAAAACCATGATACAATATGACATTCCACTAAAATGATCTATAGTGAATAACTTTATTGATCAATAAAATTAACAAGTAAACAAAGTGGAGATCATTCATTCTGTTCGATAAGGATTCCCTCTGCAACGAAAATATTTGCGATGGATACTCAATGACATTGATCACGTCCATGTCGAACTTCTTGGTAGGATAAAGTACGATCTTGTTGAACGTGGACACCCAAGCGAATTAATAACATCTTTAAGAATGTTTCAGCGTGTAGATTCTGTATTGCGCACGTTTTCAATTGATGCCATCGTTTCATGTATTTTTCCATAGCTGACATAGGTCCTATAGCAAAACGATCGTTAATACCACCGAAATGATTTTCATCCGGAATGAAAATAGTGAAATTGTTGAGATTTGATAACTGCGTTGAAACGTTAGCTAGAGTTGAATCAGATCGTGCTCGTATAAGAAGATCGTAACGAATGTTCATCTTTTGTTCATATTCTCTGATGAAATCATAACATTCAGCAAGTGCCCATAATTGTTGGTAGTATGGTATGACGTGTGATTGGTTCATCCAAGGATGATAGTATGTTTTACAATTCGACGGTATGCGTGGATCAATAATACGGTCTTCATAGAGTATCGTTGCTGTCGTATTCAAATAAGAGCGAGCTTGTTCAAGTTGAATTTTGGAGAGCACAGATTGTGTTGAGCTGGATGATGAAAGAAATAAGAACGTGTCTATTTCACCTGGCAAACGACGACGAAGAACGTTATAAGTTGGAACCCATGCTTCAAGAATACATTCAGCAATACCGGTTACACAAATTGCTGCTCGTTTCTGTTTCACAGCAGTAGATGGTAATTTTTGTGGTGGTTTGATAATCGGTGGAAATTTATAACCAATTGAACGAAGATCCTCCAGCCATGCATCCATGATCTCGACTTCTTTCCATTTCCAAAATCCGCCTCGACTTATGTCACGTGCTAATTCGCGAATTCGTCCCACTAACGAAGGATTTGGCGATGACCATGATGCAAGAAAACGAACAAACGAAGCAGATTGATGATACAATTGATACTCATCATCCATATCTTCGATGTATGAATGACTGTTTCTCACTTGTTCAACAGTTGATCGACCGAAGATGAGATGACCACCGATGTCCCACAGAAGACGCTGAACCCAGTAGCCTCGCCAAATATCACAAACACGAAATGTTGTTGTCACAGGAAGATACAAGCCCCAGAATGCTTCGTAGTGTGTGACGGTGTTTTGTGTGTTGTAGGGAGAGAATGTGAACGGTTCGAGAGCAATGGGAGGCTGATCACGATCGAACAGAACACGACCGATAGTCATTGGATGAGCTAAACGATACTAAAAACAAACAGTGTTTTCATGTCGAATAGGATTCGTAACATACGATGGCATCCACATCAGGATCGAGATCAGCAAGATACTGTTGAATATAAGCGCGTGTGATGTTTTGTTGGTTTTGTCGAAGTGAATGCCATCCATCTTCGGTAATATTTCTGAGTTGTTCGAGTGGAAATCCTCGTGGCCAAATGTGTGGATGACCGAATGATGCATAGATGTTGACGAAGAGTGATCGTTGTCGATGAAATGCGAGCCAGGGCAATTGTTGTGGTCGGAGAAGTTTTGGAAGATGGAAAATGTCACCTGTTTCGACGAGATTATCATCGTCTGACTCGAAAATGATCTGTGCACCACATTGTATTGCGATGAGATAGCCAAGATTTTTTCTTGCATAAGATCCGTGAGGTAGATGTTGGAGGATACGAAAACGAAGGGACTGTTGTTGCTGAAGAGAGAGAAAGAGAAGGCGAGACGAAGAAGAAGAAGAAGAAGCAGACGAGTTATGTGAAGTGAGATGATCGAGCCAGTCGGAAGGTGTTTTTCGATCAGCAATAACGATGAGATTCCAAGGTGTGGTTAAGTTGAGAAATTTGTGAATGGCAGGTGTTGGATAATGAATAGTGGTGATGACGATCCATTTATCTCCTCGTATCGGGCAAAGATAAGGACTGTGATTAGTGTGCGAATAAAGATCGGTTTCCCAAAGTCGCACAAGTGATTTATGGATATTACCAGAAAGAAGAAAGGCAATAACCAATAAGATTGGCAACACAAAAATCAAACTGCTTGACATTCCATTTCTCTTCAGATAATCTTTCATGCGTTTACTAGTTTTAACTGTACGAGTTACAGATTTCGGACAGAATGCTTGTGATGATTCACTACGCATATTTCACTAGATGAACTCGAAATAGGAAGCAAATATTGATCAAACCTGACGAAAGACAGAGAATATCTCGATCTCAGCTGAAACCGAATAGTACAAAGCACCTGGGGTATTCAAAACGCAGTAGCAAAAACTAAATAGAGCTGTGGTTGAAAGATTCGGATAAACCTTCGTTGTGTATTCATTAAATCTCTTCCTTAATTATTGTTTTCCATATGTTAAAGAAATCATATTCAGAATTGAATTTTATTATCTTATCCTATCTGCGAATCGAGTAGCATGGCGTCATTGCAAAGAGAATGTTTTATATTCAGTCTCTTACGAAATACAACCTTCTATGAGTACAGAAAAGAAGAATAAGAGGACAGAATTCGCGCTGAGTCAGTAGAAAGAGTATTTCATCCTTCAAAAAGTCATGAAAAAAATCCTAGGTAGAATATGCGAGTGGGACATTTATAATACAGTATTCTTTTTCCATCTATGTAATATTGCCCTTTATGAAAGTATCATTAAAAGCGTATAAACATAAAAAAGTACTTTTCATTCGAAAAGATGTCAGTCCATGTCTTCAATAATTAAGTAATGTTTCATAACAGTATGACTATTTACTATAATCTTTCATTGATATCTACATTAAACAAACTATTTCAAGGGAGACGTGATATAATGGAGAGCTCGAAGCGAAACAACATTTCACTAAATTGTCCCGCTTTCCTTTTGACTGTGATACAACATATTGGAAGAAATCGAGTACGAAGACCCATTTTCTGCTGCACATCTGAATGGAAAGTGGATGGTTTATTTTGTCATAACTTTTAGTCTACTCAGAGACACTTGGTTTCACGTAATTAAAGCTTTGTTTTGCATTTGTACCTTGACTAAATCAATTAATTTATTTTTCTAATAAGATTATAGTCGCGCGATAAATCACGATTTACAAAACGATTAAAGGAAAAGTAATTCACAAAATGATAAAAAATGCGACAACTGTCACATATTAATTATTTTTAATAACTGCGATGCAGTTACGGCGCAATTCAATCGCAGTAGAACACATTTGTATACCATTCCGTTTTCTCGCATTAAAAGCAACAATATATTAATTGACTTGACTCAGAACTGTTTAGGATTCAAATTACTTCAATCTCAGATAACTGGATACAGCATTTAAGATGTCGATCACTGGCTCGCTTAAAAACTTATCTATGAAAAGAACGCGTATTCAACACAAACTCTCTGTATCTCGCGAGATTATATCTCTGATGCTTTAAAGATCAAACTCCATCCTATAATACAATGAACCGACGGATAACAAGTCTCGAACCTTTTATGATTCAACGTATCTAGTGAAAATCGCCAGGAAACTTGTCGCATTCGACAGATGCTTGATAGTGTCGGTAATAGTAGTCAGTCATCAGCAGTAGCGCAAATGAAAAGAATAATATGACAGACGAAATAAAAATACGTCTGTGTTCATTTCTCTATTCTTTTGGATTGGCCAAACAAGCATATTGTCAGAAGTAGATAAACAAATACAGTACATCACCATTCTGCTTTCACGCTCAACCTTTTCTTTTGGAGGAATCAGCTTTTTCAGATGGTTTTTGTTTTTCGAAGCAACTCTATGTCCAAAAATATATATTGTGAGCAAGGAACATAACTCAGACTGCATATATATTACTTGTATACAGCATCCGGTCCAGCTATCTTTTCTACGCCTGTTCAAAAATAAAGAACAGTACAATATAAATATTTACTCTGTCACATGCAACTTTAGGCGTTTCAATCCATCTCTAAACGTATGATAATGGTGTGATTATACTCAATAACTATCTATGTGTAAAGTCAATACAATTGGCGGGATTTAATTGTAATTCCCTCATCAAAACACGATGACTATGGCTGTTAAATGATGCATAAATACCTCTTCATATCGTTTACCTATTTTTCTCTCTCTCTCTCTCTGTCTAAGTAAGCACATGATGTGTTTACGTTTACAAACTATCAGGTGAAGCTTGAAGCAGATTTGTATTTTGAATACGTAGTTGTCATCAACTGTTATTACAGGAATGACTAATGTTTCGAATGTATTATCTGTATTGGAAAAACAAGAAGAAGTACTTGTTAAATCCTTTCATGAGGGTAATATTGGCTCTGTTGTTTGTATATCGAGTGATATATTCGTTTTATTAAAGGTAGCGAAAATACAACCACAACAGTAGAACGTGGAAAGATCCTCTCACGGATGAATCGAATCCTATTTGATTATCAAATTGGTAGAAATACGCATTGATTAGTTCAACGTAGAAAATGCATTGATTTTCGTTTTGCAGGTGCTGAAACGAACTCATCGATGCTGGGGTCAGTTTTAAATCAGAAAGTTGTATTATTCAATCCTGAGACGAAACAAGTGAGTTATTCATTTCATTTATCAAATTAAGAATAAATCATTTTAGAAAGTGCTCGAACTATCTTATAATCGTTTTCCTTTCTTGTGCAAAGTATTTCCAAAACAATTCGTACGATGTGTGTCGGCTTCATCAACTGAATCTCAATCAATTGGATCTATTCAACAGAGGTGTGTTTAAGTGAACGAATAAATGCACTGTAGAGAAAATTGAGTAGAATTCGAACGCAATAAATGAGATTAATTGTTATATGTACGTCATACTTAGTTTCTTTACGATTTTTCTTTTCATAGAATAGGTCTCAGTAGATCATGTTATGATGTTTATAATAGTCAATACGAACATACTTATACTTTAATACTGCGCAAAAGCTATCTGAGAAGTAAAATTCAGCATCGAATGTCGGAATATGAAATATTAGACCAAAATAAAACAAATATAATTGGTCGTATTTGTCCATTCTCTACCGACATTGAAAGATCACAGTACGGACAAGCGACATCAATCAAATGTACGATTTACTTGACTATAACTTTCCATGTATTAGTGTCTTGTCAATTTCTTTAGTTCCACAAGATATGACTATGGAAATGAAAGCAACATTAGTGGTTGCCGTACTCGTTCTTGTATGTATATGTCGGAACAAAGTTTAGTCTACGTGAAATTTTCTTTTTCATCAATAGAAAACTCGACTCCATTAATCGATCAGACAATTTGCGTGTGAAAGATCATATTGAGAATTGAAATTCACCTTGTACATATGCAAATATGGATCTGAATGTATATAATCGAATAGAAGAGCAGTCGCTCTTGTGTGTAAAAATGTTTATTCAATGAAATATATATGATGTAAATAGTCACTTGGAAAACTACTTTTTCTTGTAAATATTTTCGCAGATCATCAATTTGTAACTTATATGATGAATACCGGATGTTGTTTTCTGGTGTCATTTGTTGCCGTTCGCAGCAGCGATAACATCATTAGCGAACACATAGCATGCGCTTTATTTATCATAAAGGAAAAAAACGATTATTAACCAAACAATCGCGACGATGTTTTCAATCATTCAGACGTTTTTCTAATCAGCTCTTAACTAATTATTTGATCGATACGGATCGATATGAGGAGATTTATTAGAAGAATACCATCGGAATCCATTGCCAATACGAGTTAACCAAATGGACGTTTTCTTTTAACCTTTTATTTTCACATCTGCTTTATTAGACGTCTCAACAGAGAAGAAAGCGAGAACATTGACGAGAGAATCAATTAATCAACGAACCAAAATCTATCGGTCGTAATCCGGAGACGAAGGTCGAAAAAAGAAATACAAAGACAGAGGATCTTCACGCACATATATATATATATCAATATACATGTCTCTTCTGCAACTGTTTGTTTATTATCATTATAATACCAGTCGACGATATATCTTATTGTTGACAATATCGAAGCAGACTCTGTAATCGATCGATATATAATTTGTTCAACAAACGAATCCATGGCATCAACGTCTACACATAATATACTTCATCAAAAATTATTTGATGGTAAAAGCAAAACAATCTACTCAATTATTGATCAGCCTAGTCTTATCTGTATTCATCGAAAAGATTACTATGATCCATCAGCTTCAACACTTAGCATTCCCGGCAACCGTCGATCTAGCTTTGACAGTATCGCTCGTTTAAATAATCAGCAGCAAAATCGCAGTCCGACGGATAGTCTTAGCAAAGGCGTATTAACAACATCGATCACAACATGTGTTTATGAAATTTTACGCGAAGCATCGATTCCAACGTTTTATGTCGCTCCATATAATCAACCCGATATGTTTATTGCCAAAAGATGTACAATGATACCAATCCTATGGATTATTCGTCGTTTAGCAACTGAAACCTATGTGAAACGAAATCCCGGTATTGTCAATGGTCATCGTTTCGTGCCTCCAATTATTGAAATCGTTTATAAACGTCATTCGTTACTCGAGAAGCAATCAACGATTGACATCAATGACGAGACTCTTGAATCCGATCGCGAAAGTCAATTCGATGATGATGAATTAGACGCCGATGAATGTATTTCATCCATATGGTCGTACGAGCAATTATTAAATACAAATATTCATACTGAAAACTTGAAAATTTCTCAAACTGATGTTGAATATATGTATGAAATATGTTGTACAGTTTTCGACATACTTGAACATGTGTGGATGGTGAAAAAGAACTGTCAATTGATCGATCTAAAAATTGAATTTGGTATAACGTCAATAGCACCAAAAGAAATCGTTATCGCTAACGTGTATGGTGTTGAAACTTGGCATTTATTACGGCCAATTGAAAAAACTATATCGACTGGAAGTGATCTACTCCAAGAGAATCTCATTTGGATCAATAATTCCTTACGAGATATACTTGAATTAAACATTAATCTCCCAACAACAGCAAGAGTACTCTCACGACGTGAAAGTGACGAACAAAAGATGTCGAATATCATACCTGAATATGAACATATCCATATAGACAATGGTATCTTGTCATTAAACCTCTATTCAACACCATTAATGACGAGTCGTTGTGTGATTATTTGTGCATCATTGCAGGATGCTGAACATGGTCAAAAAATCAAAACGATTCTTAATGAAACATACAACATTCAATGTGATATTCGTCTTTATTCGATCTATAAATCTACTCAAACAGTATTGAAGTTTCTATCTAACTACGGACATGAACACTGTCGACCAACTGTTATTGTCACACTTGGTAACATCAACAATGGTCTTGCAATGTGTCTTTCATCGAATTGTCAATATCCGGTCATACATTGTTCTTTAATAAATATTGAACAACAAAACAATTTATTCGATATTAATTCATATGTATCCAACGATACGTCATTGTTTACTGTCGTATTTACAATCGCAAGTGCTATACAGAATGTCGTACAGATACTTGCTATGAACGATTGGAGATTGTGGGTCAAGCTCCGTGGTAAACGATTCAAAAAATATATGGAGTTGATCATTGCTGATCAACAACTGTTGAAGACACAAACGACGAAGAAAGCGAATAGTGGAGCACTTATGAATAAATAAATGATTGTGATTCGTTTTCTACACACGGTGATGTTAATGAAAAGGTCAAACAACAATTGTACTTTATTCAATGAAACCCATCTGTTCAGTAGCATGTGGTGATGCGATTTGTTAATTAGTTTGATTATCTCCGCACTAACTTTTGTCTTTAATGAACAAAATCTTTTTTTTTATATACAAGGAAAAAATCTACATGATCACTTCAGAAATCATACTACTAGTTAAAGAGGACGCGAGTTTGAGGAATTGATTGAATCAATGATTTGATATACCTTTGGTCGATTATAACAATAGATTGAAGATCAATCGATGACTAACAAACGAATTGTCTCAGCGAATGTTATATGCGCCTTGTACCTAAAGATATTCTTTCAGCATGCATCATTTTATGACACACATAAAATCTCTTGTATGTGCTGTAAATCTTTTCTCTCTTAACCAGCAGTAATCAAAATCGACGCACAATTGCAATACTTCTGTTTTTATACTATTAATGGAGTACTAATGTCTTTGTATCATATCTTCACCTTTGATGAATTCTTACAACTCCTATCAAAACACATGTCGTTTGTTAATTTAACATCCGTTACATCATAACGCTACATATATGAAATGGTGAAGATAAACAAATTACAAAAGAAGACCTGCAAACGTGACTGGTCACGAATTCGATAAGAAAAAGATAATCTCAACATATTTCTTCAATATTGTTATTCAAATAATTAAACTTTTATCATAGAAGTAACAACCATGACGTGATCGTCATAAAAAGAAAGTAATTATCATTTACTTATGCTGTCTGGCCAACAATTAGATGCTGTGTAATTGAGTCAAATCATACACACATGAGTTTCTTTCTTCAGCGACATCAATGAATCGAACGACGATAATAAACAAATTGAATTCGTCATGCTTACTATTTCTTGATAATAACTTCCTACTTGAGTGTATTTTTAGAGGCAAATTTCGTATAAATAAATAATAATTTCATTATTTCAACTTCAATATAAACGAAAAACAGCCGCACAATGAAATTCATCTTCTGGAGATACTTGAGATATTATTAAATTCAACACTGGCATCGTCTACACAAAGTGAATATTCTGCCATCACACTTCCGATAGATGATTGCAGGAAATTATATAAATTTTCTCGAAGAATGTCACTCATGTTTCTTTTTCTATAAAGCAGAAGTTGATGTGTTACTCCTCAAAGCCAAGAAAAGAAGATTAAGTTTGATAAATCTGGAATATAACGTTCATAGATTCAATTTACTCTTTACATGATGCCCTATGATCTTTGTGACCATCTCAATCATCACCAATGATATATAGAAATATGATTGTAATGACACGATATATTAGCGTTGCTCGTCAATTTTCTTTCCGAATGACCTTGCAACGTTTACGCTTCTTGCTTGCATCCAGTGTTCCAAGAAAACATTGTGATGCATTCAACCATCTCTCTCGATAATAACACTTAAGCTTAGATCAAGATATAGATGCTCATTTCTATTGAATAATCATCGTTTTCTGTCGCCATAGACATTTATTTTCTTTGAAATAGAAATAACTCATATATCACATTTTATCGTGATGTAATTGATGATTTTCAAAGGCATCGTGTGTCTCAGTTCGAAATCGAGTCTTCACGTAAAAGAGAAAGTGTAAATGTCTTTCAAGTATAAATACATGTGAATGTGTATGTATAAAAGATAAGTGCACCACTGAGCGCTCAAGTAAACGGGAATTAGTCAATTCTTTCTTCTTTCTTTTTTTTTCGCCACACTCATATTGATCGCTAGCAATGAGGGTGACAATGACGACAACGTTCAACATTAACAATTTTCAGTGAGGCGGTATTAATACAAGAAAGAAAGACAGAAAAGAGAGAGGGGGGAGAGAGAGAAAGCAAGCATATAAGGCAAAGGAAACATGATTACGAAACGGACGGCAAGAAGAAAATGTGCTCAGTATATGAGTACGAGAGAGAATAAGAGTTAAGAGTGTACTTCTTATTTCTTTGCTAAATGAAAATGGGCATATGATCGTCGTCACAATAGCTATATGAATATAATCATTCCGTACGTTTTTTTCTTCATGCCTACCGCAATAGTTCCCGAAAGATTTTCTGCCGACGTACTAATTTGTTTAGACTAGTCCTTGGATTGCTTAACACCTCCTTCCTTTAACACAATTTTCCATCTATCAGCAAGTAATGCTTACTAACACGTCTAATGATTGAATAATCGACACGTTCGCGAATTATAGTAGCAAATATAGATATTATTCTTTTTCTTTAGAAATATTCTCATCAGTATTGACACACCCTAATTGATGGTGATCATATCAATGCGATGTTCATCTTCTATCTTTTCTCCTTTAATATCTTCTCGTCATGGTTATTAACTGTCAATGGAAATGAATGTCAATTTCTGAGCGCATGCAAATGTACCAACTTTCCTTTATTTGCCTTGATTGATACGAGTTGTTTGACGAAGCCACGCTCACCATTGAATCAAGATTTATTCTGTGCATATTCAAATGATCAACTCAATGAAAAGAATCTAACAATATTCGAGCAATTCAAATACTTCTATTATCGTTTTCGCACTTTAACGTTTGCGAATTATCCGATTCTACCAGCGAAAGCGTTTCGTTTTGTTCATTTCGAAAGTCAAAGTGTTAAACAAACACATCGGGCGAACAATCGTAACGTGATTGCATTAGTTAACATCGAACGTACAGAATCTGGTTTGTGTCTTCTCTTTCTCTCTCTCTCTCTCTTCCACATGTGACTTTATTCTATTTTGTTTAGGTATATTCGAGGATTTAAGTTTAACCGATTCACATGATCAATTAATAATTTCCTTTCTTAATTCGCCATCTTTGTCTTATACGCCTGGAACTCTTGCGAAACTGAACTGTTATGAACTGAAATTCCTGAATACTAATTCAAAAATTTCCCTCGATTTCTTCCAACACGCTCAATACATTCATCATTTAATTATTCATAACCCAACATTTTCTGGTTTTGTCTCGTCGTCCAACTCTTTGACTGTGCAGATCTCTAAACTTTCCATCAAAGACATCAGTGTTCGTCATTTGCAAGGACGTCATTTTCCTCAGATTTTCAATTCGACTTACGAATTAACTTTACAAAACTACCATATCAACGGTGCTTTTCGTTCGTTGAACGATCGTGATTTGGCGCGATGCTTTCCTCACCTACGATCATTGAAAATCTATTCACGTTCGATTCAACACATCACCGCACGAATGTTTCAACATCTAAATCAATTAGAATATTTGTTTCTCGACGGTATTACAGCAGTGGAAAATGAAGCATTCGTGAGTTTATATCGTTTGAAACAACTTGATCTTGGTAAAGACATCCTACGCCTCGATCCCTATGCATTCATTCATATGAACACAGATAATCTTCTTCTAAATCAAAGTTATCATTTTGATTTAAAAGATGATAAACATTTCTGCACATTCGTGCCATTCGTACCTTCAACAGATCTAGATACATTCGTACAATTTGCCAAAAATCTAACTGATTGTTCGTGTACACTTCGTTATCTGTATCGTCACTTAGATAAATCATTGATGTCATTGACACCGAATTGTTATTCGAATGCAAGTTTATATATTCTAACCCAAGAAGAACGAATCTGTCATTTTGAACAACGGCTGCTTCAGTGTGATATTTTGCCTGATCAAGGTGTTACCATCTATGGGAAACATTACAATGTGTCATACTTCTATCGACAGCAGTTATCCAAACAGAAACATCGACTCTCCCTGTTTTTTCGTTATCGAATTTATTACGTCGTGGTCCTATTTCTTCTCTTACTGATTGTTCTATGTTTGATCATTCGAAAGCAGAAACAACATCATGATAGTACTTATAAATATTTACATAATCTATTGAAGCGACGAACGACGACATCGAGAAATGGTGAACTAACAAGGACGCAAACAATTGATATGATGTATCAACGTCGAAATGAAAACGTTCGTCATTCGACTCCTTCGCGAACAAGAACAACGAAAGTGTGACAAGTGTTGTTCATTGGATAATTTGGTTTTGAAATTTATTTTTTATTGATAAATCTGAATTGCTTTTCTTATTAAAAAAAATTGTGTTCATGATCAAGGATTGATATTATCCGCAGGACGAGAAATGCTAGGAGTGTTAACATTCAAGTTTGATGTTGTCGAATTGGCATTTTGTGATTCATTGAAAGTTGTTGGTCGCGGCTCAGGCGATCGACGTCGTGGATTGAAAGGTTGAAATTTTGAGGATCTGACGCGCGTTACACCACCAAGGAGAAAAGGTGTCATGGACGGAGTACGTATTGGTCTTCAAAAAGATTTAGTTAAAACTAGAATAAGACAAATGAACTTACAATTGAGGTTGAGAACATAGAAAATTTGGGTCTGGTAAGTTATTTTGTGATTGTTGATTTTCTTCTAGGAATGGAATGTTTAAGAATGCTGTGTGATATTGAAAAAGAAGATGTCTACCTTTGCTCTTCCGAAGTGCATCTATGAGATATTCGAATTGACACATTTTTGCTCGAACCAATGCGATTTCGTCTGATTGCCCAGATAAAATAAAACTCTGATGATCAAGACTCTGTATACATTGTTTTAACATCTAGTACACCTTCGATTTGATGATATAGAAACACGAGAATGATGCGTTCTTACAAGCCGATATTGCAGAATTTGTTCCTGGATGTCCATCTGACTTTGTAAAACCTGTTCACCCATCTGTTGAATATTCATAATCTACATGACGAGAACGAAGAGAATATTCGCGAAAATCAAGCTTTATCCATACAGTCGTCTGTCTTTTGGCATTTTCTTCTTCAAGTTGAGCTAAACGCTTGTTATTGAATTCATTTTGCATTATTTGTGTAGGATTTGGTGCCTTTGAAAAGAAGTTGACTTTTTTGGAAAAAGAAATTCATATTTACAAAACGGAGTACATACAAAAGGCATTTGCATCTGATTGAATAGTGGTCCTGTCTGCATAGTACCAGAATCAGTCGAAATAACACTGCCCAGTTGACCATTTACTTGCTGTATAGAAGGAAAAGGGATACTTGGAGGCTGTGGCACCGGCGGCGCAACGCTACTAATTGTTGGTATCGCACTTGGTGGTAGATTTGAATTGTTGACTGTGGGAAAGTCAGTTAGAGGCTCTGCTAGTGATGGATTGAACGCTGGTTCACCAGGAAATCGAGACCATGCACTGGATTCTGCTATTGAAAACGGTTGCGGTATACCCACCATGATAACCTGCTATTCTGACAAACGCCTACAAAGACTAATAATAACAGGTAACAGCTTTCATTCATTGCCTTAATGAAAGAGAAAAATCTGCGCATTCAGGTGTGTCGATCGATGCGATAGACAAAACGCGGATGCGCACGCCATTATGATGTAAAGCACTATATACGCATACATTTTCTTTTTATTATCTACGTTGAATAATTTTTTGATAAGAAAACTACACCCAACATTGACTATGGCCGATAATTTTGATCCATCGAAAAATGACATCGATAAGCCATCTCAGGGTTCGCAGCGTAAGTATGGTTCATTTATTTTATCGTTCAGATAAAATAAACTGCACTATCTTTCACTTTGCTATTCTCATAGAGCAAAAGGAACTGCACAGATCAAATAGCAATAGCCAGCGCAATCGTCCTTCACATCGTAGTTTATGGAAACGTATGATATCGATTAATTCAGGCGAACAATCAAGTTTGTCTGACAGTCCACCATTTTATACTGAGTAAGATGTACAATTTATCCTTGGCCATTATACTTTTCGCGTACCTTCAGGCAGCCAAGAAACTCTTCCAATCAAAACGCTCCGAAATATCCACCATCAGCATTCGGCTTTGTCGATCAAGCGTCTAGAGGATCAGCATCTGGAACTATTCAACCTGAAGTTCATGTTATCGAACAGAGACCAAGACCATATTGGGAATCAGGAGAGAATTCTTTTGAAGATTGGAATCAAGAGCAGCGCGAAGGTGTATTTGGTCAAGTTCGATGAGCAGTTCATTGATTTTTTTTCTTTTTTGCCCATAGGTGTTGCGTACGCGACAGATCAAGCACATGCTTATGCTCAGGATCAATATTATGCCAATGAAAGCCGATACGAACAGAAAGGATTATCAGTGAGTCTTCTGATTTCTGTCTGATATCTTTTCATCGCATATAAATTTCAGAAAAAAATCGATCGATTTGTTCAACGCATTCCTGCGTTAGGAGTATTTTACAAACAACCACTATCTCCGTCCAGTGGAGAAGACATATATCAACAATTCAAGTATGAACAAACGGCAAGTTTGACGGAAGGTGGTCATCAATCAGCAGAAGATATCTCACCGGACGATTCATCTCTAAATGAACGATACTCAGATGTAACACGACTAGATTCGATTAATCTTCAACTTAAAGATGAAACTCAGCCAGTCGACGTCTCTGTTCACCATGGAACGAATCGAATCTATCTGTGCGATGTTGGTCGAAGTGTTGTAGAAATCTACAATATGAACAAAACTTTTCAACGTGCCATGAACAATGCAACCATGGTTAAGTTTCGACCTACAGCTATTGCCGTCACTGCCGATGGTACAGTAATTGTGGCCAGTCATTTTAGTCATTGTCTTCATATGTATTCACCCAATGGTTCGCCAACAGATTCCAACCCTCAATCGTACAAACAATTTAAATTAGGCGCTGAAGGTACTCAGGCACATCAGTTCTACCAACCAGCCGGTATTGCTATCGATAGGAACGATGGATATTTGTACGTCTGTGATCGTGGTAATCGGCGTATACAAGTCTTCACACCTGATGGCATATGTGAACGCATTATTGAATTATATCTGAACACGAAAAAGAAGTGCCCATTAGATCCCATTCGAATCGCTACGCAAAACCAATCTGATCAACTTGTTTGTATTGTCGGTTCTGGTGATGCTGTATGTTTCATTCCAAAGCACTCGAATGGGTGAGTCTACCTTTTACAGGTAGAATAATTTCAAATCACTAATTCGGTATTCTAGACGGATTTATGTCGATCCATATTTCATTTTGGATCGAAATGGACTAGGCTTAGACAATGCTGCTGGTCTAGCTGTTGACGGTCAAGATCGTATCTTTATATCTGATACAAACCATCATCGTATTGTTATTTGTACGTCCGACGGTCATTTTATCACAAGTGTGGGTACCGAAGGTAGTGAATTAGGTCGACTGAAACGTCCGTGTGGTTTAGATGTGACCGATGATGGAACTATCATCGTTACTGACGCTGGGAATAAACGTCTACAACTGTTTGGTCTCGTACGCGCAGAATCGTCTAATGAAAAAGCTTACGATAGTAACAGCGCGGTGATTAGTGCAGATGATTCTGCAATAATATCACTTTAACCTGTTGAAATTGCTGGACAAAATCACCAAATTGTTTTTTCTTTTTTTATTCAAAACGATTTATTATTAATCTGAATACTGTTTACATGCACGTCCAAAATGAGTTCTGTCGTTGATCAAAGGGCGAAGACATCGAAAACAAAAACCGCGTTTGCAATATTGACAAATAGCGTAGTTATTTGCACCATACTTCACGTGAACTTTGCCACATTTTTCATATGGACACATTTTAGTACGAGAGAGGAAAAGGCCAGACACCACTTTTAATGTGGAAGATTCGAAATCATTTGAATCGAGATCTCCTTCAGTTGGTTCACGTAATATTAAATTGAGAATTTGATCGACATTTTGTCCGGCATCGTCAAAGAGAGCTTTCGTCGCAGCTGTTTCATCTTTCGCGTCACTCCAATTGAAATGTCTTTGACAACGAGTACAAAACATATGATCGCATCCTTGATTTTTCTCAATAGGTGTTCGACAAAGTGGATTAGGACACAGACGTGTTGTGTTCTCTATTTTCGCAACGGCAAGAAATTCCTTTAGAAGCTCTTGACTTTCTTCTGCTGATAGTTTGTGAGCTTGAAGACTTTGACGTAATTTACGTCGATGAGCTTTCAATAAAGCCATTTCAAGTTCTCTGCCACACATAGTTTCCGAATGATAAGTCTTCTTGCATTTCTTACAAAACGGAAATCGGCATTGTTCACAAAGAGCCAGATTGTCATTTTCGCCTCCAGCGATAACCGGTATTTGACATCTAAGCATCAGCGAAGACCATTAATTATCATTAGACGAAAGTACATATCTACTAACCTAGGACACCAAACGATATCCAACATTTGATCAAATGTTTTCTGCAACAGCAATCGTTCATATTTTTCATATAAACTATTATCCTTAACCATCAGTTTGATTTCTGATGGTAACATAGATAATTGACACTGAGCATCAGGGCAAAGTAACCATTCAACGGAACCGGCATTAATATGTAATACAGCATATTCTTGAAGACATTGTCGACAGAATACGTGATGACATTTGTGTAAGCGTATCATATCCCGTCCGGGAATGTTATTTGATGTACAAATTGGACATTCATGATATTCAAGAAGAAACTTTTCGTCCTCTTTTTCGCGATTATGGGCGATCAATTGATCGTAGATAGCTGACGCTTGTTTTGGTTCGTAACTGGACATTGCTCGTGGTTCATCGTTTTCGTCATCGATCTCTTCAGTAGTTAAACGAAGTTCATTCGACGATAGAAAGTGTTCCTTGAGACATTCAACCCATTGATAGACAATCGGTTGACTGAGATTCTCTTGCCAAATTTGATCTAATTTGTGACACATAATTGCCAAATATTGTCTAGGAAGATAACACGATGACAGAACGAATGTTGGCGAATCAGTCGACGACGGATATTGATCATGAAAGTTCACCGTTAGAATTAATGGCGGAAGGTTTTGAATTTGTGTGCATAGTTCGTTAGAATTGTCGATAAGACGCAGAAGAAATGGTGAAGGTAACTGAAATTCAATATCGACTTCACATCGATCATTTTCATCGCCTAGATCAGTAACTGCATCGCCTAGAATTGACCTTAAAATGAGCAATTCCTCTTCTTGTTGTTGTTTGTTCTCTTCCATTGACTGTTACTACTGCTAATGCTATCTTCGACTCACGTGCGTTTTTTTATACTGACGCTTATTTTTCTCTCGAGCGGTGACGTCATCGTTGCACAATAACATGACAGAACCAATGACGCCGTATGATGCATGTTTCTGGCTGATATATAGCAATAGTACAGAGATCAATAACAACAAAAATAATAAGAATCTTTAGAGTTTAGGCAAGAAAAAGAAGGAGTAAAATTGATTCGTGGAATTTGTTTCTCTCAATGTCTATCGAATTTATACATTGCCATCATCATTCAATTGCGACGTAAGGCATCTAAACGAGCTTCTAAATCGGCATCAGCAGTCGAGACTGCACGTTGGCCTTGTGCAGGGTTGGCAGCACGACCAGCCAAGGTGTTCTGTTCTGCGCCTACGATAGCAAAAACAATGAATCATTTTTATCAGTTCAGATAAACAAGTTACTTGGTATCTGGTTGGCCATGGTGATATTCAGCTCGTTAAGCACTTGATCAACAAGTTCTTCACTAGATGAAAGAGAACAGTTCAATTGAGGAAACGAACCGAAAGATTTTCACGTACGTTGCTTCTTCGTCGTCGTCACCTTCGAAAGCAGCGTCCATCGCGTCATTCATCATTTCTTGTTTGATATTATTTGCGGTCATGTTTTGTTCGAACATTTGCATAGTTTTTTGAAAATCTGCTAATGGCATCTGTAAATGAAGACAGTGCTTCGTATTGAAATCAGAAAAGCAGAGGAACAAACCATTCGATTTAATCGAGCCAATGTTTTCGTTGTTTTAACCATGACGCTAGCCATTGTCATTTGAGCGTTCATAGATGATGCCTCGGACTCCAATGTCGACAAGGTGGCATCCATTGCGCCTAATTTATTGATTTGATTTCGTTGGTTAACAATATTCTTCGCATATGTTCGTAATGCTTTCTATCAAAGACGAAATCATAAGTAAACTGAAGTTCGTCGAGATAGTCTAACGCACCTGTTCACCTTTCGCAGCTAACTTACGAATTTCGTTTTCATTACGAGTCTTTTCATTGTTCAAACGATTCTTCTCTCGTTCGAGCTCGCGTCTTGCTTGTCGAATTGCACGTTTATTCTCTTGCATAATCTCTTTTGGTGTCTTCGTATGAAAGAATTCTTTTATTCTATCCATGATTTGCTCTGATGATAATACTGGAAAACAAGAATCTATGTAAGAAAATAAAATAGCATATGAATATAAATGAGTCAGTATAAGGCCGAATAACGCGAATGAACGAACATTATATACTGAAGCGAAGTATGCAAACGCCAGGATTTCTCATTCATTATGACTCATATTAATGACAAGGTAAATACCAGTGAGAATCAAAGATTGAAAATTTATGTAAGTTTTGATTGTAGAAGATCGATTCGATTATCTTTATTATGTTATTTTCAGAAATAAGAAGAATAGAGGGCGCTCATGTGCGTGAATTTAGAAATTAGTCAACTTCATGAGATAGATAAGAGAAATGAGACACGAATTTGGTTACTGTTGTAAAATTTATTTATTAAAATTAGAGCACCGCTTACATGACAAAATACTCAAGAAAAAAATGCCAAGTTGATAGATAAGTTCATGCATTTAATAAGAAGTTTCAAGAGCACCAACAATTAAAAAGATATGACAAACTAGCTAGCCGAAATGTGAGTTATTTTTCTTGAGTATTTGATCGTAATGGAAGTCGACAATGGTGTACTGTCGTTGGATCTTTTAAGAATGTTTCCCAAGCCGAGATTTCGGTTTTCAGTGTACCGGATCCTTTCGCTACTTTACTATCGGAAGGAGCTGATGCCGAATGAAGTTGTATAGAACCAATCATTGGTTTTCGAAAACGCTCTTGACACCAGATACTAATTTCGAGAGACATATTCGGCAGATTCTTTCGACGAACATTTTCCCAACGTAATGGAATATCCCATTTCGGAGTTGGCCCTTTGCGTACTGTTGGTAACTTGCGTTTCAGTTTATCAGGCATTAATACACTACATTTGAACAAGAAAGAGCAATACAAACTCACCAAGAAAGAGATGTTTACCCTTTGCAAATCGCATCAATCGGGTGCTTTCCATAGTAGATGCCTATGCCCTGAATTTCGCTGATTTGAATAGTACCTGTTTCTTTATCTTGCCGGTTTTCCAGGAAGGTTAAATTAAATTGCAACACATTTGACTCTCCCGCTGTTCCAGCATTGGATGCGGCCTAAACGAACAAAAAATACGATGGTAAAATTATTCGTATAATGTCATCAGTTACATCGTCATTCGACACGCGACTCAATAAAGTATGTTCTTCGACTTTGTCCAGTGTACAATGAGCTAATGGAATATGTATTTCACCGAGGAAATCATTGTGTCCAATAGATGATTGACTCCAAACTGAAATCCAAAGAATTCGTGAGCTAAACTCATCACTGCTCACACGATACTAAAGTGTAAAGACAGGAATTTCTATATTGTACAGGAAATAAGTTTCTTACCCGCAATATCTCAGCAAAGACTGGGTCAGTTGTATGCTTTTTTATCGATGTTTTCAGTTTACTGGATTTCGATTGATCCGGTAATAGATAACATTTGCAATACCTGTGAGAGACAAAGACAACGTTTGTGGTGATGATATGATATCGAAAGAACTTACGGATTAGATGTTTGATTCCGTTTAGCACGAGCTAAATTTGTACATTTATTAATAAGTATTTCCAACGAACTGGATTTGATATTGTATGAAAGTCTTATTTCGATGGTACCAGTGATATCAAGTTCATAGTTAGCTTTGGAATCGCTTATGCCACTGTTGAGACTTAATTGTGAACCCTAAACAAACAGTACGCATCAATAAATTAGTAAATGTGAATAAATAAATAAGAAGGTTAGAATATTAATTGAACAAACGTTAGCAGAATCTTACACGTAGGCTCATGAAAGAAGATGTTCGTTTAGTTTTATCCTAAAGTACAATGGTATCAATAACGTTGTTGAAAGTTTTCAAAAGGTCGCTTCTTCTCGTCAAATATGAATTTACCAGTTTTACTTGTTGAACATTCTTATCAGTATCTTCGTCGCTATCGCCAGCGGAAGCACGAGTTCCAACACTTGCCGTTCGACTGGTTCGAGGTTCATCACGATTTCCAACACTTTTCAGACGATCGTCACGGCCGCGTACAGCAATCGGCGCTGCAGCGCTGAATGTCGCTGACAAAAGATTTGATCTGGGTTTGGGTTCTGTGCTCTTGCTTGACGCGACCACAGGGCTTGATTCTTGTCGCTTGATGTTAGCCGATTGTTTTGATGCTCCAGTTGGTATTTGCAAAGATTCAGATTTCGTTGGAACATCTAAATATGAAAAATGTTACAGGATTAAATAATGCAAAAAGCTAGTGTTATATTCAAAAGAGGAAAAATGGAAAAAAAATTACAAGAAGAGAAGAAGAAACAACAACGAGAGAAATGTTTGTTTGTTTTGTCTCAGCGTGTTTGGTAACGTTTTTTATCCGATGATCGACGTACAGTGCGTTTTCGCGATGATGTACCCGTAGAATTCGAAGCTGTTGACATGCTCGTATCATCATCCTTCGTTGGTGATGGTGCTAGATGCAGTTTCATCAGCAAATATTTTGTTTTGGATATTTTTGCTGGAGTTTGTTTGGTGATGGATGTTGCACTAGCCATTTTAATAAGCCGTGGTGGTTGTAATTCAACGGGATCTTCGTCATCACTAACACAACTATCACTCCATCGTCGTTCGAGTGGCAGTTTCAATTTGTGCTTGAGATTTTGATCAGAGTCTTTCTTTTCCACACTAATATTTGTTTGTCGTACCCGGGAATAGGCTTGAATACGATTAAGTTCTTTCGATAGAATCAGACCATCACGGTTTTCTTCTTCCTCTTCTTCTTCGCCGATGCTGTGTAATCCATATTTATCGAGACTATTCGGTGAAGGTGATGACGATGATGTGATAGGAATGGTTGACGATGATGATGAATAATAATCATATGTATGATTGGGATTAAATGTGGCTGCTGCGAGATAATCGCTTTCGATAATACGTTCACTATTTGCAAATTCACCGTCCATCCAATCAGTCGAGCAATCGAATACACGTGAGTGGCCATCCGGATCAGTGATGCAAATCGTGGTTGGAATGATTAGATTAGAAGGAACAAATGAAACATGATTTTCTTTCGTTTTGCTTGGCTTTTTAAAAAGTCTTTTATTTCGAATTAGTAAACTTTCATGGTTATTTTCATCACTTGATGTTCCATCATCGTCATGTAAAACTCCACATGATTGAGTGAAGAAGCGTGTCGGTATTGTGGGTGGTGCTGGTGCCCATAGTGGAGAGATTGGAGCCGGGTTTTGTTCATCGCCTGTAATACTTTTCCGTTTTGTTTGGGAAACATCATCAGTAGAAATGGAAAGCCATGTGTATGGACGTGGCTGGGACTTTTTCGGTGCGATAAAGATAGGTGCTGGCTTAGCAGGTTTTCTTGTTGTTGCTGTTGACGTATTGCTGTTGCTGTTGTTGCTTGCAGTAGGTGCTGATCTTGTTTTAGCGTAGGGCGCGAGTAGATTGGGATTTGAGCAATCGGGAGGTGTGGAGAGACTTTTTCGAAAAGCCGTACGTCGTCGTGCTTGAGTGGTAACTAGTGGTGTTGTTCGTTTTTGTATAGATGATTCTATTGATTTTGATGAATCACTAACGTTGGATGTTTCCTCCTTATTTTCACTTGACGAAGTGTCATTAGGGACATCGTTTCTAGTTGCGATTTCTGTTGGCACAACAGGTGGGTTAGTAGGAGATATTTGTGCAAATCCATCGGGTGTCGTGATATTTGCAGGATTCTGTAATGCTTGTTGATGTTCCAATGTCTTTAGTTTCCAATGTTGGAAGACTTGCACGATGAATGCTTCTTTGTAAGTGGAATCGGAATCATCGTCATCATGATCCGCTAAATGTCTACTGATAAATGGGCGATGTCTGGTTTGAGGATAATAGCTCGGCATTGTCGATTCAGTTAAAACAGATGTGTGTGCAGGAAGAGTTGAAGTTGGCTTTGACTGATGTTCATAATGATATAAGTCGGTCATGGTACTACAAAGAGTGGAAACTATTGCTTGACATTGTCGAAGAAAAATGCGTTCATAGTCGAAAACATGAAAGTATCATTTTTGACTTAATTTGTCCGTCGTTCGATTGATGGTTTTTTTTCTCTTCTTTTTCTCTTCTCCAATAGTTATGTCTATTTACAATGCTCAGAAAATTGGCGTCAAGTTAATAATGCTTATTCGAGCATGACTGATGTGTCACATAGTGTAGTAAAAGTGTTTATAATGTACGAGTAAATGCATATACACTCTTTTTCTATCTCTTCCATATGGTTTCACGAATAAAAACGTCTCCCCTCCTTTCTTCGACTGTGGAATCAAATGCTAATTAGAAATGCTACTAAATTAATACTGTACCATATGATATTGACTCAGTTGAGAGAAAAAGATCATTATCGTTTGATTTCTTACGTGTTTTCGTTGATCATAGGCCATCATTGATGTAAATACGATTTGTTTTCTTTTCTGCCTTCACAACCACAGAGATACACCAATAATAACTGTGCGAGTGATATAAACAAATTACGAAACCACACCATATTGATCGGTTATGATTGATTGATTTTTAGTGCAAAGAGAAAATAAAACACAAAGAAGGAGAAGACGAAGAGGAGAAAAGAAAAGAAATTATTGTGTAACTAATGAATCAGTTAGTGAGATCAAGGTAATAATTGCAGCGATATGGATGATAATCGTCCAGGCGTGAAAGCATTCGAGCAGCGCGTGTTTAATCTCACGCTCGGCTTTCGAGTGTAAAAAACATTCTTTAGAAAACCGATCGAAAATATACATATATATAGAAAAAAAAGTACGCAAAGGAGAAAAGAAGAACGATCAGGCAGTAGATAAAAAATTATATTCCGACGCCGGGAATCGAACCCGGGCCTCCTGCGTGAAAGGCAGAAATCCTAACCACTAGACCACGTCGGATACATACTTGTTTTGTCTGTTGTCTCAGAGATTTTCACTGAGATGGTATCTTCGTCATCTTTCCCCGATGGCTTATTGGAACTAACAGATAAATTATCTCTTTTTGAACTTGACGCAGTACGTGATGATAATAATTGTGAAGGCGTAATCCGATGTACTGTATCGCGTAAATTCTGCATCGAAGCGCTAAGAGTTTTATGCGATGATTTTTCAGTTGTGATCGATTCCAGGCTCAGTTTAGAATCATCTAAACAAGAAGCTTATAATCAGCGTATATTTAGGAACGTTTGACGGTTTAGATTAATGCGTTATTCTGCGCAGTAGAGCAAGGTCAAATAGGCAAAATGCGAATAATTAATTGAAGAATAATAATGAGAGGGTTCTATTGAACTTTCATCTTTCAATTAGAGAACAGATGCAGTCAGTGTTTACATATTATTCATCCGAGCAAGTTAAATTTAGGTATTTTAAGCCTTTTATTTAAATGAACAATGAATGTTGAGTAAAAATCTTCGAACTTACTAGTCGATTGTTGACGAGATACATGCAGTTTCAATCTTTGTCGTTTCGATTTCTTTGGTGGATCGACATTTTCAGTTGACACAATTGATTTGCGATCGATTTCCTCGTTCCTCGGTGGATCTTTCAAAGTTTCATTGGGGAGAGATGTGATTGCTTTAACTTCCTTCGGTACTGCTAAAGTCTGTTTTTTCGGTGTTGGAACTTGCGCTGATTTGATAGAATTGACTTCCTCTACTGAGCTATGTACTGTATTTGAGGTTGATGGAAGCTTAATCACTCGTCGTGGTAGTGGTTGAGTAAATGAAATGTCTTTAGGACGTCGTCGGAGATGATCACGGACGAAATCGAGTTTTTGCTCGTCGATTTCGCTTTGCACTAACATTTTGTTGATTTTACTATTCGAGCCAGCTGGTTTTTGTTTGGATTCTTTGATAGACGGTGCCAAAGTAGCAAATCGACTAACAGAATTCGATGCTATGTTGAGAATTTCCGGCTCGGAATCCGAACTTGACTCAATATTTGAATCTATAGAAGAACACATGTCATACGTGAAGTTTCTCGTTCCTCTCCAACATACTCCGTGCAGACACAGATCTATGATAGATCTCACGTTTCGCATCCCACGACGTTTCCAAATTTTTCTTGGGTTTATTGCTCGCTGTATATAACCATTCACCCGAATAGCTCATTAGTTGCCTAGAGAAAACAAATTAATCAATTTGCATCGCGTAATAATAACGAAAGATGGTGTAACCAATGTATTTTCTAATTGCTTGAATAGACTTACATTTGTTTACAGCACAATTGACATAACCATCCGTTGTCGTGATCATTGTGCAGTAGTCGACACTGCTTACAAACTTTCGCACCGCATTTCGGACAGTCATCACCGGTGTTAAATATAAACCCAAATGGTGTTTGACATCGTGCACATACAGATGCCGATGTCGGATGAGCTTGTTGTTCAAGATCCGTGACCTCTTTTCTAAGATTCCTAAAGCAAAAAGAAAAACATCGAGACTTCCTGCGGTTTGCTTGAACATACATAAACCGTAAGAGATGTTGATTTCGAAGGTTTTCATCGCGTTCTAGAACGTCAAGTATGTGTCGTTTTTCTTCGTCTCGGAATTTTGACAGATCAGGTAGATCGATAAAAGTATCTTTCATTGCAGTTGGTGACGGCGATGTCGTATTACTCGATTTAGCACGATTATTTCGCGTCATGTCAAATCTGAAAAAGAAGAAAGATCAATTGAAATTGATATTTATTCGGACTGAGACAACATTTTTTTTTTGTAATAACGCTTGAATCAATAGATGATATATACGATTCCTTAAGCTGAAACATTTTCTAGGGAAAGATGTGGAAGGAGAAATGTTTTTTCTATATCTGTTCTTTTTCTTTCATCTAACGCTATGGGACTCATCGGAGCGTTAGTCTTGTCTTTTCCTTCTTCTTCTTCTTCTTCACTCCTGTTTCGCGTCGTTTGAAAAAATGTTCTTTTGAGGATTTTTTTTCTAAATTACTACTATATATATACACAAACACAGTGATAGATTTCCGATCGTACTTTAGTGCTTGCCTGTCGTGTCGACAATTTCTTGTCAGAAAGCTAATATCAAATCATTAGATTAATCGAGGGGTAAGTAAAATGACAGCAAATCTAAATGACATACCGGAAGATCTTGTGCGTGTACGTTTTCTAAGCAGATGAAAGTATTAACCAGTGATATTATAATGAATAGGGAAACATGTGTGCATACAACTAACTGTTTGTTTTCATTTATGCACGATGATTCGATGATATTTCTCATTTAAATCGAACGAAAACAGTCACCTGTACACGTTGACATGTGAGAGCGAAAAATATCATCGTTTTACCTTGACGAACGATGTCACTGTCGAAGAGATATTTACAAATCGTTTCATGAGGAAAGTTCTACTCGAAAATATTTCAGAAATAAATTTACATCAAATTAGATATTTGCGGCTCGTCTCCAGAGAGACAAATCGATTCCATTCACTAATGAAATGAATATCGTCAACGGAAAAAAGAAAACATTAGTCCATTTCAAGATCGTCTTGCAACATGGCTTAGCCATTGATCGTCTCTAACTGATAATTCTTTTAGCTCCTATCTAAAGAAAGAAATTTGATGACAAAATTCGCTCACTCAGAAAGTTCATCGTTGTCGTGACAACCCAAAGCCAATATGTTTACGCTTCCTTTGCTATTTGCTTGATCACAATTCAGTTTGCACGCTATATTTCATGATTTTACTTAAAATTAGCAAGGAAAAAGATGCAATCACTGCCAGATCGACTACCCGCTAAAGACCTTTTTAACCCAATAAACACGGTCCGATGTGACTTGAATATAAAATGTATTCAAAAACTAAACTTTCATATTCCGAACAAGATTACTCTACTCATATTAGACATGGATTATTAACGAGGAAAACATAACGAATAACTTACTATTTCTTCATTTAAATATTTCATTTCCGGTTTTGGTACTCGGGATAAAAATGAATCAATTTTTTATATTCGTAGTTGACAATTTGTGCTTCATCACACATACCACGAACAATCGTTGCGAACGTGGAGTCTCTTGTGGACAGGGGGAAGAACGATGATAATGCTGTTGTTGTTGTTGTTCTGTTGTCATCAACTAAATATGCATATGAAGAACGTTGTTATTCAATAACAAGAGTAAAACAATAAACCACTAATATATTTTCGCAAATTTCTTTTTATGATCGTATCTCTTTTGTTTTGTAATGCTAATTTGTCAAGGACGAGATCATAGACAGCGCGAGGAATGGTTTTCGATCTTATTTTTGAAATCATGTGGCTGATGAACACGAACTAAACAGCATGCTTTGGGATAAATATTGAGAAGGAAAATCTCGAGTAGTTTAAAGTATCAGAGAAGATCGTAGGTTATTTGAGAGCACATCTCAATGTGAGAAAATTGTAATAATGAAATATTGAAAGGAAGATCGCACATAAGATATAATAAGTAACTATCAATTGTCGCGTCTTACATTCTGAAGAAAGAAAAGAAAACCTCTCATTTCATCAGATAAAGTTCCGACGGATGAACACTTTCTTCTCTAGTTGGACATGATGTCACTGGTTTTGAGAAGGAAATTTCTTATTCTTATCGAATAACAAGACGTACAATAGAGATCGTTGACGAAAGATGGTGAGGATAATGAAATTAGACGGAAAGAATACAAACTACAATAACTGATATGTATGTACGTGTGAAGAATGTTAGTGGTTACAGTAAATAGGTTTGAGTTTGATCTTCTTGAATAACAGATTTTTGAAATTTATCGAAGATCATTGATGAAATTTCATCATGAAAACAAACGAAATATGATGAGTAAATAGAGACAGCTCAGACATGTTTTCTTTCGTTGAGCGAATCCATTAAAAAAATTAGACTTGAAGATTTGATTATTGAATGTCAATAAGTAGTATTTGGCGAACAAGCATTCGATATTTTGCGGAAATATAAAAACAATTGATTTTCTCTTGGTTTCGGCCAAACAACTCAATATACGATCGAAATACAAAGAATGAAACGTGGTCATACCTGTAAGTCAACAGAACGTAGTATTTGGAAATAGAATGACTTCTATTTACTAGATATTAATTGGCAAAATTAAATGAGACTCACATCAAGTGACGAGATCTATACTAACATAGAACCATCGGGAAAAGCACGTTCCTTTTTTCTAAAAAAAAGTCATCAACATAAGTTAAGAGAGATCAAAAAGTGAGAAAAAGAAATATTTAAAACGCAATAAACTTCAAAATAATGATGTTGTCAGTATTAACAGTCTGTCAAGTACAGAAAAGGAATAGGATAACCTATCCTCTCTCGACTAATCACTTCAAAACCCACCTCAATTTTTGCCTTTCGAATAAAAACTAATAAGCCACACATTGCTGATCATATTTTAGATAAATATACACATTCATCTTTTACCAACTATTATTAACTCGGATATTATCGCTTAGTTCGACACATTCTCAGACGAAGTGCTCTATTTTTATCTTCGAGAAATTGCCGATGATACTATTATTAACCAGGATTCGAATTTGTTGTTATCTAGTATGGTACAATTGACTTGAGAGTCCAGTTCAGACAACATAATATTGTATCATCATATTTTTTATGTAAATCTCGACTAGACACTTTCAATCTTAATCGAGTAGTAAATATTTAAATCGAGCTCTCATGATTGTTTTCGAGTATTCGAGCCATTGATTCAAACGGTGGAAAGAATGAACCGTAGACAAGTCGATTAATAAAACTCAATCTACCGTTGATAACATGAAAAACATCTGATATGAAGAGTTTTTATTAAAAACAAATATCATTTTCTGTTTCTTATTTGAACATCTCTGCATATTAATTATGCGTGTTTGTTTGTTCAATGATGTATTTATGTACTAAACTTCGGCCTTGGCTATATCATTTCATATACATCCGGTTTGGATCGACTTTTGATTAATCTATGTTCTTTCTTTATGACAATGAGTTGTGTTATGTTTGCATGTTGCACCACTGGATCCGTTGCCAGAAAGTTGATTATCATTAACACACGCGCATATATGTATGCACGCACGTACGTTCCATCGTTTCTTTCTGTCGTAGTCAGTCCTGTTTTACTGTCTAACATTGAGAGACACCATAGTGAAATGATAATGATGACAGTCAAGGCGATGATCAATTTTCTTTTTTATCAAATCTGGCATTTTGCCGCTAGTGGCAGCTTCTATTATCAGTTTCACTTTCGCTTGTCACGCGATTTGTTTTGCTTTTGATTTTCTCTCCCCCGTTCTATTTTGCATTTTGTCTCATGTTTTTTAATATACATGAAGAAATAATCATCTCTGCTGTGTTCCGATTTATTGAAATTTCTATTACCTGCTGAGTGCCTTCACTCTCCGATGTATTTATGTTCGGTTTGATTTGTTATTGTTGTTTGTATCTTTTCAGTTGACCGAATCATTTATATGTATATATATATATATGATCTTATTCTTCTTATCTTATTCAAGTTTAATCATTATCAGCATGAATGAACTCCGAAAACGATCTATACACATTCGTTCAGCGGAGATTGAATGACGCCATAAATGCAAAGTAAAGCTTAGCATGCTGAATGAATTGTTTGGGGCGTGACTTTCGTAGACTGTATCTATCGAATTAGCATACGAATGGGAAATTTGCACGTAAACTTGGAGTGTACCTGTCATGATCAGTTGCAATGGAGAACAGGATGTTGACTTGAATAAATAGATATATCACTTCATGTCCTATCGATGATGATGAACAATTTCGCTGTTTACTTTGTATAGAGAAAAGGATAAGTGTTACAAAATTGAGGCGGCGAGTGTTTTTCAAACTGTTCAACGACGCCTTCCACCTTCGACTTATTGTGATTCAAGAATCGATTCATTGAAAAACAAAGAGAACATAGTGTTCTTAGTTGGCACGACAGAAAAAAATTCAATTGATTTTTGTTCGTGATCAACCTGATCCGAAATAAAAAAAAAATGATCTGAAGTGTTCTTCGTTCATATCCACTTCTTAGTCATTTAAGGCGTGATGATGCACGCCGATATTCATTTGCATAATTCAATCAAGTTCACATTTTTCTGTATATATATTGAATTTCGAAGTTCCCTTTTTCCCTTCTCCATCGTCGTCGTCGTCATCGATTTGTTTTCTACAACTGATGACCAATAGAAATTAGACTCGTGCTAATTTTTCTCACACAATGAGCCAATCTGATCTTGTCAAAAAGAAAAGATGCGAAAGAGAGCGTGACTTCTCTTTGGCTGCTAGTATATACATGCGATCACTATCTTGTAATTAGGAAGACAAAGATGGATGATGACTTCCTGCTCATGTTCTCGATCAGAAATCGACGAAGAAGAAAAAAAAGAAAGAAAAGATGACTCGTAGTAATTATGAGAACAAACGATAGCACGACAAAGACGGATACGTAAAATGTCTTTCCCACCGTTCTAAGAATTCAATGTTAAACTTGACTTATTTGTCTTTCTTTCGATTCAAAGTAATTCATCGGCGGCGGCGATACTCGAAATCATTCAAACGAACAAGAAAGTGCAATCAGTTGTATACATTGTAGATAACATAAACGATAAGGAGAGAAAGACAAGAATGAAAGTGCTGTTATTCTGTCAGTATATCATGTCAATTATTAGACGAAGGGAAGGAAAAATGAGAAAGGAAAGAGTTACATATGCAAATGAACACAAACTGATGAAGTTGAAGGGGAAGGCAGCCGAGACAAGAAAGAAAGAAAGAAACATTTGTGCGATCTCTTTTTTACTCATCAAAGCTCCCTTGAGTTCTTCACCTCTATAACGACGTGTTAAAGTAACAAAAATGATACGCATTTTCACATTGATCGAGATAATTATTTCTGATAAAGAGCGTACAAACGAGAGGGAGAAAAAAAATTGACTCGCTCCATTAAATCTAACAACATAATTATCAATCGAGTTGATACCAATCATCATCATATTGCGAACGTTTTGCTTTATTGTCACACTAATAGAGAAATCTCTATCGATATATATATATATATATATTTATGTTTGTTGCTTTCCTAGCGCGTGTTATAATCACTAAACACTTCATTTACTCAACGGAGAAAATTGACCGCGGGCTTGTTCAACACAGAAATAAAATTAAAAAAAACGTGTGATTTCTATCTTCACAATATGTTCACTGATTTGGTTTTGACCAAAACGAAAAGAGAAAGAAGTTCATAGAAATACATCATTTGCAATATTGACATTTCCTTTAGTTCTTATTCACACGCAATCGCTGGATACTCTGATCGTACGATCGCGCGTTTCTTAATCTACTCTCGACCAATATAGTCTGGTCGGCTATTGACTCTTTCTTTGCCTCTTTCGTGATGATCGTCACTTGATTAATTGATAAGGATTAGGGTTTGTGTGTATCATTCTTATTATTAGATGCGTATGTCTTCATTTCCTTTCTCCGCCTCTTCTTTGTCTTATTATTGATTTCAATCGATCAATATTGTTTCTCTTCGCATGCCGTTGACGAGACTAAATAGGTATAACAAATAATGAAACGTCAACGTGAAGATTCGCTTCGAGTGAGAAATCATGTCGTCTGGATCAACTTAACATTTTGACCTAATCGGCTTTAGACGCGCATATATACACATGCACAACATTGCACCGGCAGTAGTAGCAAATTAGTGCTCGTTGCTCTTCTCTTTCTTCTCCTTTCTTTCTCGTTTTTTTTGCTTTTCGGGCATAACTGACGAGCATAGTTGTGCTCAGGGATTGGCAGAAAAAATTACCATAAATATGTGACGGCGCCGTGATTAGCTGGCGAACGAAGAGAAGTAGGAGAACGGGAAAAGAAAGAGAGAGAGAGAAACAGAGAGAAACAGTAGTTTAATTATATGCGTGAGAGGCCTCCGGTCTGTTCCGAGTGTCATAATGGTGTGGAGAGTGTCGCTCGCTCGCACATCATGTGTTACGAGCAGTATCAATCAAAAGAAAGCAAACGAAAGGAAAAAAAGAGAGAAAGAAAAAAAAAGAGCGAGTAGAAAAAAAGAACTGACGAATCGAATTGCGAGAAAAGAGAAAGAGAGAGTGTGAACATACGAGTTAGCAACTCGCCGACGCCGCCCGAGTAATTATTGGGTGGTAGCAAAGCACAAAAAAGCGCGACACTACAACATATACACACACATATAGACTCACGAAGAATGTCGGCAGTGACAATGCCAAAATCGGATTTTACAGTTTCATCTCTACTCAACTCTTCCACTAGCAATACGAACACCAGCAGCACTAATCATAATACAAATATTGCTGCCAATGTTACAGCGAATTACCTCAATTTCTTAAATAAATTTCGACCAATGGGTTTTTCTACACCATTATCAACATCCAGAAGTCTTCTTCCTCCTCATCCGCCTCCGGTACCAGCATCCGAAACAATGCATCGCACCCAAGATGATGGCGTTCACGATGATCCCAAAGTGGAACTTGAAGGCAAAGACTTATGGGATCAATTTCATCAACATGGCACGGAAATGGTAAGGCTTGAAAAAGAAATTATTTAACGATCAGCGGGAAAAACATTTCATGCCGTTTTTTTCTCTTTTTCTTTTTAGGTAATCACAAAAAGTGGAAGGTATGTTGAATTTATCAGATTTCTTTACTTTGAGGCGTGTCACTTGAGAAAAAGGTGAAGCGCATAAAGAGACTCCACTCATAAATGACGCTTTTCTCTTTTTCTTCCCTTCGGTTTTGAGTATGTATGTATCGAAATAAAAGAAGACATTGAAAATATGAAACTTATGCATGTTATATATGATGAAAAGGAGAAAAAAGTAACAAAAGAAGAAATTTTTATCTCAGATCAGTTTACAATTAGAAAGATTAGTCAAACGAAGAGAAAAAAAGTGAAATTTAATCGAATAGAAAACGTTTTCTTTTCTTTTATTGATTTTATTATCATCAACATAACATCCTTTTGTCTTCTTTAATCAACACTCCTCCGCCCTATCAATATTCTAAGAAGAGAAAATGAGAGAGAGGGACCTCCAGCTTGATAATCCCCGATAAACACTCTTTCTCGTCTCTCTCTCAAACGCGCTCATTTAGTGATGTGTGTATAGATGTTTGCATCTCGTTCGTGGAGGCTTTGATTCTATAATTATCTATCGCCCAAATGTCAATCCTTTTCGCTTTTTCTTATTGAAAGGATTATATAGTAAGAAAAAAAAATAAAGAATCTCACCACAAAATAAATTCAAGCAACAAAATAAAACGATAAACAGCTGTGACTTTTCAGCTAATGGGGACGATCACATACTTTTGTCTGTTTATACATCTAAATAAATGGCAGTCAGACATACGAAGAATAAAAAAACCAGATACTAACAAATTGTTAAATGACACATTAGAGAACATCTACGTGTGGATGTCTCTTAAGAAGGGCGGGTACAAATCGGGGGTTCATCAGTCCATTCTTCACTATAATATATTAATGACTAAATGTTCTTCCTCCTTTTTTTTATAGACGCATGTTCCCACCTTATAAAGTTAAAACATCAGGTCTTGATAAGCGAGCAAAATATATTCTCTTAATGGATATTGTGGCTGCTGATGATTGCCGTTATAAATTTCATAATTCACGCTGGATGATAGCTGGAAAAGTAAGTGAGATATATTTTTCTTGACAAGATGATAGAACGATTGTTTTTCTCATAGGCTGATCCTGAAATGCCGAAACGAATGTATATTCATCCTGATTCACCTGCGACGGGTGAACAATGGATGTCAAAAATAGTCTCGTTCCATAAACTCAAATTGACCAATAATATTTCGGATAAACACGGCTTCGTATGTTTCATTTATTATTAAAATCTCACTCGTGTTTCTAAGCGTGCCATTCTCTTTAGACAATCTTAAATTCAATGCATAAATATCAACCGCGTTTTCATATCGCTCGTACTGATTCAATCGTTGATTTAGGTTGGTGTCCATTTCGCACATTTATATTCAAAGAAACCGAATTCATCGCTGTAACAGCCTATCAAAATGAAAAAGTACGTCGCGCACTTGTTATGGTCGAACTTGAATGATTGAATTCCATCGATCTGTTTAGATAACACAACTTAAAATCGATCATAATCCGTTTGCTAAAGGTTTCCGAGACAATGGGCAAGGTAAACGCGAAAAGAAACGAATTATGCTGAATGATCATCATCACCATCATCCTCATCATCCAATGCATCATGCCCATCATGATGATTCGGACGATAGTGATGTATGCGTTGATGAGTCGTCGACAACAACGTCAATGACAGCTAATACTAACACAAATAATATCTCGACAAAATCCGACGAAACTCCATTGCATAGTTTATTATTTGCTGCTGCCGCTGCTCAAGCACAAGCTCATCATCCATTACGGCATCATCCGTATGCTCATGCACATCAATCTTACTTTCAGTATCGAAATTATTTGTATGAGCAACAACAGCAGCATCAGCAACAACAACAACAGGCAGCCGCAACAGCATTTCGATTGGCCAATCACAAGCGAGATCGTGAGCAAGTCGACGATGATGACGAGGATCAAGACGAAGACAATCATACCGATGCTGATTCAAACAAAAGAGTTAAACGTGAGCGATCGAACAGTGCAGGTGCAACAAGTACGAGTAGCAGTTCCGACGAAGTCACGGCAACGTCAACAAACAAGACCTCGAAATCGTCTGCAAGCGCAATAGCACCACCGGCACCGCCGCCATCACTCATCTCAACAACTCCCAGTACAAACAACGATGAAATTCTCAAACCAGATCCCCTAGCAATGTTCAATTCAAGCATAAATCCTCAACAACTCTATTGGTTTTTACAAGGTAATCATAACACACTTCCGACTTTACCAACAAACTTAACAGCCAACGATTGGTACGAAACATTACTTTCACAACGTCGATCAGTTCTTCCACTACCACAAATGATGCAGCAGCATCCATTTTCAAAATTATTTGCACGTACGTTACCGCCATTATTACCAATACCTCGCATAAATTCATCACCCTCCTCGACAAGTCCGAAATAATCATCAATTCAATCATTTAGAATAATCAGTGTTGTTTTCTTTTGTTGAAAAAAAAAAACATTATTTAAAAACAGCAACAGTTTGTATGTGTATATTTTCTTTCTTTCTCTTTTCTCTTCGCTGTCTCTCTCTCTCTCTCTCTTCGTCTTTTCTCAACGAATAAAACTGAATTGTATCATATACACAGCTTGATTCGTCGCCTGACTAGTATTATTCTGTCGATGATTGCTGGATTATGTTGCCTATATAATACATCAAATGAGTTTGAACGTTGTCACAGCTTCTTCGTTCGACCGAAAAAACGATTAGTAACACGCAATCACCTCGGTTTCAGCAAGAGAAAGAAAAAGAAACTTTCAATCAATCGATTTCAGTTAGTCTCCTGTCACTAACTGACAAGTTAATCACGGACACTTTTTGATGACAAAACACGCTATGGTACACAACGGGTGGTAAAAACTACTGATGATAGTTTTCTTGCTAAAGTAGAAGAAAAATCAATCAAGATGTACATGACGGAAACAAACGCCTGTTTCCCTTTTTTCTCTTATGCCTTTTTCCAAATGGGTGTCGATCAATAAACAATCATCATATATACGCCCGCCCATATTTTGACAATGCAAATTCGTTCTCATCATTATCGACAAATTTTCCCTAATAAACAAGAGAATGAATTTGCAACTGTTCGCTAGACTTTCTCTTAACTCAACAAATGACACTCGTTTATCATTTCTCCTAATTCATTTGACTCTCGTCGCGTTTAAAGGTCATGTAGAAAGCTAATTGAAAGGCAATTGATAGACAATCATCATCCGATTAACTCTTCTTTTTCGCTACTCAAAAGAAAAGAGCAAGAACACTTGATTAACAAGCCAGATAACGATCAATTTCTCTCCTTCATTTAACTGGGCATCATCGCTGACAACACAACAGCAATTAACGCCAATCATCCTGGATGATGTGACGAGCCAGCCGATACTTTATAAATAGTAAATCACAGCACAGATGTTTGTTGACACGTTCGACACATGTACTCAGATATTTCGAAATGTAGCACGACAATACATATACTTTTTACAGTGAATGGTTTTACATCTTCATCGTTGCTGTTTTATATAGAATTCTAAAAGAGTCAGTGTTTGATGAAAGGGAAGAGGAGAAGATTTCAATTCCTGTTGGAAATGATTGCGAGTGAATCAATGTATAGATGAATGCAAAGTCAATTTTTGTAATGACTTTAACATTTATTTTCTATTTTAGCCGCTTGCTGATATTAAGCATCAATCACCTTTGATGATCCTAAAGCTGACGATATAATTATATACGACAGCAATATTTACATCTGTGACATGTTTCAAAGGAAGTGATTGTCTGTCGATAGATGTCATTAGGAACTGGATGTGATGACAATTTTTTGAATTTTAAGTTAATTACTTAGATCGAACTTGTCTTACTAAAATAAAAGAATACAGTATTGACGAGTGTTTGAATCAACGATCGCTATTAGTCAAGCCAAAACTACTATGCGAGCTTAAGGAAGTCGAAAATGTTGATTGGCCGTCTATTATCCATTCTAAAGTGAAGAGCGATGACACAGATATGTTGCCTCAAGTGCAAATATTTCGTAAAAGAGACGTTTTATTAATTGCGAAAATTCTGTTGTTTTTACTTATGAGAAATTGAATCTAACATCAGTAGAACAATTATATTATCATCAATAAATCGTAATTTACACACATTTATTTTAGTTGTTAATCAAAATCGTTCTGATGGCGTCGAATACTGTTGCTTATCCAACGGAACAACCACGAGAACTTTGCCGGTTTGTTTGCTATTTACAATTTCTCGTCTGTTGATGTTTATCTGTCAAAAAATTACTTAGATATTTTTTGTCCAATGTATGTCGTTACGGTGACAAATGCATGTATTCACACGATCGATCAATTGGTCAAGTTAATAATGTTTGCCGGTACTATCTACAAGGAAAATGTAGTTATGGTGACAGATGCAGGTGAAAGAATAGACAATTAACAACACTATCGGATTTGATTTGTTTTTCTTCTTAGATACGATCACGTTCGACCAAAGCCACAAACATCTAACATATTTCAACCTGTTTCATATAATACCAATCTTCCATTAACACAAAATTTTGTTTATACCAAATCTCATCCTGTCGATGGTGGAGGTGAATAGAGTCTGGTTTAGCGTTAACTCATGAAATTTTTTATTTCTTCTAGTACCCATGAGCTATGCAAGTGTTTGTCGTGGTAACGACGACATGAACTATCCGTCCAGTCATAACAATCCAGAATTTTCTCCCTCACAACCAACTTGCTTTCTACAAGCATTATGTCCATATGCCGAAAAAGAAGGTGTTTGTGAAGCTTTAGAAACAGGACGTTATTGTCCGTATGTTCATGGCGATCTTTGCGATCTCTGTGAGATGCCGGCATTACATCCGACGAATGAAAAACAGCGAGAACAGCATCGATTCGTAAGTCTTTGCTTGAAATGATTTGTATGAATGATTGCAAATGATTGTTTGCAAAGGAATGTCTAAGAAAACATGAAGCTGAATGTGAAGAAGCCTTTGCTACTCAACGTAGTCAAGATAAAAAATGTGGTGTTTGCCTAGAAACAGTGTGGGATAGAGATGGTGACAAACGTTTTGGTATATTAGAAAATTGTGATCATATTTTCTGCTTGGAATGTATCCGAAAATGGCGTGCCTCATCAAATTACGAACATAAAGTTGTTAAAGCTTGGTAAGACGACTGAAGTCTTTTTCTTGCGTTGGAAAATAATTTTCATACGAACATTTCAGTCCAGAATGTCGAGTCAAATCGGATTTCGTCACACCAACGAAATATTGGCCGGAAAATGAACAATCAAAACAAGAGTTAATTAAATCCTACAAAGAAAATCTTCAGTGAGTCAATCGTTTTGAATTGTCGTTCTAACAATGTTCTATTTTGCTTTGTTCAATAGACAAATTCACTGTAAATTTTTCAAACGTGGCGACGGTTTATGTCCATTTGGTTCGAAATGTTTCTATCTACATGTTGATAAACATGGACAACCTGTTCAACTCGGTCCGCCACGTCGGCGGCAACGCATCAACGCGCGTGGAGAACTGGAGAATTTCTCAGACGTTCTCATGGTATCAGTCTTTTCCAATGAAGATTTCGGTCGATTCTTTGATGAGTATGTTAACATGGTTATGTTTTGTTTGATTCGAACCATAACATTTTTTTCCCCATCAGGTATGATTTTCTCTTCGACGACGACGACGATGAAGACATATCTCATGGTTCTGATTTGACCGATGAGGATGATTTTCGTTTTGCTGACGAACATAATCTAACCGACAATGATGACGACGACGACGATAATACTTCTTCAAGATGGCATTGAAATCTATGGTGTAAACAATATCAAACTTAGCCAGTATCACGCACACATACACATATATATTTAGTTCAATATACATGTAACCATCAATCAAATATTCTGTCTACATTAGTTCTATGCTTCATTCTATCCAAGAACTTGATTTAAACCAGTTATACTTATATTTATGTATACATATATATATATACCTTTAGTCAATTTCTCTGTGTGTGCTTATTCGTTGGATTGAAATAACAGTATATAACAGCGAAAACTTTCCTCTTTTTTCTCTTTGTTTTATTGTGCATATTAATTCAGAACATATCGATGTCTGGAACTAAACAATTTTGTTATGCCTCTTATTTCGAAAAAAAAAAATAATAACATGCATATAGACGTAACGATGATAAACTTCAGTATGTTTTCTCATTTTAACGTAAGAAAAACAAAAAGAAAATCCCGCGAACCGGAGTCGAACCAGTGACCTAAAGATTACAGCATGTGACACATCTACAGTCTTCCGCTCTACCAACTGAGCTATCGCGGGTTGTTTTTATTTACTCGAAAAACTGAGCGACCGAAGGTCAACTTTTTTCCTTTCGAAAAAAATCGACCTTGTCTACAACAAAGTTATTCAACGAATAGAATAAAAACTATTTTGTCACAGCTGTTACCCACGGTCTATCAGCCTTTTCTTCAAACAGCTAGAAAACTGAAAATAAACTCATTCGCTGTTGGACTATGTGCTATTCAATCTGACACTGCAAAAAAAGAGTTCATTTTATTCAATAAAACCATAAAAATATCAATTGAAATAGTTATCCGATCAAATACTTCACATTTTGTTGATAACCAAATAAATAAAACGAAAAAAGGAAGAGTCCCGCGAACCGGAGTCGAACCAGTGACCTAAAGATTACAGCTTATTTTTCATCTACAGTCTTCCGCTCTACCAACTGAGCTATCGCGGGCTCGTTCTGTTCAGCAGAAAACTCGCAATCTATTCTATGCAAGAATTCGTCGTTTTCTAAATCCAAAGCTGATGTGAAAATGAAATTTGAATGATCACCAGTCTGCCAATGGCTAAGTGCACCATCTTTCCTACAATGTTTCGTTGGCTGTTTGTTTTTTTTTATCGATATATTCTTCTATGAGTCATCAAACAGAATCGATAGTGAATTAAACAGCTGACTGACGCTCTCAGATTGGAATAATGTCTTCGAACAATCAAATCAATCGAAGTCGTGATCCTCGACAACGTGATCGTTCCCGATCTGAACTTCGTCGAACTGACAGTACTGATCGTACATGTACAACTCAAGACCAATCTATATCGAATAGTACAGCCATTGACTTTTTCAAAACTCTAGGCATTAATTCACAGTTAATTCAAGCGTTGATCAACGCTAATCCACCACACATCGAACAAGTTCAATCACAGCCACCCACAGTTCACAATGCTCAACAATTTGCTTCATTTCTCAGTAGAAGTTATGGGCTTGATTCATCAGTTATTCAATCCATCCACCGAGGTAAATTATCACTTTGGAAAATGCTTTTCACACTTTCTTTTATCATTTTAGATTCTCGACATCGACAAAATCCATCCGGAACGACACAAGAACCACCAAAATTTCAACAAACAATATCCACTCCTCTTTCGATCGATGAAACATATAAACAGTATCTTTCCTCGATTAATCAATCTTTACTTGATGATGAACTACGCCAGCGTTTTCAACGTATTGCTTTACTCGATAGCGAACTTGATAAACTTCATCGAATGAATTTTGAATTAAGTAAAAATAGTGGAAGACGCTCTCGACGACGTTCATCGACCAAAGACAAAGATCCTCTTTTGAAAGAAAACGAACATCTGCAAGTGGAACTTATGAATTATCTAAAATCCTTGAAAACAACGATGATGATAAATTATCCACTTTATTCGTTGACTAATCAAACAACTACCCGGCAGCAGTGACTATTTTCAGTTCCGTAATAAAACATGTTAGATAAATTCACTTTCAAATAAACAGCAATGCCAGTTTTGACCTAATTTCCATCGAAGAAAATATGCTTACACCAACACGAATATTCTAAAGATATCAGTCACGCAACGAATTGTGTTTCAGATTAAGAAATATTTCATTTTCAAAAAACGTTGTTTCATATCTCACAGTCTTATTTTGACGTCTAGAGTATTGCATCTACGCAGAAGGTCTTCTTCATGTTAAACAATGTTCGAATCAGTAGTCTGTCGAGACTGTTTCTATATGAAGTTCTGCAACACTTGAGCATCGAAGAACTCGAGTTCATGTAAAATTACTAGATACTTTCTGAACGCATCACTTTGACATTGAGAGCAATATGTCATTTTCATGCAATAAGAAGGATATTCATTAATATGCAGATAGATGATTTGCTTTTAAATAATGTCGTCAGTCATAAGAATCTTTGTAATGTTAATCAACTCTATGAAGTTCAAGCTGTACCGTGAAAGTAAGAATTTATCCTATGTTTGTTCCATTTAAATGCCACGAGGCCGTAAATCTGTGCTTTGCAGCATTAGACTCCGCATCTCTTTTTTTTTTGGAAAGACATTAGAAATAATACTATATAGGAAATTGTTATTTAAGACGCAGATTGATGAAACAGGACTCTATAGAGTAGATGCTTGAAAATACCGCTTTAAGAACTGAAAAATGGAATAGGTCATGCAAACATTACAACTAATCTAGAGAGTGATTATCTGTAACGCATATTCTGCATGAAATCTCATTGTCACATGCAATCTACACAATACCGTTCTAGATTTTATCTTACCAGCGTTGTAGACATTTGTTATTGAATTCCTCATGAACTATGACGACGTTATCTAACATCACCAGTGAGGATCAATTTATAATTAACACACTTACGTCAATACAAAAGCAACTGACATATACATTATTAGTTTCACTAGTTCTTGTAGGAGATATCGGGTGTATATTGAATACAATCATCTTTTCTCGTCCGTACCTAAATTCGTCATCGTGTTCGCGTTACTTTCTTGGCTCGTCGTTCGCCAATGCATTTCAATTGAATATTGGTCTGGTTTGTATAATTCTTGACTACGGATTTGGTATCCATCCATTCCATCACTCGTCGGTTCTATGCAAACTACGCAATTACTTCATTAACATGGGAGGATTTCTTTCTCAAACCTACATACTTTTAGCTTGTATCGACCGGTACTTAGTCAGTATAAATAAAAGACGATATTGTCGACTATTAACTAAGTCGATGGCCAACAGCATTACCTATCTTTCCGTGGTATTCTGGAGTGTGAGTTTGTTTCATATGATTATTTATAGTGACATATCAGTTACAAATCAGTTTTGTTATTATTTAAACTCGTCGTATGTGATCTTTATTTCGTTACATAATTTGGTTCTGTCAGGGTGTGTGTTTCCATGCTTGATGGTCGTTTTCGGACTGTTAACAGTGAGGAAAATTCGATCGATTCAACAACGAACGTATGCGTATCGGCGTACAAAACGTCGAAATCATTATTTAAGTCTGATGTTGATCAGTAATGTGTTTGTTAGTGTGATATTTACATTGTTTTATACAAGTGGACTGATCTATTTGTTGTATTTCATGTCGAAAGGAAATTCGTTGAAACACAAGGTTCAACGTGGATTTATTAGATTAACTGCAACGACAGTCTATTACGCGCAATTCTCCGTTTCATTCTATGTGAATATCTTAACGTCAGAACGATTTCGTTGTGAATTGAAGCAAATTTTATGTAAATCATCGAGTTTTCCCCGAAAATAAAAATTGATCGGTGAAAGAAAAGTTCCTCTCTATTTCATCCAAATAGTAACGATGAACATTTTATTCTCTAGCTGGAGTAACAGATAAACGTTTGTTAATTTAAACGAATAATTTTGTTCAAAAACAAGAAATTTACATTGAGAACAAGTTTTCATTCCACACTGTCGCTATCAATCATCTGTAGGTCTTCCTCAATCTGCGATATAATTTCATCTTCGACATCGTCGTTCTCATCACCAGATGATGCGCTTGATTCTTCACTTTCATTCTCACGATGGTTTGATTCCTCTTCATCGTTATTATCTCCATTTTCTGATACTTCATATGTAGCTTCTTCGGCATCCGCTGATTCGTCGACATTGTCTTCCGTATATTTCAATGATTCTTCATCGTCCTCGTTCCGAATGAGATCCATATGATTCGAGTAACAACCGTTACCACCAATAGCAGCAAAACCCGGAACATCCGCCTCCAAATAAACAGCTGTCATGAATAACTCTTCAAAAATTTAGAAATTTACCGGTGAAAAGTAACCCCAACCTTCGCCCGTTCCCCAGAGAGTGTCTCCATAATCATAACCAGCTTTTTTTAATGGACATTCCTTTGAATTCATTGCATTGCCTTGAAGACGGCTTCCGATAAAACCAGCTGCGAGTGGAATTGCAACTTCACTCGCTTGAAATACTAACGGCTCGGAACTGGTGACTTCCGCTAGAAGTCATTCGCATAGAATCTGGTTACTGCGTATATCAACGTCAAATACATACGTGAAGTTAGTCCAGATGTAACTGGAGACGCATTGTCGATGGATGGTGAGGTAGGTTGAGTTAATCTCTCCATACGTAGTGTATGGGATGGTAACTAAATTGTGTAAATATCAAGCGTAGAGAAAAATGAAACGAAATCCTTGTCGCCACGCCCTACCGTTTGAATGATTGCTTTCATCCACGAGCTGTGAAAGGAGAAATTATCAGCAGTTGCAGTGATGAATAAATTCCTACTTTAAGTCTTCGACATCCTCGCACAGAAGCCAGACAATATCTCGATCACGATCTTTGATGGACATAGGAAAAGCAATCAATGCTATTTGATCATATTCATGTTCCAAATGTGGAAAATCAGGTAAAAACCTATTAATATCATCGTATCGAGTGAGAGCATGTCAAAATGAACCAAGTACCTTGTATACGGACCAACACATATAAATCGTTCGACATCCTTCGAACAGAAATTACCAATGACTTTCCGATGATTTTATGTAAAAGAAATTACTTTGAGTAAAACCATGCCATCTGGCTTTTTATGTTTGATATCAGCATACCAAGTCAGTAAGCTTGAATCATACAGAATAAAACGATATTCTTTCCATCTTTTGTTCAATAAGCCACCTAGAGACAAGGATTTTCCAGAGAAATAATTAAAAAATTGCTACATACGATGATAAAATTTGAGCGTACCACGCTTCACTTCAGTCATGGTGAAATAAAAATCGTCGGATGTCTTCGAAAAGAGTAAATGATCAATTATGAGGAAAAGGTCACTTTCTCTGTTGTTCTTCAGGTCAAGCCAATAGGAGCACATGTCCACTTGATATACACCGAAACGGTCAATCGAATCAGGTGAGGGCGCTATTCATCAGCAAGAGAATAGAACGAAAGTAGTTGACTATACATTTACTCATTCATGTTTATAGAGAAATGAATCTTTATTAATCAGAAAATCTTTTCTTATTGTTTTGCACACTAATTAACTGTTTCTATGCTATTTAGAATTGAAATAAAACCTGTTTGACACACACGCTATTTACAACGCCGAATTCAGTCAAAATAGCTGTTTTTCATTATTAGCACAAGCAGTTTTGTTATGACAGACGACGAGAAACAAGACGTATCAAGCATAGCATCGCCAACTACCAGAACAAAAGATGATGAGGTACAAAACTTCATATATTCGTATGCTTTACATCTTTTCAATTGACTTTTCACAGGCACGTCTATTCTGGAGTCGAAGTGTGTCTCTACCCGAACGATCGTTACCGTCACAGCGAAAACAAATCGTGCCATCTATACGACCGCATTATCTACCACCAGACACTTTAATGTATCCATTACTTAGTGCTATACAACGTAAATCATGGGTACGAGCAAAGCGTCTGTGTCATGAAGTAATTGCATGCGAACCAGAGCGGAAAATTTATCATGAACTTTATCTTCGACTTGATCAAATCACTAAACTTGCTAATCAGAGACATCAATCGCGAACGACTGCCGCCAGTTCAGCATCGACCATAGTGGCAGAGACTGCTGGTGACAATTCGAGTTCTGAAACTGTCTAGCATGTGGTATGGATTCTAGATGTAAACAATTGACTTCTTTTTGCTCGAACAAGAATTTTCGATATCAACAGACGGATGAGTGGCATTGGTAAAACGTCGACTCTTTATGTTATTATAAGAACATCTTGACAGTAGAGTATCGGTTAAGTAAAGCTTCTAATAATAAATTATATTCCCTTAAAAATAAATAAAGCAAACTAAACATTCTATTATTGAACCATCTCTCAAAAACCGTTCATTTTTTATGGATTCAATTTATCTACGATTCGTTTCGCTTCACGTCGCCCACTATCAAATGCGCTATCAACACAACCAAGTGTTCCATTATAATTCGCATGTTCACCTGCCCAATAGATTCGTTCATGACACTCTCGAGCTAAACTCATCAGAGTTTGATTGTCTGCGCCGACGGCAAAATACGAATAAGCACCCATCGCAAATGGATCATGCTCCCACTTTGTAATTAAATATCGACTTGGTTCAGGAACGTTTGCATCGGGAAATAGCTTTCGTATTAAAGTCATAACTTCATCGATAGTTTCTTGATCGGCCTTGTTTCCGATTTCGGTTGTAACACGAGCAGCAGTTTTAATATGGAGAATACCAACATCAGGTCGACATAGAATAAAACGAAATCGTGGTGATGTACACAGGATTGTTTCGTATGATAAATCCCAAAAAACATAAGGAAATTGAAGAACGATTTTACCAGCTATGCCATAACCCATTGTATCAATAGCATTTTGTTTCCATTCAGGTAATTCCGGTACGAATTCGATTGAACGATGCTTTAAACACCCGAGCGGAATAGTCACAAGAACATATTTGCAACGAAATATTCCATTGTCTTTTGTATGAATTTGAACAAGAGAATCCGGAGAAGATGCATCTATTCGAGTAACAACCGAATTCAGTCGAACGGATAATTGATGATCGCGAACAATTTGTTGAATAAATGTACCGAAACCATTCGGCAATGCTAAATTGAATTCTTCAAGCTCATCATCTGATGTTAAAAACGATTTAGCTGAGAGGTGATCAAGATTTTCAGCTTCATATTGTTCAATAAAACCAAAAGATAAATCAACTAATCGTTTGACTTGAGAATCAGTAGTTAACTGGTCATATTCACTTTTAATAACATCATGTACAGACTTGTCCACTGAAAGTAAAGGTGCTGATTCAATAATCCTCTTATACAGTTGGTCGTAGATCTTCTCCGCTTCACTAATTTTCTCTTCGGATATTCGTGTTCCATCAATATCGAAAATAGGCGTTGTTGATGAGCGTAAAATAAAATGGTAATCCGATTTGAAGCCTTTGGATAATTGGTGATATTTATGTAGGGAATTTTCTGGTCGGTAATGATGGATCCATTGGGCACCTAAATCTACCGGTGCATTTGGACCAAATGTCGTTATATCGGTGAAAACTCGACCACCAATTCGATCTCTTGCTTCAAGTACAGTAAATTTTACTGACGGAGTTTTCTGCAATTCAATCGCAGCTGATATGCCACTAGGACCACATCCTACTACAATTACATCGAAAATTTCACCTTCAGATGTCATTGCATATGCGCAGAAGCACAAGGATAAATGTCACTAAATAAATCTTGTGCAAACTAGAAAACAAAAGATATGCTTTGTTTGAATCCATTCAAAATATTCGAATGAAAGTGTTCTAAAACATATTCACTAGTCGCTATCGTTTCTATTACACGCAAATACCGATGACTAATTCGAAAAGAGACTAATTGCACTTACCCCTGTTTCGAGGTTTAGATCGAGGATTGGCTATTATTCGAAGCCTATACGTAGACACCTGTTTTATTTCGAACGACGACATGCTGCAGGAGAAGAAGAAGAAGAAAAGATACTGCATGCGTATAAATACGTATCATTTGTCTTCTTACCCTTCATTTAATCGATAAGCTATACCAAAGCATTTTATAAATCGTCCTCATTCACCTCTTTGTAAATCCAATATGTCTGAAGGCCACTGGGAAACACATTCTCATTCATCATCATCAGTTAAAGTTGGTGATAATCCTGCCATCGTGAAAGGCAAAGATGCATCTGCTGAAGGTGCCTTTGATGTAAGTAATCCATGGCTACTTTCAACTCAAGTTCCGTATTCTCGATTTATTTAGCACGGTAAACCTATAGTCACTGCTTCTCATTCTTCATCATATACCAATGAAGGTCACCCAAATACACTCGAAATTAAAGATGAAAGTGGTGCTCATCAAAAAAGCATTAAATGAAAACTTCGTTCAACAGATAAACTTTGTTTAAATATTTTTCGTAATCCAGCAGCACTGTACTTTTTTTGCGTACAAACTTTTTTATTCAATAAACTACCGGATATGTTGATCGATAGTGCAGTACCTTTATGTCAATAAAATAAGCCATAAGTTGTATTATCAAAACAAGTTTAGAGAACTTCGAAGTCGATATGCAATCTGTGTGACAAAGCTAATGATCGAAGAAGAAAATAATCGCATTTATTGCTATGTTTAGAAAAAAGAATGTTATTTTTTAGCAATAAGATCATCCTACATTAGGAGTCGTCGAGTCTGTCGTGGTTGTATCTGTTGTTACAATGGTTGTTGCTATGGTGTATTTCCCGGTGTTGTTTGCTTGCACAATAGGCGGAGGTATTGAATCAGCTTGATGTATCAATGAGGGTGGAATGGTGTCAGGGTTTTTTAGAAATGATAGATCGCCTGTTACACTGGATGGTGGATCTACTTTAGATAAGGCAACGTTGAAGGTACTTGTATCCGGACTCTTTTCAATGCATTTATCAGCTAATTCAATAATTGGATTAAAAGATTTCAAAGCTTCTATAATTTCTGCAGTATTAAGCTCCTCCTTAACTGTGACATTGAAATAAAGCGTAGTCATGAAATAGATAACCGATGTTCGATTCGTACCATTAAACGTCGAACGAGTACAATTAACGATACTGATATTGTACCCAATCGTTGATGGCGTAGCTGTTATCGTGGACAGCATATACCTAGTTGTAGTCTGACTAACAGGTGTCGAACCCTCCGGATCACCAGTTCTTTGATTCAAGGAGGTAGTTGTTGTCTCACTAACAGATGTCGAACCCTCCAGATTGCCGGTTATTTGGGTCGAAGTGGACGTTGTTGTTGTTGTTGTCGAGGTTGATGTGGATGTTGTTGTCGATGTGGATGTTGTTGTTGTTGTTGTTGTTGTCGAGGTTGATGTGGATGTTGTTGTCGATGTGGATGTTGTTGATGTTGTTGTTGTTGTTGTCGAGGTTGATGTGGATGTTGTTGTCGAGGTCGATGTGGATGTTGTTGTCGAGGTCGATGTGGATGTTGTTGTTGTTGTTGTCGAGGTCGATGTGGATATTATTGTTGTTGTCGAGGGCGGTGGTTTTGAATCTGATATATGTAGAAGAGACTTTCCTTCTAGATGACCGTCGTCATCTGAAGCGAACGTTGGGTCGCCACGTTTCATCCTTGCAGCTTTTGCAGCCATTAGTTTAAGATAACATTCACGGCAGTACGGGTAGCGTTTTTTTCGTGTTGGAGTTATTTCAGGTTTTAAAGAAAAATTTGAAGTTACAGCTTTGACAAAGGTAGTTGGAAATTTCTGTTTTAGATGTGCATTTAGTTGTTCGGTGAGACGCAATAAAGTATCCGTCGCATTATAATATTCGTCTAGTTCAAATGATAGAATCGGTCGGTTAAATGCAAGTGTACCATCTGATTTCAATACTACTGTCACATCATGAAATAGATCACTTGAATGATCTGGATCTTTCCATTTATTAACAACGACGACACCAACGACGATAGTTGCAGCAACGACAGATGCACCTGAGCCTGCAGACACTGCATTGAAAAAAATCCGAAGGCAAAGTGCTGGAGCATTGAGTATCGTTAAAACTCCAGGCATTTTTCAATCTTTAACCTAGTCGATCGATGTGCTTGATTATATATTACAAACGAAAACCAGTCAGTGATTATGAAGAAAATGTATAGGGAAAAGAAAAAAAAACTTTGATTAAATGTGAATACCTTGTTGCAAACCATATTCTTCACTAGGAACCACGCTATACTGCACCTGAAGCAAGTACATATAACTCGGATATTTTCACGGTAAAAGGAAAAAGTCAGTAGCAGATAGGTATGATAATTAATCGACAGCTACGGCGCATCGGTGTGTAATTTTGGCTGATCAGCAGTAGGGCTTTTCAAATTGCGTCTCTTACTTTCACATATGAAAATTTACGTTTATACGAAAAAAATCGCGATCAGATAAAAATAAATATTGACAGTTTATCAGCAAAATTTTCCTACTAATCAAATCATCCCGACCCATCTGTCTACTTCATATTCATTTTTCTTTCATTAATTTAAGACATTAAACTTTGATAAACACACGTGAACATTAAATATTGAGTTTATTGCGTCAAATATTGCAAATATAAGATATAGAAACATGTACATGTCATTGGATTTCAGATAGAATTACACGCACACACACACAATAGATGCGTCGATTGACTTAAGGAGCAAAGATTTCATGAGATTGTTCGATAATAATTTCGAGTAACCGTTGAATCGATTTAGCATTTTTTAAACCAATCATCGGATCGGGATTTTCTGATCGCATAATCGTTGGGGCGAATACGATTGATAAGTTTTCGATTGTCATTTGATTTCGCGTTGAATGCTGAGAAACATTTAATAGATGTTCAGATAAATATTTCAATGTGTGGAAATGTGCTGGTGGTAAACGACGAATAATTGGACGTATCGTCGTTACGCACAGACTTGTTGGACGAAGTTCGAGTAATTGAGTATGAATATCGAATGTGACGAGTGGAATAGGCAATTGTCGTAAATACAGTTTCAATACACAAGCTATTGCATGAATATCTGGATAGCGTTCCTGAGAAAGATCGACATGATCACAATCACGTTCAAATGCTAACTTGATTTCTTCGACCGTATCTGAAAATCCAGCTATTCGATAGAGACCTTCAGTATCCAGTGCCTGTGGACGTGATTCGATTTCATTAATACATTTTTCTAACACGACTGGCCTTAACGACGCTGCAGATGATGCGGGAGTGGTTGCTTTGATTAACGTTGTTAAATCCACTCCAAAGATTGATTTGAGATATTTCATTTGTGGTACCTAAGTGAAACACGTGATATATTAACAGTAGAATAGAAAAGTCTTACACAATCTTGTGGAACTTTCTCTGAACATCTTTTGTGTGCTTCGAAGCCGCAATCGGCGCATTTTACACCTTGTTGTACTAGACCCCAGAGAAAATTTGCACAATAGTCACACCAATGTGGTCCTTTAAATGAATACATTTTGAAATTATGTGCTTTTTCTGCTTGCATGATGAGAATTCGATCGAAAAATAGAGGATTTGATTGTGGAAATTTCTGATTGAGATTTGCTGGCGTGGAATTAATTATTGAAGATGAACGTTGTTGCACTGTCGATGGGATGCGTAGTGATGGTGAAAGATAATTCAAGGATGTTTGGTCAGTTTGAGGTTGATTTTGTATTACCGAACGGTTCGTTGGTGATTCCTGTAGAAAAAAAGAAGACGAGTTTAACAATTACGATCTTGACGTACTTACATGATTTTCATTCGAATTGAAATTATTCGTTTGTGTTTGTGCACGATGTAATAGCTGGGCTTTGTATTGTCCGTAGGGACTTTCATTTGTGTAACATTGTGAGTCACATGCCATGAGAGCGATATAATCACTTGCTTTTGACTCCAGATAGAAAGATATAAGTCCGTCATGTACAAGATCATTCAATGTATCGAAATGCTTTTCGCCAACATAGTGCGTTGCTGTTTGCAGATCGAAAAATAGTTTATAATTTTTCACTTCGTTATTGAATTTTATTGCTAACGTGTAAGAATTTGGGGGATTCAATGACTCACGAACGAGATATGAACCGTCGACTGCTGTTGACATCAATTGATCGGCGTCTGTACGCGATAGGAGTCCATGAAATTCAGAACCATATTGTTTGGGACGACGTGGTTGTGGCGTTCGACATACGATTGGAATCGGTTTTGGTGCTTGCATTTGCAAATTGTATAAATAGGATTTCCATACGGGTAGAGATGATGTCGACGCCGGCGAATGTAACGAACGATGAGGTATTGGATCGAAATGTGTGGACGACGACGCAATGGACGTAACTGATTGATCCATAAACGGAATTGACATCATTCTGGTTTTCTTGTAAGAGGAAAACACTCGCGAACAATTAGTAAATGAAGTTCTACTGAATAGGATGACAAGATTAGGAAAATTATTCGCTAAGAATTGTCTTTTCTCGGCTGATCAAGAAAGAGAAATCATACCAGTAGGGAATAGAATGTTTACATATGTGTGTGGGTGGATGGATAATGAGCGAACGGACAACAGTTGAACGAAAGAAAACGGACACTAGCGTCCTCTTCCATAGTCGAAGAAAGTGAATTGTATCTTGCAAGTTTGCTACATGATTGTACAAGTGACAAACAGATGGAGATATCTGTGAAACGATGTGTCATCCATCATGTCAATGATGGGTCTTTTACTCTAACATACTCTTTCACTAAGCAAATATTTTTACAATAAGGTAGATCCGCTTGATTTGTTTTGGAAGTTTTTCTACAAAAGAAAACGTTATTGTTCTCACTTGTGCACTCTGTAATTGCACCTTTATTGAAGATACACAATAGTCATCATATGCATCATCGATCTAAATTATATTTATACCTTCCATTTCGATAATTCATTGCTATATCACGTTCGATCATGTTTATCTTTATTACATGTCTTTGCTTAGCATTTTCATTCCAAAGCAATGCTGATGTTGCCTATCCCACTCTGGGCCCTGTGTACGGCGTACCCTATAACGATAGTATATTGAATTTCACGATTGTCTATCCGTCTAATTATCAATTCGATAATCTCTATGCAAGATTTAGTCTCTATGACTTCGAAACTACCATTCAGAAACCGTACTCTCAACCGTATTTATCTGAATGGGCGAACTTTACCAACAGTAATACCTCGTATCCATGGGTTGCTCCTTCTGCTCCATTCGGACCTGGCGATTACATCATCGCTTGTTTTCAGTGGGTTCAAACCGATAATTCTAGCAATGCTCTTTTTGATGTCCACCAATGTATCTTAACGCGAGCATCATTGAATTCCACCCGGCCGGCTGTTGATCAAATGAACATTACCATTCCTGTCGTCTCAAATACTACAATTATAGTCAATGTTTACTATCCTAGTGCTCTACCGTATGATGTTGTGAACATAACTTCGAATTTAGACGGGACAATACCGCCAACAACATCAACCTCAGACTCCAATGCAACATATATGGTTATGCACATGTATACATATTCGAACTTGATTCCAAATACACGTTATAACGTTTGTATTTATAATCAATATCAAAATACGAACATTACGATGTCAAACAACACAGATATTCAATGCCGATCAATCACGACTTCAACTGCTTATCGTTTTTATGCAATACTATCGAACATGATGATAATTCTTATTTCAATAACTGTAGCTCGTTTTATTTAAAAAATCAATGTATGTGTCTGTGTGTGTTTTTTGTCGTGTTTGTAGATACTTATAATATACATGTAATCTTGCTTGTTGTTTATTTTGCTAAGAATAAAACAGAACAAATGAACTGTTTTCTAAGCAAACCTATCGCATGTCGACTTACATGTTGAACTTGCCGTGTATTTCGATAGATCTTTCAAATTCTTCTTATCGATCTCCTTGTCTTCAACGGCCCATTGTTGTCGTTGCTAAAATACCGAAGATACATATGTTCTTCACAGATATTCTTCAGATCAATCGTGTACTTTAGTCATTGCCTCATTTCGATCGGGCCCGATACTTGCTGACAAATGTTGTTTAGCTGCTGCTTCTATACGAGCTAATTCACTAATAAACAAGAAAATCAAATGAGTTTTTCAATGTGTATCAAATTCATACGCTTTGCGTTCTTTTTCGATATATGCTTGTTTGTCTTTAAGTGCTTGATCTTTCAATTTATCGATTTGTGTTTCGAGTTTCGTTCCGAAACTTTTGGCTGTGTCTTCAAAAACTTTCATGCGTTGAACATTTTCCTCAATTTGAGCTTGATTTCGTCGTTTGATATCATCTTCTCGACGTTGTTCACGTTCGATTCGTTCTTTTTCACGTTTTTCTACCAAGTAAATTCATAATTACTCGCGAAAGTTACTGCGCAATACCGAATAACGATACATACCACTATTAATCTTCTTTACTTCCAACAATCGTGTACGAAGAATTTTCCGTTCGTCAGGATCTTTCGCTGCGTTGAACTATAACGACAGAAAACTTTATATCGATAAAAAATATTTCGAATCGAACCATTTTCTGCAGTTCAGCTTCATCTTCAATCGAATTAACTGATGCCATTTTTGTCCCTGTCGTCTGTTTATCTAACTGTACGTACGTGTATAAGACTATTTACCACTGACGGAGCAAATAGAAGAAATACTACCAGATAGTTACTGGAGAATGTATTCCTAGATTATCCATTCCGATCGGAGCAAGGACAAGAAATAACTTTTTCTCAGATGAAAGCGGCACAACCGATAACTTGTGATACAAGGAGAAAAGAACATAAAGAATAGCAAAAGACACCATCGTTCTTCTTCTTCTTCTTCTAAATTGACACAATAATGTTAGGACATTAAAGATTACATGAATGTTTGCATCTATTTATTTTCTTAGACTATGATCCATCGAGATGTGTCATAATGAAACGAATTTTGCTTTTCAATGCGTCATACACTCAGTTTTTCGTACGTTGCCGACAGCAACTGTAGAAGATTTTCATTGAATTCTATGCTCTGGCATCGTAGATAATTTCTCACACTTGATATCAAACGTTTCTTCCTAAAACTACTTTGATGTTTTCTTCTTCGTCATCATCATTACGATTCATCCAAGGAATTATGTGAATTGAATAAATAATCGAAGTAGAAAGACTTCGCTCTATTTTTTTCATTCTCCAAAAAACAACTCTTGTTGAAATAACAACAACTTGAGTAAATGCAAAAGCACAGTACACAATTCGTGAGTTGTAGCGCATTAGACGAAAAATCTTAAACAAACAATGCACAAAATCTTTTCTCATTCTTTCTCTCAGCTACGAATCGATGCGAGATGTGTATGACGAAAAATATGAAAACAATACAGAAGAGGAAAAAGGCGTGTGGTCTCAACAACCATAAAAGACGAAACAAAACTCACAATCAACGCAATTTTTTCTCAAAACACGTATCTCTGTGTCATCTGAACAAACAGCAATGAGTTCCAGCGATCCTCTTGCCGATTTCAAAAATTTCTTCACAGGTCTTGGCAATCTGAACACGGCAGACCAAGTCACTGCCTTCTTTCAGTATTACTGGTATGTCTGGTTAATCCTTTCACTTGCTGTTGTCGCTATAATTGCCGTCAATGCAGCAATTATTTATTACTTCTGTCACCATCGACGACTGAATAAACTGGATCCGAACACAGGTGATAAACGTTTGTATGACAAAGATTGGGGTATGACGAAGCCACAACAAAGTGTCTTTATTCCTGTTGAACAAAATAAACAAGAACAAGAAGAAGAAACACCAGAAGATATTGCAGATTATGACGATGGAAAGTTTGCTATTGAAGCGCTCATGGAACATAACCAATTTCGTATTCAACATGGTGCTGCACCATTGATAGCTAATGAATATCTGAACAAAGCTGCTGCTGATTGGGCACGTGAATTAGCACGAATGAATGAATTGAGACACAGTCCAGATCAATGGCGACGTTATCAAGGTTCAGTTTTAGGTGAAAGTCTGGCGTATTTTATTGGGCCTATCCTTCGTGGTGATCGAATGACAGAAATGTGGTATCGGGAAGTACGACGACATGACTTTAATAGTGATTTGCAAGAAAATAGTCTTCATTTTTCACAACTTATTTGGAAAAATACAAGAGAAGTTGGTTTCGGTCGTTGTCAAACAGAAGACAAGAAACAATGGTAAATCTATCACTCTCTAGTTCTATTGGAAAACGCTGACATCTTGATTTTTATTGTAGGTATGGTGTTGCTCTCTATTATCCACCGGGTAACTTTCCAAATCAATTTGCATTGAATGTTCAACCACGTAGTGATATGGAAGATTTTCGTCTTGCTTAAATTCAACAACCAACAGGAACATTGTATCATAGAGTCAGCTATCTTTCACTCTTCACTTTGTTGTTTATTTGTTTTCTAACCATATGATATCAACACTAAAAATAAAGAGGCAAATATATATATCACGATATGTCTTAGGTAGATAATAAAACATTCGATAGAATGGCTACAGTGAGCAAACAATGGTCGCAAGTTTTACAAGATAAAGTGGTGTTCATTACCGGGGCTGGTGGTGGAATTGGCTCTGCTATAGCTAAGACAAGCGCTTTGCATGGTGCTCGAGTTGTTGTATCTGATGTGAATAAAACCAGTGCAGATAAAGTAGTAGAAAGCATTATAGAAGAAGACAAACAACAATCGGATCGAGTTCTTAGTCTAGAACTTGATACAGCTAATGAACAAGCAATCGAACAAGCAGTGAAAGTTGTCGTGGAGAAATGGGGCACTATTCACGTACTTGTCAATGCGTATGTACATGTGCAAAATTAGTTGGAATATAATATTTGATTGATTTAGAGCTGCTAATTTTACCCTAGGATTAATTGAAGACGTTTCTGCTGATGCATGGTCGCATGCATTCGACGTTAACGTTCGTGGCTATGCGTTAATGGTTAAACATGTTGTACCTTACTTTAAACAGCAACGTTCTGGTTCTATTATACAGTTCGGCAGTATTAGTGGTTTGATAGCACAATCTGGCTTCGTCCCGTACAGTACGATGAAAGGTGCAGTGTTACAGATGACACGAAATTTAGCGTTGGATCTTGGTCCATATAATATTCGATGCAATTCTGTGTCTCCGGGTTGTATTCGTAAGAATTGTTTTATTTGAATTGGAAATAGTTTAGATAGGAAATGTTTTCTATCTATTGTAGAAACACCGCCAATTATTCAATCGGTAGCGTCACGGAATATATCAATGGAAGAATTCGTACAGTCTATCGGGGCAAAACAGTGTTTAAAACGAATAGGCGCGCCACAAGAAATTGCAAATTTAGTTGTTTTTCTTGCTTCAGATTTGTGTCCCTTCATGACTGGTGCTAATTTAAGTGCGGATGGCGGATACACCACAGTTTAAGTTTAGAACTAAAATCTTTGAATAAAAAAAAAAAGAAGTTCACTCCGTGCATTATTTTGTGTCGATATTTTCGAATCGATAAACAAAAAAAACCTTGTCTTGTATAGTTATATGCTTGATTTCATTCGTTCGATTGTATCATTATAGTCTACACTCAACACAATACACCATGATTTTTATCTATGTTATTCTTTGTATATCTTTGTTCTTGAATCAGCAAATGTTGGCACTACTAATCTCATGTCCCACGCTAACGACAATGCCAGCAACTGTTCGTTATGATATGACTATTTCTTCACCGGGAATACTGTCCAATTCAGGAACGTTGTTCTTATCATCAAAGGGACATTTTATTGCTCTAGTGACCATTCCTGATGTAGGTAGTCCACAAAGTGCTCTCCAAGGCGTATGGTCTTCCTCACCATGTGGAACTTCAATAACTTTGACTGTACAAACGTTTTATTTTCTCGAATTTTCGAGATTGTCTGTTAATAACTTGACGTGTACCTATACATGTGGCACGAATAATGATGTATTACGCCGATGTACAGCCGTTTATATCACGAAAACACTAAAAGCAACCGGAGAATATTCCTTCAAAATGGATCTAGCAATTCCTGCGTAAATGACTACCAGCGACAATCTATCATACATACTTCCTATTGGTTACTAGGAAAAACGAACGATGAATCATCATTGTTTCATCATATTTTTCATTCATTATATTTTCGTTACTAGTTTTATTCTCTGAGACAATAATAGTGTGTAATCTTCTTCTTGTTGCAATCAGTTAATGTTGAACTTGTTGTTTTAGACAGTATCGAATCGAAGATGTTACCGCTTCTTGTTCGTGTACCAACGATGCGTTTAGGTCCATCTCTATCGCATCAGGTTTTGAAACGAACGCAATCAATTGCTGTCAGCCAACGGGCAGCTAATCGGCAACAACAGGCATTAGTGCGAGGAGGAGTTGCTCTTGTTGCTATCGGTGGTGCTGGATACTTGCTGAATAAAGTAATAAAAGAGTCAAATTTCAGAAAGTTTACGTTTATTTCGATGATTTCGATTAGATTCTCAATAGTCCAACGACAATGCCAAGTGGAACTTTAACCAAATCTAAACAAGTGTCTTTTGCTGACGCTGTTGAAGCGAATCGAGCTTTTTCATCGGTTGTCAAAGGACATTTACGTTCAACGTACGCACATTTTGCTGGTGGTCTTGCAATGACAGGCGCATTTGCATATGTGTTCCATCGAAATGGATTGGGAGCGCGTCTGATGACAAGTAAGAATTTAATACGTTGCACAAGATCAAATAGATCGATTTCTTATTGTTCTAGTGAATAAATGGGCTTATATGGGTGTTACACTTTTGGGCTCAATCGGTACGCTGTATGCAACTATGGCCATTGATGACCAACGTCAACCAGCACTTAAATATGGGGCATGGGCGACATTTAATGGCATTATGGGTCTTTCGTTAGCACCATTATGTTTTATGCAACCCGCTTTACTTGCGCGTGCTGCACTGGTAACGACGGGGCTCGTTGGTTCAATCTCTGCAGTTGGTATGACAGCACGCCGTGAACAATATCTATGGATCGGCGCTCCACTAAGTGAGTTCTAGTAAGAGTGTTGAATCAGGTCGTTCTACTCGATTCTTCTAGTGGCTGGTCTTGTTACTGTGGCTCTTGCTTCGATTGGCTCAGTCTTCTTGCCAGCAACAGCCATACGTGCTGCATCGCTCTTAAATTCCATTTCGATATATGGTGGAGTGGTTGTTTTTTCCGGTCTTGTTTTGTGGGACACGAAAAAAATCATCGCACATGCAGAAGCAGCCCACGATCAGAAACAATTGTCACCAATTAATGATGCGCTCGGTATCTACCTGGATTTTATTAACTTATTCATTCGAATTCTTTATATAATGGACAGCCGACGACGAAAATAAACGATCAAGAGCTTAGTCAAGCGAATTTGTAGATATTTTTTTTGACGTTCAGTAATAAATCATTTGTTAAACAAGAAAGTATCAGCGAGAACGTGTATCTTCTGATCGATCTACTCCATATTCGATTCCTTTGTTGGCATAAGAGAATATTAATCGTTTGCTTATTGATAAGACAACTTTCATCCCTCTCTCAACAATCGACATAGTGATAAAGTATTCTAATCTTTTGTATTTATAAGGAAGAGTAATCATGAAATCCTATTCTAAAATAAAACAGAAATTAAATTCGAACTATGTCACTTACATTTCTCTTCATTCTTTTACTGTTCGGTAAGTCAAAAATATATCATAATTTCAAACAAAAGTAGCGATCACAATATGTCCTAGTGCGAACTAGTTCAACAAAGCAATGCTATCATTGTGTCATGTGCGATGATACCGCCGAACTACGTATAACTGTTGACGAAGGCGATTGGTGCTACGTACGTATATTTCTTTCGACCATTGAGATCAAAACTATGTTTCAATTATTTTCCAGAAGAGTATCGTAATGGGTATTATCTTTCGTGGTTCGCCTGGTCAACGCTGCATATCCAATGCTAATTATTTCTGTTGCATGGGTCATCTATGTAATAGAGGAACACAAATAGTTCGAATCTCTGTTTTTTGTTTTCTCGTGTTCATATGTAGTTCACTGCAAATTTCGTTATTATAAATTCATCTAAATAACTGCGGGTCAATGTCCTTTAGGAGCAAAAGTTTAGAAAGTTCCACTGTCAATCTCTCTCTTTATCTTTCAGTTTTGCTTTTCTATTAGATCTGGAGGAACCTATAAAAGCATACAATCAGTATTCATTAAAATTCCGTTCTTGTTCATGTCTGTTGACCTTTGCTGCTTTTTGCATTACTCGCCGATCAGGAATATTATCTAGAGACTTTTTTCCGTATCCTCTTTCAATCATAGATTTTAGCTTTTCATCCGATTGATTCAGTTGCTGATCCTACAAAACAAAGTAAGATACATTCCATCATGCTGATATTGCTTTTGAAGAGCGAAAAATTCGCCTGTAGACAGCATTAATCACATAAGACACTGATGTTTCGAATGCGTGCATGTGTTTCCACGAATAATATTTAATTTCTTTGCTGGATGAGAATGTGAAAGAAACTAAGCCATTGACAACGATCGAACAATAATAAATTGTGTTACCGCCCAATCAATTGTTGCTCATTTTTGGGGCGAAGAAAACTAGTGTTATGCTCTTCTGCTTCTTTCAATGACACCCGATAATCCTTTATTTCATCGCATAGAGTACATTGCCTGTGTGCATAGACGAAAGAATCAAAAAGAAAAAGAAAAATCTGTGTTCAATATCGCTCGCGATTCTTTTGCTCGTTTTTGTCTTTCTTCTTTCTTTTCTCTACTTGTCTGAATGACAACTGCACACAAACAGTCTTTTATTTGCTCAACTTCAACACTTGATTATCATCATTATGACAGAACATCTCTTCGTTCGTTCTTAGCGACATTCTCGCGGGAGACATCAAACAACACTTGATCACATCTCCCCCATGTCCTTGTGACGATTTTCGATGACTTACTAATGGTTATCGTCAAAAGAACAACTGAAGATTTCGTAGTTAATCATGCGAAAGACTTGCTTCTCCCGATCGAACTTCTATGTCAATCAAAACGACGTTTCTTTTTGTTAACGATGAAAACGACAAGGATTTGTTATTAACTTAATTTCGTAAGTGAACAATTGTATATATATTCGAGTCATTTTTAGTAAGGAGAGGAAATTCGTCTACAAAGAGCTAAACTTAAGAGTTTATTGATTGAATGATAAATGTTCTTCTGCGACAAAGTCGAAAAAAAGAAATATATGATGAATAATGGATAATTCAATCGAGAGTGAAAGTCCCACATGAGTTTCGCGAATACGTTTGCAAACGTATCGATTCCATTTTTCATAAAGCCTTTAGCAAGATCGATACTTAGAGGAAATATTTTTGTTCTTTTGAAGTAAATGTATTGTTTGCTCAGCTGACAAGTAACGAACAAGGAAGAAAAAAGAAAGACAAAGTGTGCTGAGAAGAAGGAAAAATTGCTTTTATGATGCCATTAATAATTCTTTTTTTCGCTTAAGTATCTCTTTGTTTTGTTTATATGTCTCTCTCTCTCTCTCCCTCGTGCGACTATACGCAAGGAGTTATATTAATATCTGGTAAATTATTTGTCTGTTATTCATTTCCTTTCCCATTGTACAAGATAAGATACTGTGTATTTTGGTAAGTTATTTTGAAAACTTCGGATTTCGAGGGAATGTTCACACGTTGTCAGAAATTGAATTTACACATTCAAGAAGGATTGCTATTTTAAGAGTTTCATGCTGTGTCATTTTCATTTTGTTCTCTCGAATGACAATCATCTGAAGATCGCACCTTTTCTCATCTCTGCCAAATAAGTATTCGAGTTAACACGAGAACATACAGGTCAGTTGTACTGGCATGCAACTAATAAATTGTAAAGTCCCATCTGACACAAAGGCATGCGTGTGAACGAAGATCTTAGAAATAGAAAAGTCCATTTCAGTGTACATGAGACAGTAGTTTGAATCACGAGAAATCCGATGTTAAGCGGATTATTTTAATGAAAGATGAAAGTTAACTAGGTTGGAATTAGATCTTGTAAGAAAAATGTGAGAGTATTGAAGATGACGATTTTATTGGAGAGGAAGAAAGTTTCGTATCGGTTTTCAATGTCAATGGATACTTATTCGACGATCGTTGTTTTCGTGTTTATAGAGATTAATAAATTCAACAAAATATTTGTGCGATCTGATTGAATCTCCAAGTAACTCAATTACTGGCATATATCAAACTATATCGGAGAATGTTTGCTTAACATCTTGAGTTGTTGTTTTCAAAATCTCGGAATTTTTCTCACAGGAACTTCTTTTTTTTCATATTGTTCATTCTACCGTGTATCAATTTTCTCGTATAAAAACCACTTCCGATCAGGTAGCTCGACGACAGAACTTGTCATGAGAAGAAAATTTCTGACTCTGTAATAACTTCTTCCATAAAGACGCTAATATCTAGAATTGATGTCATTTTGTTCTGTCTTTGTCTCGATAGACTCGATCTATCTCCCATTATGAGTGGAGAACGAGCGAAAGGATTTTTTCATATGTTCATTTGTCGTTTGAAACCAAACATATATATCTGTCACACAGCCAAAACGAAGATTAGATGAATGTTAAACTCTCTGACACTTTGTCGAATAGGAATATTAACATCGAAATAGGTTTAATTACTGATTTCCATAATGTTTTCATTAGCTTGACACCTATGGAGATAAAACAAGTGACGTGAGTGCTAATATAAATGAAGAGTTAAGAGAACTTAAGAAGCTGTCTTATTAATGAGACAAGCCGAGTGTTTTGACTATGCATGTTTGACATTCTAGAGTGGCAAAATAAGAAAACTAACAAATGTAATATGTCTGACTTCGATGAAGAAAAGGAGACGAGGAAGAAGTCTATGCACTTCACTGTTTGACGTCTGATGTGTTTGTATTTTGGTCGGACGAGAGAGAAAAGCTGCGGAAAGTATTGTTCTCTCTGCTAGTCATATCTCGATATTATAAATTCAACAGAGAAAAGACAAAGAAATGAGAGAGAGAGTGAAACGCAAAAGCAGAGAAATCGTCTGCTCGTCTTCTCGTGATTGTTTCCTTCACTTAATGTTGACAACTTTCTAAGACTCTTGAGCTTTGTTCGTACGTCAACAGACACATACGTATATATATATATATCTCCGGACAAATCTTCATAACACATTTGCGAACGATTGACAACAAGTATTTCAATAACACAAACGTTCCCGTCAAACAACCAAGAATGTCATCGGGTAGGTGGATAGAACATAAATACATCTAGAAACATCTCGTCCGTTCGATGTTATGTTTTGTTTGTGTTGACTGATCTACATCTTTGTCTTTTCTGAATAATCTCCAAGTTGATCATGCATTCACACTGGAATGAAAATCGTGAACTAATTTAGCGGTCATGTAGAAACAGAAGTTGTATGATGAGAATCCCTTCAGAGTGATATGTTCATTGATACGGGGAGAGGAAAACATAGACGAACAAAAGACTTCTATCTTCTAACTATCTTCATTAGCACTAACAAAAATCGTAACAATGATTTTCCTCTCATCACTATCGTCGTCCTCTTCTGCTAATAAGAATAACAAATCGTACTATTAGAATAAATTGCAGAGAAATATGCCTGAATGAAGAATAGTTAAGTTTTCTTTTATTCCATTTCACCGTTTACTTTTTCTCGCTTCCTATTTTTCAGGAAAGTCAATAGACCCATTTAAATTTCTCGTCATTAATGACTTACAGTTCTATTGACTAAAATGTTATTCTATACGATCGAAATAATAACATCTTGATTCATCAGGTAGATTAGACAAATCTATTGAATCATCGTATGAATGGAAACGATCATTTAGTTCGGTAGACTAATCGATCGATTCAAAACATATGTGATCCAACATGCATTTCTTTTCTTATGCGTGGGCGATGTAGAGTATTGAGATAGATCGATAGATAAAGCGATTTCCTGCTTTTATTTCTCTTTGGCACTCTGTAAACGAATATTGACAAGTAGGTATTGTTTCTTTCAGTTGTACGATGAACAGGGACAGATAGACCGATTGAATAAATATATCTCCTAATCCGTTTTTTTTTCTTTTGCCGCTGTCCTCCGTTCTGCTCTTACAAATTCAAATCATATTCGATCCCAACGAGACTTCCGTTCGACGTCAATAACAACGAGCTAATAGTTAGCTATTCTCGAAAGAGAGATATGTCGACATGCGAAGTACGTGTTTTGCTGTTTTCTTTTCGATCGTACCATCGAACAACTTCATACGTACATAAAGAATACGGAAAATGCCGAAGAAGAGAGCTCTGTTTTCACGCGAAAATCAATCGCATTTCAAGAGTGTTGTACGATTTCGTCGGCTCGTCTAATTGGCCCTTAGAGGCAAAATACTTTATTCAAAACCAGCGTATCGTCAAGCGTGCGTTTAGTTGATTAACGATCGAGTGCTATTTGACTACACTTATTGCTTTTCTGACATGAATCTCGATATGGAATGAAATTTTCTAATGATTATGTAAAAATTATCTGTGATCAATCAAAATGAATCAGTTGATTGATATTCTCGCGTTTGAGATGCTTGGAAATGACTCTTGGGAAAGAATGATTTGATCGATCGAACCTCTTTAAAACAAGAACTAAATTAATTCAGCAATGATCTGTGTTTTCTTTTCTCTAAAGAAACAAATCTTCGTTCCTTCAAACTTGGTTATGTTTGGCGAGATCGATTATTCTTCAATCAATCCACATGGATCATCGCATCAATTATCTCGTCTTCTACCCAGTGTCTCTTCGTCTGATTTACAACAGTATTCCTACTCATCTCCGCATCTCAATTGGCGATACTATTCACTTGAATATCTTCTCAATAATTTCAGCACAATGTCAGCGAATGAAAGCATTCTATCGAATTCAACTCTTGCGAACCATACAACAACTTCTCCGGAAAACTTATCCGCTGATGAGGAAGCATCCGATCATCTCCTCTATCTCATTATTCCATTATACTCACTTGTCTTCATCATCGGTACTATCGGAAATATTCTTGTTATTCTAACTGTTGTTATAGTCAAGCAAATGCGAAATACAACCAATGCATTGATTCTTCATTTAGCTATTGCAAATTTATCCTTTGTTCTTATGTGTATCCCGCACACGATCTATGTCTATGTGGCTCATTCGTATAACTTTCCAAGTCTTTTCTGTAAATTAGCGAATACATTGATGTATTTAAGTGCATATGTCAGTATTTATATTCTTGTTCTGATGTCCATTGATCGATTTCTCGGCGTGGTTTTTGCGGTAAAATCAACAAAATATCGAACGGAACGTAATGCACATTTAGCAGTCATCGTTGTTTGGTTAATTGGAATCATATTTGCTTCCCCGAATATGTAAGTAGTCGAAAATTGGAAAAATTTTTCACGTCGAACGTCATTGATTTTCTTACCAGGTTCTACTATGAAGTCTTACTAGTCGATACGATCAGCAATATTCGAATGTGTCTATTTCGTGATGACAAACCAATCTTAAACACAGCACGTAAAGTCACTGCTTACTTTTTTGCATTATTCGGTTTAATTGTCCCATTAATTATCATTGTTATCCTCTACGGTCTCATAATCAATGTCTTGCGAAAAAATGTCAAAGGTCAACAAGTGGCGAAAGGTAAGAAACGCGTCACCAAAATGGTATCTGCAGTTATATCCTCGTTCATTATCTGCTGGACACCAATGCAAATCTATTTATTATATACACATCATAATAAACTCACAGTCTTATTCGCTATTGTCGCTCAAAGTCTTGTGTATATATCTGCATGTGTGAATCCGATTTTATATGCTTTCCTATCAGATCCATTTCGGAAAGCATTTCGGCAACTGTTGACATGTTCTAAAATGTTATCGAATCATTTAACGAATCAAAATGGAAATGATAAAAGTCAAACAGCGAGGAATTCCGCTTGCAATGTTATACAACGAAAACAGCAGCAATCATTGAAAGTTAGTGTAAATAATAAGCAAAAGATCAAACTTGAAATGGATTCAACGACAAAAACCACAAATTTAGTGGAGAATGAACGATTATTAAGTACTCAAACAACTAGTATAAATTAGAAAAACAGAACATTTATTAAATACTTTTATTCTCTGTGGTGCTTCATTGTCGAACGTTTCCTTTCTTCCTTTCTGATTTAATGTCAATATAAATGAAGAGATCTATTATAACATTTAAACACATATAGTGTCTTAAAAGATAGCTACTTTAAAGTAAACTATTGTATTGAAAACCAGAAAATGAACTTTGCAAATCGTCATAACCAACTTTTAAGTCAGTTAAACAAGATAGATATGTAGGATTAGCACTATGACACAAGACGAGAAATATAGGATTTGGAATCAAACATAAAACAGCTAGATAATAATGAAACATCGCTCCCATTCAATGTACTTTGGTCTGATCACTTTGCCTTTACGAGACCAGCCATGTAAAATGCATACGAGCTGTACTCTTGTCAATACAATTCTACCATATATCTCCAATATAGTCGAGCAGTCTCAAATAATGTTGTCTTGTCAATCACACACTTTCAGAAACAAATTTCAATCCGAGAGAACCTCTCATAAACCCATCGTACCGTGGCACATCTTACATCAAACACTGCTCTCTTACATCTTCGTAAATAAAGCATTCACTTCCACTATTCCACATATATTTCCCCACAATAAAAAGCATCGTTTCTACGAAAAGAGTCACAGCAGATCCACTATCACTTGTTCTCCCATTCCACTCAGCGCAAGATCTACACCATATTGACGCTCTAAGAATTGGATGAATCAGATATTCCAAATTTTGTTCCAGCAAAGCATCAGTCTTACTGCATTCCGATCCAACGCGTCCTCAATGAGTTGTGCTCCTTCAGCACCGATTTGGTTACTGCTGAGATCTAGTTTTGTGAGTGTCTGTAGGTATGAGAGAGACTGAGTACTTCACCTTCCGTAAAATGAGATCAATATTACCATGTTCGTTGGCAACGCGTCTCCAATGTGTCGTGCTCCTTCAGCACCGATTTGGTTACTGCTGAGATCTAGTTTGGTGAGTGTCTGTAGATATGAGAGAGACTGAGTACTTCACCTTCCGTAAAATGAGATCAATATTACCATGTTCGTTGGCAACGCGTCTCCAATGTGTCGTGTTCCTTCAGCACCGATTTGGTTACTGCTGAGATCTAGTTTGGTGAGTGTCTGTAGATATGAGAGAGACTGAGTACTTCACCTTCCGTGAAATGAGATCAATATTACCATGTTCGTTGGCAACGCGTCTCCAATGTGTCGTGTTCCTTCAGCACCGATTCGGTTACTGCTGAGATCTAGTTTGGTGAGTGTCTACATGAAAGGAGTCTATTATGAAAGGGACAAGTAGCAAAAAAAGCCTCTGTTGACGCTTCCGACTGTATATGTGTCATATGTAATTGTCATGTTTGGGGACGATTTTTAGGGAGTAGTTGGTTCCAGATGTTAGTTTTTTTAGTGTGGGTGGGTGAGAGTGAATATAGGCATAGGTCCAGAAATAGTGAAGAACAGTTTGCTGCATTTCGGAGGTTTCATGAAAAGTGATAGTTGATGCACTCTTGTATCGAATAGTTCAAGATACATAGCAGAAAGGCGAGAGAGTGGAGGAATGCTTGATTTCATATGACTTCGCGCTGTGATCGTCTGATTCGATCAAATTATTTGTGGATTATAGGATTATGTTACCTCTTCCTATGAGGAAATTTGCGATGTCAAATATCATTAAGCTTATGTGTAGCACAACCGACAAGAGTGGTAAAATGCCAAGGAAACTTACTCGATATCGCTCGTAAGAGCTCAGGATCTCATTGAGCCTTCGACAAACGTTGTGCATTGAACAAAATAGTGTCTGCTCATTTTGATGATCCATAATTCGATGGAGAATTTCGACGGGTAATGTGGAAAATGTGTGCATGCTGAATTTCAATCGTGCAGCAAATCGTGCCGTATAGGCTGAAAGCGATGAAAACTTTTTGATTTTGTTCGTTATGAGTAGTAACTCATGGTGGTGATGCATTTATATATGTTTTTGACGAAAACAAACGACGTGTAATCATTTCAACAGTTACGAATTGTTGGCGTGCGCAGAAAGATGGCGTTCGAACACGCATGCTCATTGAATTCTGTTTTGACATTTAAAATAGACGTTTCAAGGATTAAAAGTAGAAAATCTTTTATGCCTTTGACTCCTTTGCAAGCCGATTCGATTTTCTTGAAAAGAAATTGGCGCCTCTAAAGTAAGTTTTTAGCTAAAAAGCATAGTGGAAGATAAAAAAACTCCACAGCTTACATTAGAGATTTATTTTGATTATGTAAATTTTGTTTTCAAGAACGCTAAATAATAACCAGTCAGTTTTCACTGATTGATTTGCACCATTCGATGTTTTTCAGTAAAAAAACACATGACTGTAAAAAGTTTCACGGTATAGTTTGCTGAGAGCTTCATGCAGCATCTCTCAGTGTGTTCGTTTCATTCTTCCCAAATCTTATTCGATGAGAGATAAAATAAACAAGAAAAAAATGATCGTTTGTCAACCTGAAAAACCAGTCTCATGATCTTTTATTTCGTTTCGAAGCCACAAAATATAAAATTGAGCTACGGTTTACCGCAGGGGTGACGTTAACTTGAACACTTAAAGATAAGCTGAACTACCGCTCCTAAAATATATATCTATTTTTTGTGTTGAAGAATGAATTAGAACACTCAGCATCTTTTACATAAATAAAATGCCAACTCCCTCACTGAGGTGCTCTAACAATTTGTTGTGAATTCATTTTGGAAGAATTAATTACCCCATAGCATTTTAGTAAATAAGAAAACGTGGAAAACCTTCGAAAAAACAAACGTTATCGATTCTTTTCGGAAACAAGGCGTTCAGCTTATTGGAAAAGCTAAGCCGCTTTCGATATGCCCAAACAGGTAGCTTTGAAGACAATCATCAAATCTACAAGAACGCTGTAATATCTTACTTTAAAACACTCGTAGTTCTGTTAACAGATAACTGCCGATTAGTTTCTTACAATACAATAACCATGACATACATATGCGAGCATTTACAACGAAGAGCAAAAATAGTACCCGATTTATTATTTGGCTATGGAGGATAGTATTTTATGTAATGCGTGGTATATGTTATATCATTCCATAGGATTATACTCTGTGCTCTCTGCAATAAATTATGAAACGAATGGAACTACATTGTTCTAGTTCTTCAGCATCGGTTTTCTTTTGCTGAAATACATATTGCTCATATAATTTGCCTGAAAATCTATTTTATTACTTAATTGATACACATTCATATTCTCTCTTACTAGAATTATTTTCCGCGATTTGATTCCGCTGATAACAACAAGTAACGCTCGCCGTTAGACTCGCTCAGCTCTTTGTCGTAGAAATATTGATTTCAGATCTCATAGTTTTCATGCATTATTGTGTATATGAACAACAGCTACGTTACGTCAGGGTTCGTTTATAAAGATCAATAATTATTAACTATTAGGTCACTAGAGAATTACGAGAATATTTCATTTACCATACTTGTACACTTGACTATATCCGATATCATATGGTTATACATGTTTTTTTCCCGAGAATGGGTACCCTTTGTTTCAAATTTTTTTGTAATTCTAAAAAAACTAACATCAGAGTCGAGTTCTTCGGCCCAAAAAACTCGAAGAGCAACCATCAGATTCGAAGTCTCCGCAATGAAGTACGTTTGAAAATATCTTTTCCGAAAAATCGATTTTCGATGTTTTTTTGGCCCTGCGGACATACAAGCAAGCAAGCAAGCAAACAATTTATGTTTCTAAGATTGTTCTCTACGAGAAAGAGAATAAGCACTAGGGCCACTTCAATCGAACAACATCACATCCATACACAACATATCAAATGCGCCACGAAGCGTACACAAGAGTAAAAATATAGAACGTCAAACATCAATATTAGTCTACTCTAAGTCAAATGTCACTTTCCAGGCATCCTCACCCTCATCTACATACTTCAGCCCATCAACTTCACTACCACGAGACCCCACGCTATTCCCTCCAGAAATAGGCAACTCCGCGAAAAGCAACTCTAACTCCGATTTATGAATCCAACTGGAACAAACACTCAACTACAAAAGAATATGTTCACCATTAATCCGAATTTACTACGAACACCAACAATAATCATCACTTACCCGTAGCAGTTTTATTTCTTTGTCGTTGTAAAATTCCCATATATTTAATAGGTTTAACTCAATCAATTATGATTACATTTGACTAATGTGATTTTAGCTAATGTATCCTTTGATGTCTCTATTTTCGCTTCCACTGCATTTAGCTACGGTAATACATACGGTTATTTGTCGTTCTTTTATTACTCCTAAGATCACTTACAGTTGAATAAAAGCTGAAACACCCTCACCCACCCTCAAAATGTAGATTATGTAATTCTGTGGGTGTTTGTTGGGACTACAAGAGAGCTATTGGGTGTTAGTGTTGAGGAAAGTGATGTTTTCGAGCTTGTCAGGGATTTATCTTTCTTAAAAGTTAAGGAAAGTGGGTGTTTGTGTTCATAACTCATCGAAATATGGGTGTTTGTAGTAGTGATCAACTTGCGATCTCGAAAAGTTGGCTGGTCGTACTGTTAGCATAAATTAGTAATATCCTAACCAAAATCTAGCATCAACACCCCCATCCAAACGATGTTTTATGAAGTTTCGAGCGTTTTCTAAAAAATGTTTTTTTTACCTTTGACCTTTAACCCTGACACAAATAGACAAACTTTTTTTTTCATATGACCCTCCTTTCAGTCTAGGGAACTTTGCGGTCAATACCACGTTAACCATTTATGTCAGTATTATATATATCACTCCGTTATCTGCTTTTTTTGCATAGAAATCTCGTTAATCCTTTTATATCTTGCTCGAGAGTGTTTTGTGTCACAGATTTGCGGATAAAAATAACCGAAATAGTTTACGAGTCTCTTTTATGGATATGACGATCGCAATTATTGTATAGATCACAAAGAGAACAAAAACAGTAAAGTAGCTAGCACAGAAAAGTAAATCTTATCTGCTAATTTACTTACATTATATTAATTCGGTGAATATTTGCAAAATGATATTGAAAATGATGTAGTATTTAATACATTCTATGAATGGCATATAATACATATAAATTTAGAGAGCTCTCTGTATCATATGTCTTGCTATTCTTCATCAGATTGTCCATCAGGATGATTGTTAAACATGTTCTCCATGAAAATAGGCCAGCATTTCTCGATGAACTTCTGAGTTTGGGATTACGATGTTTACCAGGTCTCCATTGTTATCAACAATAATCTGATCTCCATTAATAATGATACAACATCGTTGAAAAATACATATCTTTTCAATTATGGGTAGCCAGAACTCGATCCTTGTATCAAAATATGCTCTAACAAGATGTTCTACAGAATGCTGCTTGAGAACAGTCCAGTTTAGAACATTCAGATATCTAGAAAGTTTTTCAACTGTTTCAGATTTCAGTTGTGCCATACATGGGATCAAGGGTAGAATTTCATCAATCGTTTCGCTTGCGTCCATTTGCACATATACGTCGCTATGATATACATCTAACAGTCCGTTAATCACCTCATCTCTAGCAGCTTTCATGCCCATAGAATTAAGAGTCCAGCATGCACGTCGTCTAACATTGCGATCGTTATCTTGTAATAAACCAACAACTGTATCGATTACTGCCATATTTACTGCACCGATGTTCAATAATGTTATTGCTGCACATGCATCGAGTCTGTTTTGACTATGCATACTTTTCAGTGCATTATGCAATACAGTAATGCTTTTCGTCATTATTGTTTCGACCAAAGGTCGACTTATAGTGCAGTGTTTATGCCATTCGACGACTTCATAAACATCTTCTACGCTCTCCACTGCTTGACTACATATTCCAGCAGTTATAGACTGGTCGTCTAGAAACATCAAAAGTTTGGCTGCACTCGTTCTAACATAATTACATGGATCTTTGTGCATACTAATCAGTTCGACAACCATCCCAGGAGTTATTAGTTGTTTATCTATTGATAACATAACATTCATAGCCACTTTTCTGACGTCCTCCGATGGATTTTTGAACATGTTGACAAGTTCGACAAATACCCTGGCAGATATGGATTGTTTATCTGGACATATCACCAGTTTCATTGCATTTTCTCTAGTATCATTCTGCAAATATTGGAACATACTAATAAGTTTGGCAATCATATCAGGAGTCATCAGTTGCTTATCTAGAGACAGCAGAAACTTAATTATGATTTCTGCCGCGAAATTAGATACTTTTGTAACTGCCACAATGAGTTCGTCGATTGTCTCGATAGTTATCAATTGTACGTCTACCGATCGAATGGCTACAGTTGCTGCTGTACTAATGTCATCCGATGAATGTTTGAGCAAATCAACCAGTGCAGTAATCACCTCGGCAGTTATCCATTCTTTATGCAGAGATCTCAAAAGTTCCATTCCATCATTGATGACGTCATGCGGCAGCTTTTTGAATATCTTTGTAAGTACGCTACTTACCTCAGCAGTTGGCGTTCTTTCACTTATTTTCGCAAGAGAGTTAATAGCACATATTTTAACACCGTCATCTGGATCTTGAAGCATAAGGATAAGATGCTTGATTACTTCATTTGTAACTCCATCGTTAACGAATTTACCAAGTATTCGACACATTGATCGTCTTACAGAGATGTCTATATGCGTGAGTAGTTTACAAAGTATTGGGCATGACTGATCGAGCGATGCTCTTTTAGCCATTACATTTGCCAATTTGATCACTATTTCTGAGGTCATGCAGTTTGTATTTTCCAACAACTCCGTAATTTTGTGAAAGATGATAGCCATGCATGTTTCGCCGTATAATTGCTCAAGTGTTTTCCATGCACTTTCACTAGCAAAATTATTATCATCTATAGAAACAATCACAAGTTCGCGAAGTATCTCGTCAGTTCTAGCGCTCATTCCCATTTTACGAAGCGCTTCAGATGCGCTGCGCCTAACCATAGATTTTTCGTGTCTTAATGTAGTTGTAAGTTTATTGAGAATTTCAGTCGTGGCCACTCTTTCACCCATTTTCCCAATGGTTTGACAGACACTACAGATGACCATATCGCAACCATCTTCGAAAGCCTTAGCAAGACAATTTATTACTTCATTTGTTATCGCTTTTTCGTCTAGTTCACCAAGAGCTCGATAAGCTGCACTTCTCACAAAGGGACTCTTGTCTTCAACAGCATTCACAAGTGGGGAGATCGCCTCTCCGATTGTTACTCTTTCACCTAAATCGCCCAGAGCCGAGCATGCAATGCGTCGAACTTCGTCAACTGGATCTTTGAGCGCCCATATAAGTTCTTTCATTACCTTGGCACTTGGGACTTTCTTTATTAGCTTTTGAAGAGTCTGACATCCATTTAGTCTCACTAGATCATCTCTGTCTTTCATTGTAAATAAGATGCCGTGCACTAATTGATCGGAAACAGTTTCGATGTCTATTTGACTTAATATATTACTAGCACCACGTCGTCGATGGTCATCTTCATCTTCAAGTGCATTTGCCAATTTATTCACTATTTCAGTCATTTCTGTATTTTTTTTCCACATAGTGGATATCTTGCATGCAACTTGGCGAATATCAACCTCAGTACTTCTCATTGCATTCATCATTGCATCTATCATCATATTCATTGGCACCTTCTTACTTATAGTCAGAAGAGTTCGAGATACATTATATGATCCGTAAGGCCTAGCATTTTTATCTGTAAACATACACATCAGCTTGTTAATTATTGCATTACTCACGAATTCTCCACGTATGTTTTTGAAAAAATTGCATGCATATACCTTTACCTGATCGCTGCTGTCATTTAGAGCTTCTGCTTGTAAATCAATCAACTCCGAAGATGGATGTGCAATTGGTAAATCGTATAGCAAACGAAATGTTCTTTCTTTTACCATTTGATTAGCTGATCTAACTAGTTGTGTGAATGTATCGAGCAATTCATTTTGACTCAATAGTGACGGACTTCCTCGTAACACATCCGATAAAGGATGCCTATATTCCTGTATATAATAAATAATCCATTTAATTATCAACTTCATTGATTGATCAAAACATGGATTTCTCCGATCACATTCAGTTTCTTCGAGGCATGAAATAAGAAGTTGTGCATGTTGACATCCAATTAGGTTCACTGGTTCGCCTACCAGAACTGACCAAAGTAATTTTGTCACTTCCTTATCACCATTGTCAACAAGAAGTCCACATATGAAATTGAATACCAACTCGAAACGTTGATTGTACTTGTGACCTCGAATAAAATCAATCGCTTTTTTCTGATTATCTTCAGTGCCAGTGAGAGCTCTTAACAAATATCTTGCTGCGAAATGTTCTTGAAAACTGAGATGGACAAAATAATGACATTTATCTGTTTCGATACGAGTTCCAATCGTTTTATATTCCAGCGATTTGAGTATTCCCATATTCAGTAAACACGATTTATCTTGCAAACAGTGCCCAGCTTCTTTCATCGCTGTTCGTACCAGTTTTGGATGAATGATTATATCATTGGTTTGCATACCATGAAATGCTAGACTCTCCAAAAATATTAACTCCTTCTTACAAACATTATAAACATATTCCTTTGACATTTGACTTGTATCTGCATTTTGTTTTTCCAGATATCTTCGGCAAATCCATTCGGTCATCTTATCATACACACTTGTCATCGTTACATTCATTGTTTCTGACCAATCAATATCACACCAAATACAACAGATCAACTCTACAATCACTGGAACATGTGCGATACCCCAGATTCTCGGATTAGACTTCAGAAACATTTCTAACTTCTGCGTTTCAATGTGCATGTCGCTTGATCTATCTTTGATCTGATTGAAGAACTGATGCACATATTCTCTGATGTTATCATCTGTAAAACCAGTAATCTCCAGTTGCACATTGTATGCTAGATCCATCATAAATGGGCGAGATGTCAAAATATGATGTTGTTTTGTTTGTATATACTTGAATACATCTGCTAACTGCTTTGGAATATTTTGTGCAAATTCATCATAACCATCTAATACCCATAGAACTTCACCTGCATCACATTGTTGTTTAAATTGGGCACGCACTTCATCCGATAAAGATTCACACGGAAAATATTCTTTTTCGACAAGATCGATTGGCATGTAATTACGATTCAAAGGGTAACGATCTGATGTTAATGAACGTAATCGAATCAACACAACCAATCCATATCGCTCCCAAATAGTGCCCGCTGCCCATTGATGTGCAACGTATCGACAAAATGTAGTTTTACCAATTCCAGCCCGTCCAAGCACGACGATCTTTGCTATTTTTTGTTCACATCGTGCAAAAATATCCTTCACTTCTATTGTATTTTTTCCACGATGAATTTCTTCAAAGATACTCATCGTTTCGTTGTTGACCTTTTTAGTCATCAGTTTCTTTTCTTTCTCTTGTTGTTCTTTTGTTTCCACGATGGTTAAGTTAATGTAGCTTTTGTCAATTGGAAAGAATTTCAATCGGTTCATGATAAGTTCAATACGATTGTTCTGTAAATATTCTTGTTTTATCTTTGAACACAAACTACTTAATACAATCTTCGACTCATTACTAAAATAGTATAAAACGATCCATTAGAAAAATAATAGTGAACATAACATACAAGATCAATTCTCAGCAAATCATCATATATTTATCATTCAATGCATGACATTCAAATAGTTTTGTTCATTACGAATGGCAATGCTTCAATCATACTTAACGGTTTATTTGAACCTTCTTTGAAGTTTATGTTTAGACTGACTTTTTGAGTTAATCTATGCACTTTCAGTACAAGATTTGTTCTCTCATTTCTTCTTCAATAGTGTATCGTCATGCCTTTCAGTACAAATACAAACTGACCTTTCAATGCTTGTTTCTTCCAGGTAAAGAATAAAATATCCATTCAATTCAAACGTATTCTTCAAACGACGAACACGAGTTCCAGGCATCAGAATAACTTCTTGTTCATCTTTAATCGACGAATAGTCGGAGATATTCTTGCCGCAACAGTTATCTATCTCCAATAAGGTTCCACCATTGTCTAAATATTTCTTGACGGCTTCAGGATCTGTGGAGCACGACGTGATCCCTAGTAAAGGAGTTACATCATTTTCAATGAAGTCCAAAGCACAATCACAACTAATTCCACGCCACACTTTGATCTTGTCAGTTGATGGTAATTTTTTCAAAGCGTTTATAAGAAGTTTCAAATATGCCAGCCATGGTTTTCGAGCATTTCGATTCACATTTCGAAGTGCTTTGTTGAGAGGAGAGAAAATGGCTGCTGATGGCATCGTATAAAGATATATTGCTGCCGATTCATCCCATGTAAGATAGGTCGGATCGTGATTGCATTTGTCTTTCGCTGTTGAGACATGTTTGCAGACATCAGGGATGACTGACTCCATTGTTTTTGTCGCAGCTTCTAATTCACAAACGTATGAATTTTGACATTCGTTAAGGAAACTGGATTGAACTTGTTGAAGTTCCGGGAAAGTTTTGTTTACAAAGCGATTGTGCATCATGAGCATCGGTATTTGGTACTTTGTATAGTGTGAACCAAACTTAGATCACTTTATCGTTTTGTACTAAAAGAGGAATTTTAAAGACATTACTTTGACTAAAACAATTCGAATACGTATCTTTATGTATATGCCTGGTAGACATTCTCAAACAAGAGTTTAGAGCGATACGATATATTCGAGCTCGATCGATTTTAAATTTGGTTCACTTTTAATCCTTACGGTCACTTTTTAAAAACATTAGGAAAAATTTATTGAATATCTCATGATTAACCTCAGGGATTTCTGCGCATATAACTTTGTTTTTGTCTAATAAAAAACCAATGCATTTATCATGCTCGTTAATTAGAAATTTTGTTGACAACCTTTCTTTCGTTTTCATTATATCACATCTATTTACCCGACACATATCATTGATAGAAACTGCAAGTAATCAACATAAAAAATATATGTATACATAAAAAAAGGAAGAGGTGGGAAGTCTCGTCTTCACCTTATAAATTAAAGTTATGATTCATCACAAAATACAAAAGCATCAACAAAATATAGTTCCAAGAATGTATTGTATTGCCATCGATAAAACATTGAGAAACTTCTAATTGAACAGTATATTCTCATAATGTGTCTTTTTGTTGTATTTTTCTTTACTACAAATATAACTATTCGATCAACAATCTATTTAAAACAGCTTCTTCATATATATTTGCGCATGATAAGCCATCACGCTCAATTGCACATATCTTTCTGACTCATCAAACGTCGTTCATACATTCAATATTCACGCTTTCTATCACGACTCATCTGTTCATTCTTCTTCTTCTTCTTCCATTCAATCTAGTTAACCATTTGCTTACAAATCATTTCACACATTGTGTAGAGTTCAATGTGTAAAATTTGACACGATTTAATGAGATATCCTAATGATGTTTTCTTCAATGAAACACAAAAAATAACAAATATACGGCGCATATCTGACTAGTGATGACAAAAGAACAAGAAAAAACACAACTGTTCAAAAACAAAAACAGAGATGAAAATTTAAATTATCATAGGTGGCCTGCACAAGCACGGCGGTGGATTTAACTGAGTTGTTGATGTCGTAAAAGGTATTTCATGATAGAAATGATATGGTTGTTGCTCTTGACAACAACTTGTCATCGGTGGTGAACGACAATAATAGAACATCGGTGTTAACGATGCTGACGGTTGATTGGTGCTTCCATTTGTTGAACGTTCTTCAATCGAACAGGATCCACCTACTTGTGTGGTATCCGAACCCGTTGTTTGATAGAAAGAATCCGTTGCAATTGTTTTTGATGAGTGGTGATGTTGGAATTTCGACCGGTATTTAATGAGAAAAATGACCACTAAGAGAAGAATGAGTAATACAACGATAATGCCGCATGCGATACCGGTGATAAGATATTGAATATCATTGAGAAATGAAGATTTTTCATACGAATTCGATGACGAAGATAAAGATAGAAGTTTCTGTCGAGGAATTGCATTTGGTGTCTGTAAATTTCGACATAAATTATGGTGTTTTACTTGTAGACACAACGAATAATTCGTTAAAGATTTCAATTTTTCCAAAAGGAAATAGTTTTCACTTGAATTTAAATAAAGTGTGGGTAGTTTATAACCATTTTCGTATACAACCAGTTTCAACGGCGAAGATACTGACGACCATTCGAGTATAGCCGTTTCGGAATCTTTCAGCCAAACACTGAAAGAAGGAAATGTTTCCATTTCAGTTGTTAACTCTGCTGTCGTCGTTGTGATCATTGTTGTTTGCAGTTCTTCGCATTTCAACTGTTCCTCTGATAGCGAACCTAATTGTTTGCCAGAGAGCTCCTTCGGTTGAGCACATAACCATTGTACGTACGGAACAAGTTCTGCTTGGAAATGCGTCAATAACCAATGATACAACGGTTTGATTTGGCAGTTGCATTGCAATGGATTCGAACTAAGATCTAATGTAACTAATTGTGACATCTGTTCGAATGTTTGAGTAGTAAATGGCAAGATAGTCAATTGATTGTTTCCTAATTCGAGTTCGCGTAGAGATGAAGGAAATTCTGATGGAAGTTGTGTAAGTTGATTTCGTTGTAAATCAATGGCGACAAGTTGTGGCATTGCCGAGAAGAATGAGTTTGGTTGAATTTCAGTTAATAGATTTGATTGAAGTTTAAAACGTTCAAGATTGACCAAACGGGAAAATGCAGGTAAAGAATCCGATGTTAATAAACACGATTGAAAACTAATATTTCGTAAAGAAAATTCGATACCAGTAAATGTATCAATTGATAATGGAAGTAATGGATTTCGATCCATGTTTAAATGTTCAAGTGATCGAGTGAAATTAAATAAACCTATTTGAAAGAAAAAGAAAATAGACCGTCTATGTTTGCTTATTGATTTAGTCATTGTTCATCTCTTCCTTTTTGATTAAATCGTCTGTGTTTACAGGTCCCTTCCTCGTTTTTAGTTTAAAAAAAAACAAGATATTTACCTTTCGGAATGATTTTGATACTATTTCTCGCCAAGTTCAATCGTTTAAGATTATTCAAATGTCGAAAGATAGTCGAATCATTCAATAGAAAGTCGTTGCTTTGTAACGACAAAGTTTCCAAGGCATTGTTCTCCAGGAGGAAATGCTCGTTAAACGTTCGAATAGAATTGAAATCTAAGATCAATTCTTTCAATTGATTTGGCACAGAACCGATGATTTGGTCCGAGGTTAACAGATTGTTTTGTACATTTAATATCTGTAAGCTTGACATATTCGCTAAGAATAGTTTTGCTAACCCATTATAAGATAAATCCAAATATCGAAGGTTTTTGTTGATTAATTTCAATTCGTACTGGTTTAGACGGTTGTGTGATAACGACAATGTTTCTAACATGGTTAAACGATGAAGAACATTGGATATTCGGTAATCAAGTTGATTATTGTCTAAGTACAGATGTCTAAGTTGTTTTTCAATTGAATGAAATGCACCCGGTTCGATCGCTTGTAGATTACACGATTTCAATGATAAAATTTCCAATTTTTTCATTTGTTCGAAGACATTCACAGGTAAATTTCGAAGATTCAATCCAGTCAATGTCAAACTTCTTATATTTGCAAGATTATTTTGTATAGCTTCAGGTATTGTATCGACAACAGATGGATCGAATTCTAATGTTAATTGTTCGAGATAGTTTTCCAGTTCACGAAATGCATTTTTATCAATGGATGCCAAACGGTTGCCGGACATGACTAAGCGTTTTATACGAAGACCGTTGAATGCATTGGCGTGAATGTGTGTGATGGCATTATCCGAAAGGATTAGCTCATCGAATGCGAGATTAAACAGCCTATATGACGAAAAGTGTGGAATTTCCGAAAGTGATTTTCGTGCACAGTGTACATAATTTGAACCATCATCACGAATACCCGATTGGCATAAATCCAGTAGATTAATTGCAAATATGGGAGGGAGGAAAAAGATTAACAGAATGTTCAATGGCATTATCTAGAATGAAAATAGATTTGAATAGGTAATGATTTGTTAACGAAGAATCGAAATCCTTCTGCTTAAACATCCGGACATTGAAACTAAAGCTTGATACACACATCTCTGAGCACATTCAATGAAAAGAATGTCATTGTTTACATAAGACAACGTTCGAAACGAACTGTTTCTTCTCTTCGAGACATACCTACACTCAGCGATTTCCTCTCCTATACATGTATATGTCTCAACAAACATATAGAAGAGCTTTTAGCCTTTCGGACACACAAATGCGACGAGTGACGCTGATTGCATCACGTCCTGTACACAATCCAGCCACTTCTCATTTACTATTAAACCTTAAAAATATGAACAAATAAAGCTTTTTGTTTGTATACAACTAACATCGACGTGAAGGAAAACGAAGAGAAAGAAGAAGAAGAATGTTGCATGTCAATAAGAAAGTGAACACTGTTAGAACAATAATCGATCATTCAAATCGACAGTGGTTATAATTTTCGAGATTTCATACTCACACCTTTTTGATTCGTGTGACGATAATGATACTTATCATTGATATCGATCTATGTGATCTACACTTGATCACTTCGCATCACCATTTGTCTTCTTCATCTTTTTTTTTATAGTCTCTAATCAAAATATACACCGATGAAAGGCAAAGCTAAGCTCTTAGAAATTCGAAATGAATGATGAGCTTGATATGAATCAAACGCATTGTATCGACACACGCTGAGTCATGTGTGTAAATAAAAACTTGAAGCATCTTCTTCGTTGTCTATTCTGAGAATTTTACCTTCACAAATTACAGCTGTTATTGCTGTTGAGAGCCGCCTCCGGGAAGAGACGAGATGAAACAAACATATTCAGACAGATAGAAGATAATCTTGATGTATCTTATTCACTCAACGCAAGATAGACGCATATCAGAATATGAAACAGACATGAAACAAAGACGAAGACAATGATGACAACTTGATTTATCAAACTTAAAATGGATCGCACTTACAGTCATTAGCTTTCTCACTGATGTTTCGACCTACTGATTTCCTCAAGTACTTATTCTTACCGTTAGTGATATGCTTCTGAATAGATATGTGATAGGAA